CTCGCGAGAGGAACCCGGCGGAGCTGCAAGTTAGAGCTCCGCCGGGTCCTCTCTCCAGCCTGGCTGGCTGGCTCCCTCTCTCCCCGCCGGCGGCCGCATGTGGGCCGGTCAGGGAGATCCTTGATCTCCCCACCGGCCCGTCGTGACAAACAGCGGGGCCGGCGCTAGGAGAGTGCCGGCCCTGCATAGACCGGCAGGGGAGATCCTGGGACCTCCCCTGCCGGCCTCGGCCCATGGCCACCGCGGCCCACCGGGCATTTGCCCGGTGTGCCCGATGGCCAGTCCGGGCCTGCCTGTGCCTGGTCCCCACTGGAACCCAGGGAACTGCTAGATATACACAGAGATGTAGAATAACCCTCTCCTCATACAAATAATATGAATAGCACACACAACACACAACACACAATCCCCACAAACGCAACACCACTAACAATATACATACAGGCACACAACCCCACATGCAGCCTCTCACATGCAATACCCCAAACAGCCCCCACAAACTACCAAACACACAATGTGACATATCCATCCACACACAATTCCACAAGCAGCCCACATTCATATGTATCATACACGATACCATAAACTACTAATGAACATATACAATATAATAGCTCATATACGCACAAATAAAACGATACATAGCAATTACAGTAAAAATAACACAAGCAGAATACGGCAGCATACACACCTCAATTTACAAAAATAGGATCGGCACGCTACGGGACATCACAATCCTATATCGGCACAGTGCTGCTAAAAGGTTGCCTACCCCTGTACTATAGATTAGTACATTTGGCTGTGCTACATTTTTGTTTAGCACAGTATGTTTGGACATACTAAATTTTAGTTTTGGTTTAGTACATTTGATCTACAGTCAGCTGCGCTACATAGTCACTTGGTTTGGTACACTGGGCCTGTGTAAGCACAGTATTTTATTATTTTTGGCTCAATACATTATTATTGCCATTTTATATAGCACCAACAAATTCCATAGCACTTTACAATATTATAAAGGGGTGGGGGGGAGGCAATTTAACTATAAATAGGACAATTACAAAAAACTTACAGGAACGATAGGTTGAAGAGGACACTGCTCAAGCGAACTTAGTCATTAGGCCTATGTTCGGTGCGATGGAACGTAGGCTTAATTCAGTACATTAAGCCTACGTTCCATCGCACTACACTTTCACTTGGGGTCCGAATATTTGAACTACAGTTAGCTACGCTACATATTCACTTTGGTTCAGCATACGTTTGGCCGCGCTAGATTTTCAATTTGGCCAGTACGTTCGGGCAAGTATTCGTTACTTTATTTAAACCTCATTCAGCCACGCTACCAGTCATTAGGCATTTACATATCGTTTCTGATATAAGTTGGTCGCCCGGTAGTTTTACCCATTTTTACTGCACTGCATTCCTAAGTATAATGTGCTCTATATGTGTTTTTATATAAAGACACGAAGTTCCCAGATATTAACCATTACAATATTGATAGCTCCAACACTGCAACTTCTATATTTCTCAGCCTTATATCTTTGGTTTATTTTTTTACTTCATAGTTGAGCGAATCTCACTTTTATATGTGTAGCAGGTGGTTGGTATCGAGTTCACAATTAATATTTTAAGTAGCTTTCAGACACCACTACTAAATCAGACATTTGTAACTATTAATAACTGGATAAGTTACATCTCAAGTTCCTTAACGCCTATTCTTTAGGACTGCAGTTTAAGCTTCTACTGTATACGGTCAGCCTTTAAAGTGAATGATACTCGTGCATACAGCACATTTGATCAGATCCTTCATTTTGGTATTATTTGCATGATTTTGCGTTTTGTGGCTGTGAACCTCTGTGCCTTATTGCTCACTATTGGGAGGTTTTACTACTGTAGAGCTTTCCTGGACAGACAGTCACACTGCAGGTTTCTGGGAGATAGTGGTGTTGTGGGGGAGCACTGTCATACTTGGGGCCACGGCTTGTTTCTGTGGGTTTTGACTCTGTGGGGCACATATGTTGTGCACATTGTTCACAGTTTTGGATCACCTTTACTGCATGGTATTAATACTGATGTCTGTCAATTTGCTGTAATCATCATTGGTTTGTTCCTTCTTAGCCATATGATTTTTCTTTTTATGCAGAATCCATCTCGGATGTGTATTGCTCTCAGCTACTTGATGTTTAAGACCAAACAGGCAATACAGCATACATCAATATTCTTACTTTAACTCCAGTCGGACAGTATGTTTGCAGGATTTTGCTTTCAGTTGGACATACGTTTAATGGTTGTCAGAAGCAAGGAATTATCAGGACCATATTCATAACAAACAACAAAGCCACCCTTATCTACAGTAACTCTTAAACTTCTTACTGTCCAACTGACTAGGCCCCTGTTCATCAATACTCATGGGATGGTCCTAAGTGCTTGGGCCACCTGATGGGCAAATTGCTGCTGTAGTATAGGATGCTGGGAGGAAGTGACAGCCCCAAACATAGAGAGCTTTGTGCTGGAGGGAAAGAGGCGTCAGCAGGGAGTGAGCTGCTGCGGACCTTGCACACCAGCACTAAAGGAAGTCACCCTCCTGCAGAAAAAAGGTAAGCTAATGGGAGGGTACCTGCAACTATAAACATTATGACCTGTTTGTATGTGTATCTGTGTGTACCTGAATGTCCGTGTGTATGTGCCACGGTGGGTATCTGTGGGGCAGTGTGTGTACATGTGTGCTAAGGTTTGTGTATATGTGCCATTGTGTTTATCTGCGTGCCAATGTTTGTGTCGGTGTGTATGTATGGCCGTGCATGTGCAGACATTCCAGCAATCAAAAACGTATAATACACACACTAAAAGAGGTGGGTGGGGGGGAGTGAATACTGGCTGCAGTGATGTCCAGAAAGTGACGGCCAATCCCTAAAGAGATTAAATAGAAGAAAATAAATATCCAGGCACACCTAAATTTTCTTCTACAAATCTTTTTTTTTTTTTTAAAACAAGGAAGTGGAGACACTGCTTTCAAATAAAAAAAATAAAAAAACCTGTCTTTTAGAAGAAACCTCAAGTGTGCCTAGATATTTATTTTATCCCAGCAATCCAACACAACATGCAAATACAAACATGGCATACAAAGACACCTCTGAACTCAAACTTTAAAATTATGTGCAAACACTACACACTACACAAACCTGCTCCTAAGTACTACAAAATGTTTACTATCTGCAGAAATCAGTACATATATAGCAACGAAAAATTGGCACAAAAAATTTTTAAAAATGTTATTCTCTGATAATTAAAAGGCTTGTGCTTCGGTGCAAATTTTTTTTTGCGGGGGATGTTGATGCACTATGTCAAAGTTAAAATTAATTGGGATCCCCCACACTAGAACATTTTCATTGTTCTGGGCTCATTTTACTTACTTTACCTACCTTACTATCAATCACTGCCACATTTTCATGGTGTTAATAACGTTATTCTGAATTTTATTAAAGGACACGGAGGCTCATGTTAGGCTTTATCTCTTTATTCCTTAGCAGCATTTTTAATATAGCAATAACAAGAAAATAAATACCCTTAAGGGTTAACCATATAACATTCCTTGTTCTATGTCCCCTTAATGTGACCTAAGCCACTCCCTCTTTCTAGCTGACACAGAAGCTGAACACAACGGGAAAAAATTATAAACTTGAATCGTCTAAGGTAGAGGGTTCTGGTGAGTCTCTTCCGGTGTAGTTAGGAAGTAGAGGATGATCCAGATCATTCCATTATAGGGTTAAGCTGTAGGAGACAGAGAGACATGTGGTAAAATATATTCGAATATCGTCATGCATATAAGTTGTGCAAGTTTTTAAGAAACGTTTATATCTTAAACATATTCCTTGAGTCTAGCAAATTCAAAACCAAAATTATTATTAGTATATAACACTTCACCTGAACATCCAAATCACTCCTACCTGTTTATAGGCAATTGGGTGGGAAGATAAAAAGTATGGCTTACCAGTCATTGGGTGGGCTAATACTCGCCTCCGTGTCCTTAATAAAATCATGACTTCATGTCATGTAATCAGTAAAATCTGATAATTTTATTAAAGGACATATTAGGCTAGTTTAACCCCTTAAGGACCAAACTTCTGGAATAAAAGGGAATCATGACATGTCACACATGTCATGTGTCCTTAAGGGGTTAAAGCTGTGAGATGACCATAGATGAGATAGTTCTTCTTTACAGAAATAGTACTCTTTGAACATCGATTCTCGGGACCAATCAGCTGTGCGGAGAAGGTCTTCCAGTTTACATCCAACTGAGAATGCTTTAGAGGCCATATCGCCTCTAGTAGAGTGAGCTCCGTAAAGTGATGTGTCGATGTCAGCAGATGACATTATCCATTTCCCCCGGCGTGCCAGAGTTACCGTGGATACTGGGTGATGAGGTTTTCTCACCGCCAAGAACAGGTCGTGTGTTGTTGGGTTCCGGAATGATTGTGTCCGTTGTTCGTATTCCTGGAGGCATGCCACCGGGCAGAGGTTAGCATTATGAGGAAAAGAGGGATAGAAGATTGATGTGATTCCCCATTTCGTACGTGTGGAAATATTAAACAGGACACCTTGCGGGGTGAAGGACCGTGCATCAATATCCAGGGCTTGAACGTCTGACACCCTTTTGCAGGAGATTAAGCTCAGGAGCATAGCTAATTTTGCGGACACTTGTTTGAGTGTGATATCTGCGTTTGGAGGCCAGTCTTCCAGTAAACGAAGGACCATATTACCACGATAAACATTCAATTCACAAGAATATGACAACTCCCCAAATATGAAAAAAAAAAATTCTTCATAGTGTAATGTTTATGAGGATAAACAACAACAAACTTTCCCAATTGTATCAATCACAAAGTGAAATGTCGGTTCAGACTGTAGCAGTATATCAATCAAGAAGCATATTCAGCTAGATAAAGAAGCTCCACTGGCAAGGTACCATAACCAGTTCAGATGATTGCAGCAGTTATGGTGTCAAACATCTTTGGGCACCAGTTTCCCGTTTGGCAAGAGCTGGGACTATCCCAGTGCCTACATATTGCAAAAGTTCATGTCTGTGTAACCTGAGCAATGGTACAAGGGCCATTCGCCTGTCCAACAATTAACAGCAACAATAGGTTTAAAGCACAGGATTAACCTGCCCCCAGCAATGTCAGCTCCACCATGTTCTTTGTTAGCAGTCTCTTCAACTGTTGATGAGTTCAGCTACTAGAGCCACATTAGTCATGTACCTTCGTGCATGTGTGCAAGTGAAAAGCAAATGACTGTCTATTACAGATCCTGCAAGACCATATATCTTCTTAGGCATGCAAAAGGATGGCATGGGCATCTATTACGCATCACAGGAGCAGATGCCTGGCCCCATGAGTGTTGCGCGTGGTGGCTGATGATGTCAGAATGTGGCAGCAGAAGCTCCACATTTTGCCATAGTTTGACTTATCCTAACTTTATTTCATGTATATCTTCGATTGTAATTAAATTCCAATGAAGTTCTGACACATAGTAAATTAAGTTTTTCTTTTTGCCAGTCTTTATTTAAATATTTTGCCATTTTACAAAAGTACAGAAATTGTAAACTTACTGAACTGTAACAACAAAGTACAGGGTTAAGTCATGACATACCTCCAATTATCTTTAAAGGAACATTAAAGCGTTGGGAATACAAATATGTATTCCTTATGCTTTAGTGTCCCTATTCACATTCAGGTTACCTTGGGCAATGCTCACCTCTTTTCCACCTGCAACGTTGGCATAGTCCAATGCAATGCTCCTCAAGTGCTGCCTGAGCATCCAAGCTTCCTAATTGAAAAACATTGAATTTATGTTTTCCTATGGGGCTTCCAAGTCACTTGACCAAGTTTTTCCTCGGTCAGGGTCACGGAAGCAACTCTAGTGGCTGTCGTACGAACAGCCACTAGAGGTGGACTTGAAAGCAATGTAAACTTTGCTACTGCTAAAAAAATAAAATGTGGTTTCCCAAAAATTGCAGGGATAAAAGGACAGGACCACTGCACCCAGACCACTTAATTGAGATGAAGTGGCCTGGGTGACGTTAGTGGTCCTTTAAAGACTGAGATTGATTGCAGATAACTTAATTACTACTGATAACTGTGATAATAAGGCTGCCTATAAGCCCCACTGCTCAATGCCCACCAGTAAGCGATTTTAATGTTTTGAAGGTGAGGCTAACTGGAATAAAGAACAGAAATGAGAAATAGAAGAATAAAGACTTTCTCTTCAACCCTTTCCCTCTGACACCCCTAGGGCACTAAGCTCTATCCATCTTTTAAGCTCAAGATTTGTGAACCCCTGCTTCTGACAGTTCTACCGATTTGGAGATATGCATGTTCCATGGATACCATTGTTCAATATTGTGGCGGACCCTGTCCTATCCCTGTTTGGTTACCCGAACAAACTATGTTCCCCAAAGTACGCTCACTGGCAGATGGTGGCCATTTTGTCTCCTGAATGCTCACAGCGGTACTTAGCCGCGAACTCCCTGGAACTCTATTCGACCACTTGTCCACCTGGTTCCCAACCTATTTCTTTCGCTGTTTTGCCCTATTTACCAACCTGCCAGGGGAGTGCTAAGTTAAGGGACAATCGCTCCCTATGAGGAAAAATCGCTCTCTAAGAGCGAAGGGAAGCACCCATTTATCTGACCACAGGAACTCCTAATATTTGACCGGCCAAGACCACTTTTGCTCTGAGGCTGTTGTGGGCTTCGCTCACGTGTGCGGCAGGTCAAAAACCTCAGTGGCTATTGGACAATTCCTTATGTATTTGAACAACTTGGGCACTCGGACAAGAGCTATCCGGAGATGTATGACATGTGGGGTTCCTGTGTGCTTTACGGTGTTTTTATGTTGTATATGTTTGGCTTGCTGTATCCGGGAGATAATTAACTTACCGGTCCTTGACTCAATTATCTCCCAGACACAGAGATGCCTGGACAGGTACTGTATGTATTGAATGGAGACCCCATGCTGGGGTCTGTGCATAAAAGGTCGAGTTTGGGAATACAACAACTGTTTTTATTGAGCCAGTGTCGTCCAGTTACTGGGGGAATGGGCTATATTCACTAAGCAGCACCATGTCCAGCTCGAGAGAATTTCGGTGGAGATATTCAGTCTCAGGATTGCAGCTCCGCTACAAATATGTTTAGCACTATTATTAGATAAGTTTCCAATAACTAAACTATAGACTCCATAATTTCCTCTAACTTAGATAGCCATTGCTGTTTAGAGTAAATGCCCCAAAGTGGACTTCTTGTATTTTCATACCAGTAGGGAAGTGACATGAAGCAGAACATTTTCAAATGTGAACTGTGGTGCCTCAAAAATGTGAATGTTGGTATCTCTGACTATCTGCCAATAGGATTTAAAAGTCCTACTAGATGTTTTGCATAGAACCCACTTTCACACCAACTAGGTGAAACAGGTGGGAAAATCCTGCACAAACATTCTGGAATACAGTACCAAAGAGAGAGTACTTTGTAGCTAATTTCCTGATACATAGAACTAATGGAACTCTTATGGTGCAGTACAAGAACCTTAGCTCTTTGCTTGTCTGTGAATGACATTTCTACCGTGTTTCTCCGAAAATAAGACCGGGTCTTATATTAATTTTAGTCACAAAAAACACACTAGGGCTTATTTTCAGGGTAGGGCTTAGAGCCAGTCTGTCAGCCGGTGTCCGCGCTGTGTAACCCCCCAGAGACCCTCACCTCCCCCTCCCTGTAATATTCTCCCCTCCCTCCCTCCCTGTAATACTCTCCCCTCCCTCCCTGTAATATTATCCCCCCTCCCTCCCTCCCTGTAATATTCTCCCCTCCCTCCCTGTAATACTCTCCCCCCTCCCTCCCTGTAATAGTCTCCCCCCTCCCTGTAATATTATCCCCCCTCCTCAGTAATGTATCCCCCCCCTCCCTCCCTGTAATATTCTCCCTCACTCCCAGTAATGTATCCCCTCCTCCTGTAATATTATCCTCCCTCCTGTAATACTTCCTCCCTCCCAGTAATATTATCCCCCCTCCCTCCCTGTAATACTCCCCCCCTCCTTCCCTCCCTCCCTGTAATACTCTCTCCCCTCCCTCCAATCTTCTCCTCACCTCCCCTGTAGCGTGGCCGAGCTCCTCTCCGGTCCGCGACCCGGCCGGACTGACAGAAAGTGCACACCCAGTGTGCACTTCCTGTCAGTCCGGGCGGGTCGCGGACCGGAGAGGAGCTCAGCCACGCTACAGGGAAGGGGAGGTGAGGCACTGCGGCAGCCGTCTGAGCGCTCTCTATAGAACGCTCAGGTGGCTGAGGCATTTAAAGGGCCGGCAGCTGCCGGCCCTGCCTAGGTCTTATTTTCGGGGTAGGGCTTATATTGCAGCCCACCCCGATAATCCAGCTAGGGCTTATTTTCGGGGAAACACGGTAGAATTCTTTCTCACTTCCATTTAAATAAAGCAGAACTTCTCCCCCCACCCAAACTGCCGCTTTAAAAGCTCCTCACATCCTTTGAATTATATATAGTTTTTTTAATTCTTTATTTAGGTTTAGACAGTCACAGTAGGTGTTACAAATGAATGGACAGTTGACATTAATTCAAAATACATTGTAATATTACATATGTCATAACATATGGTGAAACAATACATTCTCACATTAATACATATCCAGAGATGGTCAACTTGTGGTACAGGGATTGGCAGAAGAAATTGGTTTTATGAGTGTGTTGACAATCACCTGGTGAAATTGGGTTACATTTCCACCTAAATTTCCATTGTGGAATGCTGTGTATGAGTTAACAGTTTATAAAAAACAATAGCACAACATCAACTGTCCTGTGATAAGACATTAAGTTGTTCGTCATCTACTCTCTAAGGATTTAAACACCTATTTAGGAATAACCCTTCTAGGAGAAAAGAAGAGTATCGAACAGGAAAGTAAAGAGTGAAAGAAGAAGGCAACTAAAGACGAGAGAAGTTTTGCTCATCAAGAGGAAAATTGAATGGTAGCAGATCTTAGAAGTTCTGGACAATATATGTTCCGTCCCAGACCCCATGCATTCTGTAATTGTTCTGTACAGATGGCAAGTAGTTCCATACAGCTTTGCTCTAAATATACTTGTTATATTACCTAACTTTAATATTTCGTCAGCTGAATTGTGCCATTTCTTTTTATATGACCTAATATTTGCTGCCATTCATTCCCTTGCCATTTTACATGCATGGAAGAGTTTAAATAACTTTTTAATTGATATTTTAGTATAGATGCAAACCTTCTATTTTGACTAATTTACATATACTTGCGCTCTCTTCCACTCTTTGTATTTTGAACAGCCGGGGAGAGACATGGCCCTTCTATTGTTGTATTGTGTATTTGTTTTTATCTTTAGTGCGCACACTATGCTACAGGCTATCTGATCAGGACATGTTTAAAAGCACACGGAATGGGTTTAAAGTCACAATTATTATAGACCCATAATTTTGAGATACATTGGTTAAGCATTTTGGAATTTCTAACAACTTAAGAGAGAAGAAATCTTAGAGTTTACAATGGTACGAATTCACATATAAATCACTTGTACTAATCTTTTATAACGCCACTGAAGATTTGAAGAAAATTTGAGTACCTAGAAAAAGTGTGCTAATAAAATCTATTTAGATTTCATCCTTCCCTCCCATTCTTTCAGGAGAGACAGAAGGTCCCCAGGACATGATATGGACAGTGATTTTGATATTTCCAGGCTGAATTCATCGCTCCGTAGTGAGCTTGCACCTCCACAGTAACTCAACTCGTGAAGCATCTTCATTGACACGGAGGTGACCTATGGAGCGGAAAGACATGTGGATAGGTTGGTTTGTGTAAATAAAGTTTATTCTTATAAAATGAATGATCTAATCACGACACTTGGTTAAACTGGCAATTACAAAGCTATAGATATGTTAGGGCTAGTATCTATATACACAGTAATAAGCCATCCACCATTTAATACATAATTGATACGTGCTTTGGAGGTGGCCTTCATTCCTCTACATACAACTGGGAACTGACTTCTATTTTTAGTTGATACTGAAAGGCACATCAGTCTTTTTGCAAATCAATCTTGCTTTAATTTATATAGTGTATTCACGTGTTTATTTGTTTATCTCTTGGGTGGAGAGTTCGTTATGATAGAGGAGACAACGGCTTTGTTTTCACCCCTTGAAGTACCCCAGTTGTTGCTATAGTGTGGTACCTTACTGATTTCAGGGTACTGAAATACCTTACAGATACACCTTAATATTAGCAGATTACCAGACTACAGATTTGCACAGTTAGACAGTCCAGTATTGTAGAGGTAGAGTTGGGTGAACCTTTACTCCTTGACAGGGCCATCTATAATATGAATAGGACCCTGGGCAAAGCATTTTCTTGGGCCCCCAAGGCCCTGCCCCTTCCCAACCCCCCTTCCCAATTACACCCAACCCCCAATCACACTGACAGACCTACTGACACATACACACATAGACAGATATATTAAAACATTCGCAGGTACATACTGACACACACATACACTGACACACAAATATATACTGGCAGACATATTGACACACATTCAGACATACATACACACACACACACACACACACACACAGACATACACTGACAGATATACTGAAACACACACAGACACATACACGGACAGATGTATTGACACACACACACACAGGCATACTGACATACACACAGACATACATACACACACACACAAACATACTGACATACATACTGACATACACACACTGACACACACACACACACACAGACATACTGACATACACACAGACATACTGACATACACACACAAAAATACTGACACACACACAGACATACTGACATACACACACAAAAATACTGACACAAACACAGACATACTGACATACACACACAAACATACTGACACACACACTGACATACTGGGGAAGCTGCCCCGTTTGCCCCATGCTAAAGACGGCCCTGCTCCTTGAGGTAACTCTCTGGACCACTTAGTCTGTTCACTGGAACCTCTCCTAACAGTGTCATAGTACAGGGAGGGATGGACAGGTGCATATAGATCTAATTAAATTTTCTTGATATGTATCTTGAACATACAGCCTGAGTTTTAATTTCATTTTCTTCTTTAGACAACCATTGGGATCAATTTATTTGTGGCTAAACACCCAGACAAGTCTCATAAAATGTCTGGAAGTTACTAAGCATTACAAGCTGTTTCGAGTGGTCACTGGGCAGGAAGTAGCAGTAAAACACAAACAGAATAAAAGTATTCTCCTGAACACACGTAGAACACTCAGTGTAACCTTCCTGGTAAAACATTCCACAAATATATAGCTAAACAGATAAGTGTGTCAAGCAAAATAGGCCTGTCCCAGCTCAGTGAAATAAGTTAAACTCACTTTGACCATAATAAAGTTCTCCTTCCACGGCCTGTCATGTGGCCATTTTTGTCCCAGGCAAATCCAGATTGTGTATTGAGGAGATTCCCTCCTCGTTCCTTCTGTGAACTGAATCAATTCTGACAGACAAAACACGAGGTTAGCATGATGTCACATACAGAGCATCCAACAGCACAGGTTGCCTATTGTACCTGGTAAATACCGACACATTCCGCGATTCCCAGGAACATCTCCCAAAAAATATTTTCCGACACACAGTGTTTGAACAATGCACAGGGACTTGCGATGGCAATACATTTATATCTAGACATTTTAAGACACGCCAGTTTGATGACCTATGCCTCCACCAAGCCGCAACGGAGAACCCCTGGGAAAGCGACGGGTAAAGGAGCTCAGGTGGAAAGAAAGCAGAGGCACAGTCTCTCCCCTGTAACCCACAAGGCTGAAGTCCAGCCTGGCATATCGACCTGCCTGAGAGAGAAAGAGGACACTGAGTTTACAGGGAAGGGAGCTGGTCGAAGGCGACCTCTCTGTGGCATAGGCTGAAATGAGTCTGTCCAGCATGAGACCATAGTGCGGCTAAGTTTGTCCTTTCTTTATGCCCTTAAACAAAGGCAGTACCCAGCAGCTACTAAGCTACTAAACAGATTAAGAATTAGCATATTACCCTATTATATTTACTCACCCAGTGTCAGGCTACAAAGCATGTCTCCATTAACCCTTATGCATACTCATTTACTGACACATCTTGATTTAACCTGTTTAACTTTCCCCCCCCAAAAAAATGCAGTTCAATTACATGCCATAATATCCTAATACCCTGTCTCTTGAAATGTTTATGTCTGCTGTTGTGGCATAGCAAGCATGCTAAAATAAAGAGTTAAAAAAAAATAAAAGATAGCAAAGGTAAAATTTTAGTTAAAAAAAAAATACAAACAATGCTTGACAAGCCTGGATACCAGGTAATTGGATCTCCATTTGGCAAGTAACTATTGGACCTCTAGGTCAGTTTTTCCATCTTAGCCTAAACTACTGATAAGTGGCAAAACACAGAAATTAGCCATTTGCTATATAGCAGAAATGTGCTCGTGGAAAAATGTGTTTTGTTTTCGTTTTGATTCAAAAATTCCAAATTCCAAATTCAGAAATGGTAATTTCAGAAGCATTAAAAATTTTGACATCCATGATATCATATATGGCACTGCTCAGCAGATAGTTCCCAGATAGGTAACCTTATGAGGGACTGCCTATTTAAGGATACCAAAGTAGGATGCTGTCTAGCAAACGGTATCCTAATTTAGTATCCTAAATAGGGCAATCCCACATAAAGATACTAAATTATGGAGCAATCTACTAAATTGTGTCCTAATTTGGTATCATTAAATAGGCAGTCCCACATAAGGGTACCAAGATAAGTATCTTGCTATGTGGTATCTTAAAGGGACACTATAGTCCCCTGAACAACTTTAGCTTAATGAAGCAGTTTTGGTGTATAGAACATGCCCCTGCAGCCTCACTGCTCAATCCTCTGCCATTTAGGAGTTAAATCCCTTTGTTTATGAACCCTAGTCACACCTCCCTGCATGTGACTTGCACAGCCTTCCATAAACACTTCCTGTAAAGAGAGCCCTATTTAGGCTTTCTTTATTGCAAGTTCTGTTTAATTAAGATTTTCTTATCCCCTGCTATGTTAATAGCTTGCTAGACCCTGCAAGAGCCTCCTGTATGTGATTAAAGTTCAATTTAGAGATTGAGATACAATTATTTAAGGTAAATTACATCTGTTTGAAAGTGAAACCAGTTTTTTTTTTCATGCAGGCTCTGTCAATCATAGCCAGGGGAGGTGTGGCTAGGGCTGCATAAACAGAAAAAGAGTGATTTAACTCCTAAATGACAGTGAAATTGCAGGGGAATGATCTATACACTAAAACTGCTTTATTTAGCTAAAGTAATTTAGGTGACTATAGTGTTCCTTTAATAGGACAATCCCACATAAGGGAGCCATATACTATACAGCAGAAAAAGCCCTTAGAGAAGTATCAACTTGCTTAATAGAGAAGTCCCTGAATTGCTATAACGAATAGATCGTAAAAAAGTTTGTTTAATCTGAATTCTGCTGAAGCCAAAATGAACCGAACACAAATGAATTTGTAAAGATTCTAAATTTGATTTGGAAGAAAACAAATACACATCTCTATTATATAGGTCTATGGGATTTCATTGTTAACGCACAACAAAATCTGTTGAGGATTCTGCGGGATGATCCATAGAAATGTATTTTACAGGGGGTGGGTTGAGACGTTCTCAAACTTCAGGTGGCCCAGGAACATTCTAATAATTTGTAGCAACATTTTCAATTAAAAAAAAAAAAAAAAATCTAAATATTCTTTTAAACCTTCACACCATACCACCTATCCAATATTCTCTACACATATATGTCAATCTTGTTATTATATAATTGAAATTGACAACAGACATATCTGTTTAGTTTTTCCTGTGTACTGCTTGTTGTTTTGGAACTTTTTTTTTCTTTTTGAGCCAAAAGTAACAAAAAGCATAATTTAAAAAATGATTTTTCTTTTACCTCTTATAAACTGCTGCATAGTGTAGAAGACCGTGTAACCAGATTTGCTGATTTCATTTGGACGGCTTGTGTTTGGGAATTCGGTCAAGCTCCAGTAGCTTTTACACTTGCCTTGCCTCTTTCCACAAATTGACTCATCTCTCGTCTCAACCAATGTACCGTCTTCCAGGCTCTCCAGGAGTTCGGTTATGGAACTTGCCACTCCAGAGTCAGCAACATTATAAGGTATTGGTAAAATCACATCTTCTAGATAGTTTTCTGGATTTGTTTGTTGTCTTGAAGTGATACAGAATCCACGAGGGTTCTTTACCAAGGTATTTTTAACTAGGGTTCCGCGATAATAAACGTTAACATCATATTGGGTTTCTGTAACGTACGGGGAACATCAAAATATTGTAAATTCAAATATTAACCCCTTAAGGTCAGAGACAATTGTCCAATTCCTGACCAAAACAATACCCCAAATTTGAGCTATATGTCTGTTCAACCATAATCTACCTCTTTCATATTAAGTGCACCCACACTTATATATCATTTTGTTCAGGAGAATAGGGCTTTTATTTCACATTTAATATTTATATATGGAACAACATTTCTCATACATTTTTTCGATTTTATTCATATTAAATTAAGAAAAGTTATTTTCCAAGTTCTGAATGGCATTTTAACTGTGGATGTCACAATACTGTTAGCTTTTACAGCAATAAAACACATATATTTGTAGCTGTGATGTTAGATGAGTATAATGATGCCCTCCATGTACAGGTTTTATAGTGTTTTGGAAAATGACAGGGTAACATTTTTATTGTTGGTCTAGATAATTTTTTTTACACATTGAAATTTGTGCGTTTGGTTTGCTGGACCTATGTTGCCTTTGAGACTGTATGGCAGCCCAGGAATGAAAATTACCCACATCATGGAATACCATTTGCAAAAGTAAACAACCTAGGGTATTCAAAATGGGGTATGTTCAGTCTTTTTTTTAGTTGCTATATTGTGGCGTGTTGATATTTTTTTTTTTGTTAGAATTTTTCACACAAAAACTGCACTTTCAACGATATCATACATTTTACTGCTCTAAAACACTCATATGATGTCTCACGACTCCGAGTAAGACAGATTCCACTGTGCCATGTACACGGTTTACGGGCTTTGGAAAGTTACAGGGTAAAATATATGGCATGCAAATTAAATTCTCTGGACTTTCAGCCTTGGTTGTCAGTCAGGTTCCCCAATATATAATTAATAAAATATATAAATACACCTAGAATGGAAATACAATAATAAACTACAATTTCTTTTACAAAATTATATAGATGGAGAGCGAGTATTTGGGCTGGAAGAAGGGTCCAATCTTTCCCTAAGGTCGGGAAGAGAATAAGGTACTTACAGGAGATGTATAATAACTGGGGTTGAAGATGGTAAGATATTTGGAGAAAAATAGAAAGAGTAGGTAAAATGGGTATGCTTTAGATATGTAGATAGATAGGAGAGGAAACAAAGAAGAAAACACAAAAAGATCTACGAGCCCAAAGAAGACCCGATATATGGGAAAGAATACAAATAGATGGGAGAGGAAAGAAGACAGAATGAAGAACTGTTGCAAATGATATGTTAAAATGTTAAATGAAAAATGAGACAAGAAGAAGATTTTGTCATACAAGCATTTCTTCATTTCCTGGAAACAGCCAGTAGATCGAAGCTAAATCAAAGCATATCTCCTGCACACCCATCTAGATTACCATTGATGACGCCAACAACCTCCCCACTTGTGTCATAAAATGTTGGGATCCATTAGGTGGGCAGAGAAATTATAGTTGAGAATTAAAACTTAATGGATGTATTATATTTAGCTACTAAAAAGTTCACCATCTTTCCCAGGTTCAATTTTTAAAAAACTTTTATTTGTGAAAAAATCCCAGTATAGGTAATCAGTTCAGTGTTAATCATGCGTCCCTAGACATTGTAAATTCATAATAAACTATTTAACAGGTAGGAATAGAGATTTCTTACCCAATGCGTTGTTGGTTAACATTCCGTACAGTATTGGATCCACATTTTCAGGTTCTTGTGCTGGAATGTCTGGAACATATGGCTCTAGGAAATATCACACATACTGAAGAGTTTATAACTATTCAGAGGAACCGTCTTCAACACCTACACAGTGCAAAGGTAAATTATAGTTGTACTAGATTAAATTCTGGACAGGGCCAACAAGTACGTCTGCATTATTGTTAAAAGTATTAAGTCGGGGCGGGGGGGCTGACAGTCGACGAGCAAGTCGCATGGTGCTGGAGCTCCCTAGGGAAACTTTCTAATAGGGCCTAAGATTGGACTTTACCGTACTTCTTTTGGCTGAAATCCTGCATCTAACCTTGGGGAACACCCTACTGATATTCAGGCACTTTTCCTCTGATACTGCCTGTGCTAGACTTACCTTCGATCTGTCATTATACTCGTTTGCTCGACACATATTGCAGGAAATGTCCCCCCTCCTAGGCAAAGGTAAGCAGGGAGGGGGGATCTCAAAATTACTATTTTTCTTTTAATTAAAAAATATATATATTTATTAATCTACCCTCCAACCCCAAAAACCTAAAATCATTCTCCCTTATACCCAAACACTGCCCCCCATACACACACACACAACATGCACCTCTAACACACACAGCACCCCTCACACACTGCCCCCATACACACACACACACACACAACATGCACCTCACATACACACTGCCCCCCATACACACACACTGCACACACACACAGCACCCCTCACACACTGCCCCCATACACACACACTGTCCCCATACACACACACAACATGCACCTCTCACACACACAGGACCCCTCACACACACACACAGCACCCCTCACACATACCATTGGGTTTTATTTATGACTGATGCGGGTCAGCAAAATATTTCTCCTCTTTTTGTCGGTCCCCGGGTGCTAAAAGATTGCAGAACACTGCTCTATTCTACATTGAAAAATTGTGCAATATACTCGAATGCCCTGTAACTATTATGCTTTGTCCAGTTAACTGTCTTGAAAATGCTGTTGGGGCATTGTAAGATTGTCTGTTACTCATTTGCACACAAAATTAAAGAATAAAAAAAATAAAAATAAAGTATTAAGTGGATGTCCAGGGGTGGTGGAAGCTTATTGACAGTCATCTGGTTTTGATAGACTGGCCAGCGGATTCTCATTTGCTCTTGTCCAAAAGGTGGTTAGAAATATCCTCTGTGCTACCTTCATACACTTAAAGAAAACTATCCACTTGCTTCAAGAAGCACATAAGAAATCTAGATGGAACATCACATGACGGGTTTTTGAAAACCTGCCATGAAAAACAAATTACCGTATATACTCGAGTATAAGTCGACCCGAATATAAGTCGAGGCCCCTAATTTTAGCACAAAAGACTGGGAAAAATGATTGACTCGCGTATAAGGCTAGGGTGGGAAATGCAGCAGCTACTGGTAAATTTCTAAATAAAATTAGATCCCCCCCAAATTATATTAATCGAATATTTATTTACAGTGTGTGTATATAATAAATGCAGAGTGTGTGTGTGTTTGTGTAGTGTGTGTATATAATGGATGCAGTGTGTGTGTGTATATATATGCAGTGTGTGTGTGTATGAATGCAGTGTGTATATATAATGCAGTGTGCGTATATAATGCAGAGTGTGTGTGTGTATGAATGCAGTGTGTGTGTGTGTGTGTGTGTGTATATATAATGCAGTGTGTGTGTGTATATGAAGTGTGTGTATATAATGCACAGTTTGTGTTTCTGTATGTGATGCAGAGTGTGTAACCTTAATGGGGGGTGAGCATTTTTATTATTTATTTTTTAATTATTATTTTAATATTAATTTTTTTAATTCATTTTTTAAATAATATTAAATTTTAATTTTATTATAATATTATTACAATTTTTATTTTACATTTTTTTCCCTCCCTGCTTGTTGCCTGGCCAGGGAGGGGGGCTATATTATTATAATGGGCTGTGTAGGAGGGGGGCTGGGAGCGAGCTGTTACTTACCTTTACAGCAGATCCATTCAGCTCCCTTCTTCTCCGTTCCGGTCAGCTCCACTGTAAGTCTCGCGGTTTGAGTGCCACACGCAGACAACCATGTAAGACATGCTGTGACTCTCACTTGTACGTGTGTTATGTAACCGTATGGATCCCTCATCAATGGGCTTAGCCTTTAAATGTACATACGATAACAGTGCTGCATTTTGCAGTGGCACTGTCAGGTCCCCCCGCTGTGCACTTACCTGGTTCTCCCTCGCTGCGTCTCCATGCGGATGGCTTCTCCATGCCGCACGCCTCCCTGTATCAAGACAAGACATCCTGGGCACTCACAAGCCCGTTATGCAGCACGCCGTCGCATACCATGAGGCCAGGACTCCTCTTCAAAAACGCCGCTCACACACTGAAGGCTCCTTAGGCGCACGCACACACCATCTTTTAAAGGACAAGGAGCCTCATTTCAATTAAAGTGCCACACCACACCACACCTGAAAACACTGAGGAGAGAGGTGTCCCTCCACTCCCTATAAAAGAATACCTGGTAGCCCTCGGTAGTACTCGGATAGACTGTGCTCACAGTACTGTTGCCTACTATCCTGATATCTGCGTTCCTGATATTGGCCCTTTGCCTGATTTACCGACTTTGAACCTATGCTGCCTGAATTAACCCTTTGCCTTGTCTGACCTCGTTCCTGCCTCGTCTATACTGCGATATATTTAAACCTATCTACAGCTTTTGCTGCATCTAGGGCTCCCTCCGCTAAACTCTTACGGTTACTGGGTAAAATCAACTACTCTAACTAAAAAGAGCGATCTGTTCCTTTTTAACAAATTGTATTCAAAGATGGAATGTGGTGGTCTTACCAAACGCGTTGGGGATGATATCAGCTGTTATGTTTTGTTGCACATTTTCTAATTCCTGCGCAAGAGCACCTTCTGCAAAACATAATTCGGTATAAAAGCTGTTAAATACACTGACATAACAGTCAAACTATAGTTTAATAAACTCTTTTCATTTCCCAGGTTTCTTTGGAACTTTAAAGCAGGTGAATCTATATGCACAAAACAGTGAATGTCTGCCACATCATTAGATTGTGTTATGTTGTAGTTTACATAGTTACATAGGCGGAAAAGAGACATGTGTCCATCAAGTTCAGCCTTCCTCACATTTGTTTTTTGCTATTGATCTAAAAGAAGGCAAAAAGGCTAACTAAAGAAGGCTAACTAAAGATGGTTACATTTGTTAACCTTTCTTCATAGCTAAAATGTACCATTACTTTTTATTAATGTTGTAGCCAGCCTCTGCACTCTTTCTAGTGCCATAATATCCTTCTTTAGAACAGGTGCCCAACATTTCACAGCTATTCAAGATGTGGTCTTACCAGTGATTTATTAAGAGGCAAATTATATTCTCATTCCGAGAATGAATGCCCTTTTTCATGCATGACAATACCTTACTGGTTTTAGCCACTGCTGATTGACATTGCACATTGTTGCATAGTTTGTTGTTTATAACAATTCCCAAATCCTTCTCGTGTGTGGTTATCCCTAATTTATACCCTAAATGCGTCCATTTAATCTATGAGTTACTTGTGCATGATTTACGCCAAAGTGCATAACTTCGTAATATTTCCTGCTCACTTTGTATTACTTTACATAGTTTTGTGTCATCTGCAAACACTGAAACATGACTTTCAATGCTTTTTCAAGATCATTTATAAACATGTTAAATAGAAAATTTACCATTAATGACAACTCTCTGTACTCTATAAATCTAGACCAATTTCTTTGAGTTTGAACATGAATATATTGTGTGGAACTGTATTAAATGCCTTGGCAAAATCCCAAAATTTTACATCCACTGCAACACCCTCATCTATACTTCTACTTACTTCTTCGTAGTTTAATGCATACAATATGATTTCAAGAGAAATAAACACCTTTATGAATTGATTAGAAGCTATTTGGGGTCACTCTCTGACAGTCAACTTAACATCTAGGGGGGTTAATGGATTGTCTCAGCTTGAGCAATTCATAAAATGAGCCATGATAGATAATTAGATCATCAAGAATTAGGTGAAAAAAAGCAGGTAGTCCATTTTCCAAAATTAGCTATTTTTCTAAAATAGCTAATAGATAAAAAAAAAAATCCAGAAGGGTTTACAAATATTCCATATACTATACTGATTGACATTGAGCCCTCCCACTCTATAATTTTTAGAATGTATAAATAAATGTTCTAATTTAAATTTGCATACTATGTGGAAGGTGGAAAAAGTAGACTTGCAGTCATTTTATATTAAACAATTTACCACGTTGGACAAAACTGGTAATGATGTACTGAGTCCAGCTTCTGTTCTGGGCCCACTTCTTTTTAATCTATTAATAATCTTGCACTAAGCATCGGAAGTCGTGTGTCAGTGTTTGTAGATGGTCCAAACCTGGGCAAGGTAGTCTGGTAGGATGCCACCAAAGTAGTAGATGAGATTTAATGTTTATAAATAGAAAGGTATGTTAAGACCACACTTTAAATTAATAGTACACTTCTGGGCTTTGTGGTAAACACGAATATCATGGTAATGGAAAAGTGGTGTCTCTGGTAAACTGTTCATTGGCAGGAGTGTACAAAAGAAAAACAGGACATCTATTGAGGTTACACTAGAAAAGGTGTTCTTTACAAGAACACAAAATAAGTGATTTTTTTTGTTTTGAGGGTATCATATTTTGCTATTTGCCCCAGATTCTGCAATTCCAATGTTCATTCACCATAATTCCCTGTTTAGAGAATAAACCATATCACCTTAGTAGAACTTTAGATTACCGGTACTCAAGATATATCTTTTGGAAATGCCACTACCATTGACATGCTTGCCAACACTTTAATTTGCAAATGCGTACACTGATATTTGTGTTTTGGATTCAGGTATATGTAATAAGTCCAGATGGGACACAAAGGAGTGAACATGATCTTTTCCAGCTAAGTTTCCAAGTTTCATATTATGTTTTCTGTTTTGGAAATTGGTCTTCAGTTACCCCCTATGTATTTATTACGACTAATAAAAGATATAAAGGGAGTACATTTATATATTTTATTATTTATTATCTGTCAATTAAGAAAGAATTTGAGATTATACACATTATACATCAATTTATATAAATTCCCCGTATATATTTTAGATTCAAACGAAAAGGTCTATTTTCCACCAGTACTAACGTCATTTAGCAATATGTCTGACAAGCTTTAATTCATAGATTGTCTACAGTCAAAACAGCCCAGGTTTTAGAAGAACACTCAGTTCCCTTTTGTTTCAAATATATTATTTGTAAGGTGCTGGTATTTACTAACATCCCAAAATATGTTTGCAAAAACAATATGGAAATTTTAACCACAATTCTGGTTTAATTGAATTTTTTATATTTTGATTTGTAATATTGTGTTCTGTCAATTTATGGGTATTTTAGCTAACTTCAGAAACAAATACCTCTGTTTTTATTCTATTTCTAGCTAAATTTAGATTTTTTTTTACCTAATGAAAATACTATCAGTATTTTTGATCAGCTTTATTTCATTGTATATTTTTTTTTTTTTTAGTAGCATTATTATACTGTATATTTTTTCTGGCAGTACATTTTATTTATTATTCTTTAAAAATAGTTTGCTGCCTCTGTTAACACCAAGCCCTCTATTATATTAGCTTGCTTAAATAATAAAATATGTTTACCTCCTTGTGAAGGTTCTAGTGGATTTCCAGTAGGATGTTGAACCTAAAACAGAGATTTACCAAAACAAATATAAATTTTAAAACGGAACAAATGGACAGAGTTTCTGTAGAAAAAGGATAATGAGAAAAATTGGATGTGGACGCAAGTTCTGGAGTAATATGGAATACTATCTTTTGTTTTATAGAAGGTGGATATATTGCAAGCCATCATCCCCAGTATAAGATCGACATCATGCAATCTAGGTCCATGTATGGTCAGTGCCAGATAAACAGCCCAGTGGGCCTGGTGCTGACAATTATGACGGGCCTAATTACAGAATCGTATCGACCAAAAACACTTAAACACCCATGCATCATGTATTGGATGGAGATGGTGCTGCAGGGAAAGAAAACAAAGCATTACCTTAACTAATTTCACTGTCAGCCAGTACACACAAGTTTTGTTCCCATACATCCCTGTTACGTTTTCATACTTAAGTAAGAGTATGTGAAGAGTAGTTAGGGTTGCCACCTTTCTTGGAAAAACATACAGGCCTTACTAATTTGCATAATTAATTATGTATGCATGACATCACATGATGTAACTCACAAGGAGTGACATAAGAGAAATTGCTGTAAAATCACCAAAAAACTACTTACAGTTTGATTTTGCTGTATAGATACATTGCTTTCAGTGTCTCACTGTCTCCAACTGTATCAGTGTCCCCATGTCGCCCAATGTCTGTGTCCCCTAGTCTCCCAGTGCCCCCATGACTCAGTGTCCCCATGTGTCGATTACCCAGGTCTCTCAGTGTCCCTATGTATAACAGTGTCTCAGTGCCCCATGTCTCCCAGTGTCCCCTAGTCTCCCAGTGTCCCCTAGTCTCCCAGTGTCCCCTAGTGTCATGTTACCAGGTCTCCCAGTGTCCCTGTGTATCACAATGTCTCAATGCCCCATGTCTCCCAGTGTCCTCTTGTGTCACTTGGGGCACTGGGAGACATGGGGACACTGGGAGACATGGGAACACAGACACTTGGGGACACTGGGAGACTTGGGGACACTGGAAGACATGGGGACACAGAGACAGTTGGGGACACTAAGACACCAGTGACACTAGGAGACTAGTGGACACTGGCTGGGACACATGGGGACACTGGGGAAATAGGGGACACTTGAAGACATGGGGACACTGAGACACCGGGGACACAGACACTAGGGTCACTGGTTGGGAGACATGGGGACATTGAGACACTTGGGGAACTGGGAGACATGGGGACAGTGGGAGACATTGGGACACAAACACTAGGGACTCTGAGACACTCTGTGTATACTGTGAAAAATACCAGCATTTGTATTGCCAGTATGACTGCAATATCGGCACCGGCCAGGCAGCCTCAAATACTGGCTGTGCCAGTAAAATACCAGCTAGGTGGAAACCCCGAGTAGTGTGTAAAAAATAAATAAATATATATATATATATATATATATTTTTTTTTTTAAATCAATGGGCCTGTTTCTTGGTCATGGCTACACAAGAGGCAAAATCCTAGCAAACCTTAATGGAGCCAGTTCTACTAATGTTCAGAAATTGCTAAAGCAAGACTGATTGTTAACACTACTACACAATGCTACTGCAAAGTCACAAGTTTAGGGAGGGCAACTTCAACTCAGACAACGATCAAAATACATAGCAATCAAATTGACCTAGCCAAGATATGGAATGGTTTTCTTAAACTACAGGGTGGAGGTCATGGATGTTGCTGGGGATCTGCTGAACTGGGCTGGAGACCCGAATTTGCTCATGAAAAGCCCTGGGTGTGATTCTAGCACGGTCTTATTGTTAAATCTACATCTCTTTAAAATCTGCAGTTGAAGGTGTTATTTCTCTCTAAATATTACAAATAAATCACACTTCCAATTAAAAAGTTCAAAGAAACCCCTTATATTGAATCCTGAATTTCTCAGTTATTTAACTACAAATAATGTAGTAATGATTTAACATGCACGAGATAGAATTTTGAATAGCAAAAAAATATAGTAAATATAGAGAGGAAAAGGTCATAAATATTGCCTGGGATTCTAGCTCCTAGTCTACCTGCTGCAACGCCCCTGGTGAAGGTAAAGATGTAGCATTTATGTGGCTTGAATTCTCAGAAGCCTTTGAATTCTTGGACTATTAGATAATTTTGTAACAACTTTGAGACCAAGCTCTGGGCTGCATTACATCAATCAATTCTAAGAGAACAATGAAATTCATCATGGGCAATAGTTTCCTTATCTCCAATACCATTCAGCTTCTATACAAATCCACCACTATGTATTTCTATCACTTCCGTAGGAAGCAGACTCATCACAGACACAAAAATGCCATCTAATCACAATATTTAAAGAAACTGCACAGATCAAATTGAGAGCTTCATTGAAGTTCCTGAAATTCATACATCACAAAGTTCACATCAAGAGCTGATTTTATGGAGGAGAGTCATTTGTGACGGTCTGTGAAAATAACATTTCCCTCCTGAGAAAAAAACCACAAAGAGCAAATTTCTTAAAAACTTACCACAGTAGTGTTGTGTACATTGCTAGGCAGATTACCAAGGCTGAGCTGCTGACATTGTGGGTCAACGTCATTCAGATTGATTGGTTCAGCATCGTCTGCTGGAAAATGGAAAATAAAAACATACGTAAAAAAACATTCAAAACAAAACAAAATCAAACAAAACCATAAATCTGAGATACCATAATGCCTACAGGGTTATTTTCTAAACTCAGAGTTTTGCAAATTAAATTTAGTGGCAAAACTTAGGCAAAAATAGCCACGTTGTGATTAAGTACTTTGTCACCCAATAGAACAACACTTGCTGTAGCTGAATTAACAATGGCATCACAGTGAGTGATTAGATCCATTAATTCATTCTGCTAGTAAGTAGTACCTGAGATGTAGATTGAGGCCTGTCTTTGCCAAATACACGTTGAAGGCACATTAGGGAACGGCTCCTGGTGCATTAGATACCAATGTGCCGTTTCCTAAAAGGATTTTGTAAATGATTGTTGACTATGGGATAGTCTGATGGACCAGCCCTAGAGAAATCCTGTAGGGATTAAGCAGTATGTGTGTGTGAGGACAGAATACAGTCACTGACAGAGCTTAGTGGCCAAGGAAGGGTGCACCTCTGAATTAGTGAAGCAATGTAGTGAGGGGCTACTTTATTAAGCGCTTTATATGTGAGTATTAGTACCTCTGATGAAGTTGGGTTAGTGGAACATTGAGAGCCAACGTTAAGAGGTGGTGATCTGAGAGTGGAAATGTTTTATTAGCCTGCGTTTGAGAAGATCATATGTAGGATCTTCATACGTCCTTCAGTTCCTCATGTTTAGCACAACCAAACAGCTAACAAAAAGTTTTAGAATTCTTTATCCTTTATTTTAAAAACATTCTATGTCAGGCAAAGCCCATCAAAGAGATTAGTATTTCCGAAGTGGTTTTCAAAAAATCCATCTTCAGAATCAGGGTATTTTGAGTAAAAATAATGTTTAAATGTATTTTTCGTTTGCATAGATAGTGCATTATTTACTGGAAACAAAAACAAACAACATTTTGGTTGGATAGAAAAACATAAAAACAAATAAATAATAATAATAATTAAACAAATAATGAAGTTACAGATAAAACGGTGTCACGGTCATTCAAAATATATGTGTGTGTGTATATATATATATATATATATATATATATATATATATATGTATATATATATATATATATATATATATATATATTTATATTTATATATTGAATGTCCATGAAACAGTTTTGTTTTGCAGACATTGGTTCCTTGTTTATAACAGTGTTGCTTGTCTGTCTTGATCTAGCTGTCGCACAAGAACCAAGCCCTGTCATTCTCAACTACGCTGTCTGTAGTAGCACATTCCATCTGAATTTAAGCAGGCCCGGCCCATATTCTGTGCAAATGTTTCTGAACACAATCCCAGCAATTTGGAGGTAACAGAAGGTTGTGCCTCTAAAATCTCGACCCACTTACTTTGTGCTGGATTGTCTATGAGGCACAGCTCTTTTGATCTGGTGCGGGGTGCCTCTTTCTGTGCTTATAGGATTAATACCTCAGTGCTATCTTTCTGTCCTGCTTTTTCCAACCACTGGTAAGATGTCGTAGTGTGAGTCATCCACTATCTGTCAATGATGTTGGTTGCGATAGAACCTCCTCACCTGTATCCTCTTTCTGATGTTGTCACAGGCACTAACTTAGCAGTTTATCTTTGGGTGCCATCTTTGTGATGTATGCTTTTAGTTTCATCCAAGACTGTGGTTTTAACACTCATTAGGCCCAAACCTACTTTCTTCTTGCTGGTATACAGTCGCCGAATACTAGATTTCAGGTGGAATCCTCCATTCATCATGAATAGTTTCCAGATCTTGATATCTTCTCTTGGCAAGGCTATTATTCCAGCTGGTTAACTGAAGGTAAAACACATGTTTTGATGGCATGGATCTTGTTCTGGCCATTGAGCTGGAAATTCAGGACCTGCCTCACTGTCTGGAAGTGCTTGGATGTTGCTCTCCTCCTTGCTCTTCCTAATGGTTCCTATTTGTTTGTGGTGTTCACATGTACTTGGAAAAACATCAGTGCTCCCCCAAGACAGATTCCAAGATACACAATGGCTAGGTAAAAGAGAAAATTGAGGCTCTCTACAGAAATCCATATAAGCTCACCTGTTTCTAAAAGGCAACACATCAAGGGGAATGGAGACCTCTCCTGGATCTTCACTAGCTATTTCGCTATCTGAGATTTGGCAAATTAAAAATGAAATCTCTGCAGTTCATTCTAAAATTCAGAAGGTGGTGTTTCCAAGCCAGTGGATGATTTCCATAGACTCATATAATGCCTATTTCCATGTTCTAATTGCTGCACAACACCAGAAGTCCCTGAGATTTTCTATGTAGGAATGGCACTTTAAATGTAGATCCCTTTCTTTAAGTCTAAGCACATGTGACCTATGCAGAGAAAGTCATAAGCCTGTTGGGTCCTCTATCATAAAACTGACAAGGTAGGCTCAGTGGAGGTTGAGAACTCTACAAGAGAAATTCCTACTACATTTCAGATCAGTCAATCTCTAACATCCCATCAAAATTCCATCTAGAGTGCATAATTTCCTGTGGTCAGCTACAGAGGAAGAACATCGTCCGGACATTCCTTCTGAGAGAAACCCCATAGATCAACCCAACAACATGTGCCAGCTATTGGGACTGAGGACCATATCTGCAAGACAACTTTGTGCAAGGAAGATGGAAGTCTTGAAACATCAAACTATTAGCAGCCTTAAAAGGCCTGTAGCATTTTCAGTGGGTGAGGTTCCTGGTCAACTATTCCACAGTAATGGCATTTATAAATCATCTAGGAGAAACCTAGGCCTGGTAACCATTCATTCATTCTTGTTGAGCAGATGAGGTGTGTCTTTCCACTCAATCCATTACTGCCTCCACTCCTGAGCAGGGCAAGAAAAGAGAGAATCTCCATCATACTGACTGCTGATTGATCAAATTCTGGACCCACAGAGCAAAACAGCTTTCTTTGCGAGAAGTCATCATGATAACGTCTGCGAGTATCATCCCTTCTTCACCAGTTCCCGGTGTTTCATCCAGGCCATCTGCCCCTCAAACAGAGGGCACAGAAGTTGAAAGGAGGAGGTTAAACAACTAAAAAATGTTCTGGTTCAGCCGTACCAAGCTAAAAAATGTTCTGGTTTAGCTACATACTATTGTATATGAGATACTATTGTATATGACCTTTTTAATGTGGGCTCAAGAAAAGAATGTAAATGTCCATAGTCCATCAAAAAGAGACATTCTAGAGGTTCTGCAGTCAGGACTAGTGAGAGGACTGAGTTACAATACCCTTCTATTGTCCAGGTTATTATTGCAGCTGGGCATCTGATGACTGGTAGGGCATATGTGTTGATGGTTTGTATCTTGTTTTTGCTATTAAGCTGTGACTTCAGGACCTGCCTAACTCTCTGGAGGTACTTGGATGTTGCTATCCTCCTTGCCTCTTCCTCTTGATTGTCATGTGTTTGTAGTACCTCCAGGAACTTGTAGCTGTTCTCTGACTCTCCTATTTGACCTTCTGGTACTTGAACTCCTCCTTCTGATAGAGAATAATATACAGAGAGCAATATAGTGATATAGACACTGTATGTGTGTTGCAGCCATGGACACAGACAATACACACTCCCGGTCTCAGGCATTCAGTCCATAACAGAGTGCTTAATGGGTCAGTCTAAGGTGAATTGGGTGGCTGTGAGGCCTTAGTAAGCACAATGCCTTAGGCAGCCTTCTATCTCGCCTGTAGAGAGCTGCCTCTAGTGCCTAAAGCGTCCCTTTAAAGTGCCTGTTCATTGTGGGTTTTACCTCAGCAGAAGTATGGTTCAACACAATCATGTCACATGTAAGGTTAAATACTTCCCTATTCCCAGCTCCCCTCACACTCTCATCTAGAGTTGCCTGAACCAGCTGAAAACATAGGCAGAAACTCAGAAAGGAGGGAATGTTTATGCAAATCTTATGACACGTAGCCAAGATGGCTTCTTCTACTGGCATACAATTTCAGTGAATGTCTAAATCTGTATCCTTGGTTGCTTGCTGGCAAGCAGTTACTCTCTGTATAAGGAATGTCCACAAATCATATATCAATAACAAGATCACTTCAAGGATGCTACTATAAAATCTTTTCTGTTATCCAGTGGCTTCTAAAGGATTGGGGTGGTCAACCTGAGTGACAGGTGCAGTGGACTACACACAATCCATGTGCCCCCCCGACACATACATAGACACAAACACATACACACAGACAGACAGACATCCCCCCGACAGACACATACATACACATATACATACAGACAGACACACACACACACACACACATACAGAGACACAGGCACACACATACACACATACAGAGACACACAGATACATACATAGACACAGACAAATTCTGATAGCTGGGAGGAGTGACCGGGGAGTCACTTCCTCCCAGCAGTGATGTCATCACAGGGGGCCCGGTTGCGCTGTTAAAGCGCCCAGCGCAGACTGGGCCCCCTGACAATCCATATTCATCGGGTGGCCCTGACAGCATGGGCCACCTGATGGACCTCTTAACATGCGGCCCCAGCGGTTTGGCGCACGGGCCGGGGCCGCAAAACATGGCAGCAACTGCAAACCCTGCGACTGCGGTATGTATGCCACTGGACAGGTGGAAAGAGGGAGCAAAACGCACCCTTTACCTCCAGAAACTAATCCACAGCTCTTTAAGATGCCTGTGGTGCCATTTTCAAGCAGTTCCCAACTGGACAACAGTCAAAATAAGATAAGGTAAGCTAGGTGGACCTCATTGTTAACAACAATAAATACAATTTTTTATTTAAAAAAATACTATATCATTTATTCAAATTAAAAAAAAGGATGGAATTCTGAGTGTGTACATGACTGTGTATCTGAGTTTGTGCGTGTATGAGATTGTACATATGTATATCAATGTGTGTGTCTGTGTGTGTGCATGAATGTAGGTATGTGTGACTATAAATATGTATATGAATGCCAGAATGTGCATGTCATTTCTATAACAAAAGATAGGAGTGGTGCAGAGGTAGACCTAAAAACATTTCTTTACAGTTTGGGGGTGGGGGTCCAAAATAAATTTTCGCGCTGGATGCCATGTAACCTAGGTATATCTCCAAGTATCTAAAACGGTAAAAAATAATCTTTTACTTAGCTATTGAGTTTTCTGTCTCAATTCATTCTATTCATTACAAGCAGCGCAGGAACAGTAGCAAGGGAAATATTAAAGTAATATATTGCATACGAGTGTTCCTCAACACCATCGGATAGTACCATCAGTGATAAATGTTTCCAGTTAAAAAGCACCCTTGAAAAGGACACACTAAGTACCATAACCACTTCAGCTCATTGTAGCAGCTATGATGTCATAAGTCTTTGGGCACCAGTCACCAAGTTTTAATGTGGTTTGACAAAAAGCCCTGCCCAATGGCTCAGCTAATGTGGACTTTAACGGTCTCCTCAGCTCTTGGTGTGTTCAACTACAAGAACCACATCAGTCTATATTTAAAAGAAAAAAAAAATACCACAACAAGAGGACATAGTCTTAAATTAGAGGGTCAAATGTTTAAAATTAATATCAGGAAGTATTACTTTACTGAGAGGGTAGTGGATACATGGAATAGCCTTCCAGCTGAAGTGGTAGAGGTTATCACAGAAGGAGTTTAAGCATGCGTGGGATAGGCATAAGGCTTTTTTCTAACTATAAGATAAGGCCAGGGACTAATGAAAGTATTTAGAAAATTGGGCAGACTAGATTGGCCGAATGGTTCTTATCTGCCATCACATTCAATTGTTTCTATGTTCTCTTGTGCAGGACTGAGAGTGCAAAACAAGGAACTATCTATGTAAGATCCCGCAAGACCATTAGATCCTCCAGATTATTTTTGGCCATATGCAATAGAATGGTATAGGCATCTATTATGCATCACTTGTGAAGATGCTTGACCCTTGTGAGCGTTGGATGATGGGGAATAGCAGAATATGATAGCCCATGTTCAAATTTTGCCATATTTTGACTCATCCTTTTTTTTTCTAATGTATATTTTATGACTGTGCATGAATTATAATTAAATACTGACTAATACCACCTAGAGACCTTTTCATGATCATTTTTGTTCAATGAAAAAGTCCTTGTTGAAATATACAGCAAAATGGAGACTGTCCCAGTGACTTCTGGACACTTCGAAAGTTGGGAACTATGCTGCTCTAAGTTCACCACAACAGACCCAATCATGGATGAAGAGACCCATAATTTTGAGATACGTTGGTTAAGCATTTTAAAATGTATCCCATGATTTAGGAGAGAAGAAATCAGGTGGCTTGTGACTGGTATGAAGGAATAAAACATTAAAAAGAACACTTTACTACATATGTTCTTCTCATCCTGAACTTTTGTATACCTGCACTGTACCCACCAAGGCCTCTGTTTATTGATAATGTGTATGATGTCACCACTGCTGTCACACTATTGTTCTATTTGCTGTCATTGTATGCATCACTGTTTACTGCTCAAGTCTAAATAAAGAATGTAAAAAAAAAAAAAAAAACACTATAGGCACAATCACCATTTAATCTCACTGAAGTATTTATAGTGCCTGGAGTCCCCTGTCACTGTCCCTCCATTCAGAGTTATATGGTTTTTGAATGGTTTAACTTGAATGAGGGTCCCCGGCTGCCCACAACCTGGCTTCCACTGGAGATGTGGCTAAGGCAGAGATGACATACTTTATTCAAGCCATACCAACTCATACCAGCAATAGGCTTCTGTGATAGGATGAAAGCGCTGACACTCTGAGCCAATCATAGCCGCTTAACATCTGATCATTCAACAAAACAGTTTAGCAATAAATGGAGGGATGGCACCAAGCACTATAACCACTTCAAGATAAAGTGGCTATTGTACCAACAGTGCCCCTTTAATCACTTGTACTAATATCTTGCTATGTTGAAGATCTGAGGTAAATTTGATAATCTAGAGAGAGTGTGATAATAAAAGCTATTCACAGTCCATCATTTCCTCCAATTCTTTCAGTACAGACAGCATGTCCACAGAAGATGAGATAGAGAGTGACTTTGATATTTCCAGTTTGAGTTCATCGCTCCGTAGTGAGGTTGCACCGCCCGCATAGCTCAACTCATGAAGCATCTTCATTGACATGGAGGTGACCTATGGAGGAAAGAAGATGTATGGATAGGTTAGTTTGTGCAAATAAAGAAAGATCCTATGAAATTAATGATCTAATCGCTATACCTGGGTGAACTTGCAATACCAAGGACTTAGATCTTCCCCTGGTCAATCTTTGGGGAAAGAATAGAATCTCTGAAAAAAATTATGCATTTACCAAATATGCAGTGAATGAGTAGGAGAAAGCGTCTAAAGTTTGATGAGGAACAACAGTATGGGTGTAGAACTGTCTTTACTTGGCCATAAGAAATGTTGAAGGACTGTCCCGAGCACTTAAAAAGGGACATTTAACAAAATTATGCCATCTAATTATCTTGATATGTATCTTGAATCTACAGCCTGATTTTTAAGTTTACCTTTTTCTTTAGATATTGGGATTTACTTACTTTTTTTTTTTATTATTATTATTATTTATTTTGAGTTGTGCATAAGGTTACAAAACAGGCTTGTGCTGCCACAACAACAACAACAAGCTACTTCATCAGACGTAGTATAATTGCAGCATGGCAGTCGAAATAAATGCACATTTTTTACGGTTAGGAAAAATATTTGGTACAGGCTAGGAACATATCTTTGTTATTCGGGTGAAACTTGGTAATTAAACTAGCAAGACACTCTAGACCCAAGATTAGTATCATGAAAATAATATGGAACACACGCTTAACTACAGTGTTGTTCTGTTAAGATGACAGATGCACCAACTCTGTTCTAGGTAAACTAAGCTTAAACCCATTATGAGATGTGATCTGGGATGCAGCGTGAACTAAGAGTAGTGGGTTATATATAGAGCGTTGCATCGTTTTTATAATAAGTAATAAAGAAAACCCATGCTAGTGATAAAGGCAAAAACTCAGCAGAAATTGAAATAATGAAAGGTTGAAGACTGTAACTGTATGTTTAGCTAGTATTCAGAGAACAGCTCATGGGTTGAGAGGCATGGTGGGGAAATCCAGCTATAGCAGGATGTGCCTGAAAGACTCCGGTCCCATGGCTACAATCAGCCCCTCTGGGCACCAAATACAGTCCCTTAGAACCATCGTCATCTGGGATGTAAGAGGAATGCATGTGAACAGGTGCCAGGCATCCGGCATATGTTGGCAGAGATTAGTGTAGTAGGGGCGTCGGAGAATCCCTGGAAGGTAGGCAACTTCAGGTCTGGTCCAGAGTTGTGGTGGCTTGAAGTGGAGATGGAGGCTAGATATGGGACAAACTCTTCATTTCTGTGCAGCCGGCCCCGTTGTCAGCACCTCCTTGGGGAACCGCTGGTGATTACCATCCTGCGTCCGCCCTTGGGGCATGAGATTGCCAGTTGTGCAGGTGCTGGAATGGTCTGCTTCGCAGGTGCAGTGCTCCGCGTCCTCTCAGATATCTTGGCCCAAACGGCAGAAAAAATTTCATCAAGCTTGGTCAGAGAGTGAGATGCAAGATCACCACAGGCTCTCAGGCTTGCCAACTGAAGTATGGCATCCGCCATATTGGAATTGGTGATTCCTGGGATGAGCAGTCTCTGAGATGTACAGTGTCCGTGGTAAGTATTCTGCTGGTGCCGGGATATCCCTCACCGGCGGGAGGCGAGTGTATGGGGGGGGAGAGGAGAGCTCGTGGGTGGTCCTCTGCAGCTTCAGGATCCGTCTCCAGGGAGCCCCGGGCTGGGTGATCGGCCGCCTCACCCAAGCCCACCCTTGTACCTAGGCCCCAAATGTACCGGTTATCGCTGTTGCCGGGATAGAGACCAAAGAGCCCCACCTGCACCACAACAAGAGTACCGAGTAGGGTGAGGATTAAACCCAGTCAGCCAAGTAGTTGAGCAACAATACAGCTTAATTACAGGTTTATTTCACGGATCCCCGGGCTTATGCAACTTCTCTGCATGGCGGTCAGGCTCCGCCCCTGGGGTTGACTTACTTGTGGCAAAAAAACACAGACAAGTTTCATAAAATGCCCACTCCCCTTTTCCTACAAAGTTAACCCTGGCTCTGTGTGTGGTAATGGAGGCAGAGGCAAGAACAAATCTTCAAACAAAACATTTGATTGAATTATTCTATTTACAGTACACCTGGCTGCCTAGGTGTTGGAGTTACAAATAAACATACATACATACATACACATACACACACACACACCTTTTTATATCTAGTAAATATCTAATGGATTCACAGTTCAGTGAAAGAAGTTACTTACTTCGACCATAATAAGGTTCTCCTTCCACTGCCTGTTATGTGGCCACTGTTGTCCGAGGCAAATCCAGATTGTGTATTGGGGAGATTCCCTCCTTGTTCCTTCCGTGAACTGAATCAATTCTGACAGAGACAAAACATGAAGTTAGCATGATGTCGCATACAGAACATCAAACAGCACAGGCTGCCTATTGAAACCGGTAAATAAGACATTTTGTGCGTGTCAGAAACATTTATAACAAAAACTTTTGTAGCATTATTCAACGACAAAAAAGCCGAAATATTATTTTGTTTAATTGAAATTTACTTTGAATTCTCCTTTAAGTAAATAAACCTTACTAGGGTGAAATATGTAATTTAGATATCCACACTTATATACATACTCTACAAATGAAAACCTGTATACCTCTTATAAACTCCTGCATAGTGAAGAAGACCGTGTAGTCAGATTTGCTGATTTCATTTGGACAATTTGCGTTCGGGAATTGGGTTAAGGTCCAGTAGCTTTTACATTTGCCTTGCCTCTTTCCACAAACTGACCCATCTCTCTCCTCAACCAATGTACCGTCTTCCAGGTTCTCCAGCAGTTTGGTTATGGAACTTGCCACTTCAGAGTCAAGAACATTATGAGGTATTGGTAAAATCACATCTTCCAGGTAGTTTGCTGGATTTGTTTGTTGTCTTGAAGTGATACAGAATCCACGAGGGTTCTTTACTAAGGTATTTTTGACTAGGGTTCCTCGATAATAAATCTTAACATCATATTGGGTTTCTGTAACATACAGGCAACATCAAAATATTGTAAATTCAGCTATTGATGTACTTTGGGGAAATGTATCATTACTGGGGTTGAAGAGGGCAAGAAAACATAAAGAGTAGGTCAAATAGGTATGGCTCAGATATGTGGATAGATAGTAGACATAACAAAGACAACAGAATTGGATTAAACAAGCTCAAAGAAATACCAATAGATGGGAAAGAATTGAAAGAAAATAGGTGGAAGAAGGACTAAAATGGAATGAAGAACAGTTACAATGGAAAATGTTGTATTTAGGAAGAAACAACAAGATTTTGTCAAATGAGAATTTCTTAATTTACCAGAAGAACAAAGTAGAATGGAACAAAATCAAAGAACATTTCATGCACACCCATCTAGATCACGAGTGATGACACCAGCAACCCACTATGTCAAAATTTTTTAGGAACCATAAGGTGATAACAGATGTTTTGGGTGAGAATTAAAACTAAATGTTTGTATCATATTTAACTACTAAAGAGAATCTCCCATCTTTATCAAGTTTATTTTAATAATTACTTTTATTCATGATATGGTGGCATTGATTACATTTATCTTTTCTCTGAATATTTCTGTGTCCTGCACATCTCTTCTTCTCTCTAAGGATGAGGGTGGAAGCAGAATTACTAAGGACAAAAATAATAGGGAAATAAATAAATAAATAAATAAAATAGAAGAACTGTTGTTTCTATTGATACACAACGTGGCTTTTTCACCAGGTGTGAAGGCCTCCACTTTTGTGTTCCTTCCATGCCACACAGTCCCCCAAATCCAGCATCTTCTCCAGGATGGCTTACTGCAATCACTTACCATCTTGATGTCATGTTGTACTTTACAATAAAAAAATGAAATCAAAATATTGACTTACAAAAAAAAAAAAGGAGAAGAACTGAGAGAATAAAAATATGGTATACGGAGGAGTTGGGGGGGACCTCCATGCTGCTAAGTCGCATGCCAGAGCAGCTCCTGTTTGTTGCTTTATGAACTGATAATTATCAGACTTTACCTATTTTTGAAGCTGGAGTCTGTACAATATTGTGAGAAGGGCCGCTGAGCTAGTTGAGCGAGGGGTAAGGTTAGCAGCCGCCACCTAACCTTCCTGTCACTAACTAACTTGCCAACCTTTTGGAAAGTGATAGTGTGCTCACCTCCTCCTGACCAGCCAGCAGTTGATCGATACTCTTGAGGTCTCATACCAGGCAACTTAAAGGTTCCCTGCGCTGTTTCACGGCAGATGTATCTTCCTAGACCGGGAGTCCACTGGGGTAGAAACCCCTTACACCACCCACATCCTTGGGGGACTATGCGGCAGAGGCACCGTCGACCTCAGACACTGGGGCCCACCAGGAAAAGCTCCCTTGACTGTAGGACAGTGGAGCTAAGGTGAAGGCTCCTACTCAGGCCTGGGGCTGGCATGATGCTGATGTACTGGAGAAGGTACATTGACTAGCTGAGCATGCATCTACCTTTCCAAAGCAGGGACATTGGTTGAAGCCTCTTTATTAAGCGCCCCCTAGTCAGGCCTCAGTCAGTTTATCCATGTTCACCTCGCAAGGTGAGGCCTTCCTCTGGCTTATACATCAGTCATATGCTCAACTTTGTTTAACTCAGATGCTACCACTTATGAGTAGTGATGCCGCGAACGGTTCGCCGCGGTTTGCCGCGAACCGTTCGCAGCGAACTCCGGTCAGCTGACACATCCCTGCCAATCTCCGGCAGACCCTACCTCCCAGACCCTCCCACCTCCTGGACAGCATCCATGTTGAAGCTGCCTTCAACATGGATGCTGTCCAGAAAGTAGGAGGGTCTGGGAAGGAGGGTCTGCCGGAGATTGGCAGGGATGTGTCAGCTGACCGGAGTTCGCCACGAACCGTTCGCGGCAAGTTCGCGAACGGTTCGCGACATCACTACTTATGAGTACACATGGTGTACATATTCATGGTTATACACCTTTGCATAAAACATTTTAGTGGTTTTACCCTGCACTGCTTACCTCCTATGTTTACTTAAGCAATACACTTCTGTTCCTGTGTTTTATTCAGTGTGGCCTTGGTGGTTACGTGTGCGCCGAAACGGTGTGACTTAAGCACAAACTGTGTTGCTCTTCATGACAAATATGCAAAAATTGGTGCAGTACTCTAATATACATAACTTTATATTGTATAAGCTTGTTATTTACGCTTTGTATTGTTCTTGCATATTGTGTATATACACTGCATGCACCACAAAAAAAAAAAAAAAAGAGAATTAAAAAAAAAAGGTGCTGTATAGAATTTTTTTTTCGAGTATAACAGGTTGATGTATAAAAATAACTAAAAATCCTAGTCTGGTTTTCCAAGATAATCCGTCCTGTGCTAATAATGTGTTCCTAGACATCTATTAGATAGGAAAAGCCTATCATAAATTGATAGATTAAAAATATAGATTTCTTACCCAATGTGTTGTTGGTTAACATTCCGTACAGTATTTGATCCACACTTTCAGGTTCTTGTGCTGGAATGTGCGGAACATATGGCCCTAGAAAATATCAGACATACAGCAGCGTTTATAACTGGCCAGAGGAACCATACCAAACACTTATACAGTGCTAACGTGAGCGATCATTGTCCTTGTACTAAATTCTGGACAGGGCCACCAACTAGGTCTACATTTTTGTTAACGGGATTAGGTGGATGTACAGAGGCAGTGAAAGCTTGGCGATGGTCATCTGTTTTTGATAGACTGGCCAGCGGATTCTCATTTGCTCTTGCGAGAAAGGTGGTTAGAAAGAAATATCCTCTGTGCTACCTTCACACACTCAAATAAAACAGTCCCAAAACTTAAACTTAGCAATATACTGGAAGGAGTCCAGAGCTGCTAAATGAGAGCTAAAAAAAAAAAGTTTAAAAAGGGTGCTTAGAATTTGAGAATATACTGTATCTTTTTCTCTATAGATATATCAATGTGAATGTTTGAAGACATTTTTTGTGTTTAGATTATGTCACCAGCACATTACTTGCTTGGTATTTATTACATAAAACGGGCTACTACATTATAAAAGTGCATAAAAACCTGAAAATGTTTGCTGTTTAATGTTCTGAGAAAACAGCCTGAAAAACGAATAAACTCAATTAATGGTTTTCTTGATCCTGTTGCCATACACAGCGCAAACAAGAACTTGACAATTATGGGAAATTTTGGAAGTTTCAATTGCAAGAATTCCGGAAAATACATAATGGGAAAGAAGCTTAAGTAATACTGATAAAAATATCCAAACATATAAAATAATTGCTTTAGAACCCATTCTCAAAGTCAAACCTCAGCAAATTTTAATGCAAGTCTGTTGCTTGTGTAGAGGATAAATGCCACTGGTGGTTTTAATCACGGTTTGTATTGGTACAGCACAGTTACTAGTCTAGTATTAGATTAGCAGTGAATATGGCCAATACATCCCCTACTGTACGTTGCGCATGCACACACTTCTGTCTGTTCTTCTGTAGAAACCTACTGGGAAATTCCACAATACCCATACACCATACAATTTATTTGGTGCATGGAAAATTAGTTTAAATTATGGTTGATGTCAATGTATTCGTGTGCTTACAACACAGTTTGGAACAACAAACTGGAATAAAGGGGAATGGCACATTTATTGGTCTCTACCATATTCAATTTATAATTATTCCACTGTATTATTTAGATGAGGTGAGATATATATATATATATATATATATATATATATATATATATATACATACACACACACACACACATATATATACACATATATATACACACGCACACACACACATTATCCACACAGACAGACAACCATGTAAGATATGCTGTGACTCTCACGTGTACGTGTGCTCTGTAACCATATTAATTCCTCATCAATGGGCATAGCCTTTAGGATGTACATGTGATATCAGTGCTACACTTTGCAGTGGTCCTGGGTAAAATCAACTACTCTGTCTAAAAGGAGAGATCTGTTACATTTTAACAAATTTTACATAGATGGAATGTAGCGGTCTTACCAAATGCGTTGGGGATGAAATCAACTGGTGTGATTTGTTGCACATTTTCGAATTCCTGCACAAGAGCAGCTTCTGCAAAACATAATTCGGTATAAAAGCTGTTAAATATTTACTATAACAGACAAAATATAGTTTTATAATTTTTTTTTTAAAGTTTATGGTTTAATAGGGAGGCGGAGGTAGCGGCTATCATTGACAGTCCCACATTCCTGCAACTGCAAGCTCTTGATTGCAAAATTTGAGAAAATTTTTTACCTTGCATCTGACATGCATCAGGGATTTCTTCCTCCTAGTCATAGGGCATTGGAATAAAAAATATAAGGCAGGCAAGCTACCTTTAATGGCAGGTATTGGCGATTTGCTCCGAAAGCTGCAGAGCTCCCAGATGGCTGTCAGGATGCCGAAGCTAGACTACTCCTCCAGATCATCATGTAAATTCTCTTTGGCCTAAGGTGCAGAGCCTTCTATGTCAGGGAGAGCCAAAAACTACTGAGGGCACACCGAGGCACCTTCTGGAGGATCTCCGCCACAACATGGTGACTGATATGGATCTCTGACGAGAGGAGCTGTCAGGGGTCTCTGCCTATCTTACCCACGAATGAGGATTGAATTTCTAAACATGAGTAGACAGTCCAAACCCTGCATAAAGCTCAGACACAATTAATCCTGCAATTTATAGTTCTACAGGACTAGAGGAGATGTTAAAGTCCAAGGTCTATCTATTGCCACAGATGTGGCTGAACTGCCTCATCTTTTTTAGGAGATTAATCTCCCAACTGTTTTTAACTAAACAAGCAAAAGCTATGTTATTAAATGGATGCTATTGGAACCCCAAACCACTGCTGCAAGGGCGAACAGTGATGTTGTCATTAGATTTCAGAGTGGCCCAGACAAAAAATACCTTTATGACTGGGTTCCGAAATAAGTCACCTTATTGGTTTGAGGGTAGGGCGCTTTTGTTCACCAGGAGCTATCTAGGGCAGGCATAAGCAACCTTCAGGACTCCAGATGTTTTGGACATCACCTCCCATGATGCTTTGCCAGCATTATGGGTGCAAGAGCATTATGGTGGATGTAGTTCACAACATCTGGAGTGCCAAAGGTTGCCTATCCCTGATCTGGGGCAACAATGAAATGGCACTTTTCTCCTACCCAATAGCTTGGGACCAATTGACCACTGTGGAGGCCCTCATATTCTATTAATCATCTAGGATACAGGGGCATTAAAATTCCACAAAGTATCAGAGATTGCTACTGTCCTTACCCAACTCAGTCTCATTGCACTACAGAATGGACAGTCTTCCTCCGTGCCTCTATCATGGAATATTACCTGAGATCCAGCTAAGACTACATGGTTTGTCCCGGCTGCACAATGCAGAGACTCTACAGCTATCTCTATTACCTAAACCACCTGCAGGGTGTCACAGCCAACATTACTTTTTTCTTTATTTCTTTGTTGTTGTTATATTTGAGTTTTTTGTTCATTACATTAGAGAGTGAGTAACTACTATGCTAATATATGCTAAGACGTATCTGTCTTTAGGATGGTTGCCCTGTGGGTTTATACCCTTTTTATTGTCCCCATCCCCCCCCCCACACACACACATACTTTCATCTACTTCTTTAGCCAACTGTTTAATGTTGATAATTTAGTAGGCTTGAGCTTCTCAGGGTCCACATTAGTCACATATACCATAGGTACACTTATACATTTTAAGAGGCATAGTGTCTAAGATCCCGCAAGGATTTTCTTCTGTTTATGATTACCTGCTGATGCCATCTTTGTTTTTTAAGTGCTATATATTATACAAAAAAAATACCTCGATCCAGAGGATTGACACCGAGTACACAGAGTTGAAGTATTGGCAGATCCGTTTATAAACGCAAAATAAATGCCACTTTATTTAATTTCCCTGGTTTCTTTGGAACTTTGGAGCAGGTGACTCTATTTGTATAAAACTTCCATATCACTGGATTTTGTTTTATTGTAGTTTAATGCATACCATATAGAGCACCCTTGAGACTGTCTGCAACTGAAGTGCTTTAGGGGCTAACTTGCTGTCCCCTTGTCCCAAGTCATGTAAGTGTTGAATTAAAAGTTATCACTATCAAACCAATAGTGTCTGGTTGAAACACTGCAATTTAGTCAATGAAGGATGAATTTCAAAATCTTGGTCATAGTAGACAAGTTTCCAACATTTTCCAGCTCTGCCAATTTTCCAGCTCGGCTGCTTTGGCCAAGAACTTGAAATGCTAACGTTACTTCACCACAATTCGCTGTTTAGTGAATAAAGCCTATAACCTTTCCTATTGGTATAATAATGGATTACTCAAAATATGTCTTGTCGATATGGATGCCCCTACCACTGGCCTTCTTACCAACACTTTCATTTGTAAGGTAGTGCCCCGATATTTTTGTTTTGGACTCAGACCTATGTGAATAGGTCAAGGTGATTAAAATTTAGGTTTGTTGGTGTCAGTTTTGCAATTTCTTATTACAATTTCCCCTATCTATACATTAAAAATAATGAAATATATTTACCTCCTTGTGAAAGTTCTAGATTCACCGAATTTCCAGGAGGTAGCTGAGCCTAAAACAAAGATTTACCACAACAAATATAAATTTTAACACAGCACAAAGAGGGTAGTAAGGATAAGTGGATGAGGAGGAAAGTTTAGGAGTAATATGGAATACAATTTTTTGCTTTATAGAAGGTGGAGACATTGCAAGCCATCATCAGGGCCAGATTAAGAGCTCAGTGGGCCTGGTGTTGACAATTATGAGGGGCCTAATTACAGAATTTTATCGACCAAAAACACTAAAACAGTCATACCTCTCAAGCGTTATGTATCTGGTGGAGAGGGAAACTCATAGGATGCAGCTATAAGAAAATGCAGATTCTCTTAAAATATGCTAATCTCTCTCTACTAAATGCTTTCATCTTTCAAGTAAATCCATTCCCCCTAACAGCAGTGTCCAGTGAAGCAGGAAGTCAATGGGCGGTGTAAAAGGGTGTGCCACTGACATGTGACCAGAACTGCCAAAAGGAGCGAAAGTGCCCAAAAAGGGGGCATGTCTGCCCAAAGAATTGGAAGACCAGCCTGGCATCAGTGTCCCTATGTATCACATTGTCAGTGTACCCATGTCACCCACTCTACTAGTCTGCCAGTGTCTGTGTCCTCATTGCTCCCAGTGTCCCCATGTCTCAGTGTGTCCTCTGTCACTAGGATACTAGGAGACACTGAGAGACATGGGGACACTGAAACACTTGGGGACCCTGGGAGACATGGAGACACAGACACTAGGGACATAGACATTTGGGGACACTAAGACACTAGGGACACTGAGAGACATGGGGACACAGACACTGGGAGACATGGGGACACTGAGACACTAGGGACACTGACATGGGGACACAAACATTTGGGGACACTGGAAGACATGGGGACACTAGGGATACTGAGATACATGGGGACACAGACACTAGGGACACAGGCTGAGAAACATGTGGACATTGGGAGACATGGGGACACAGACATTTGGGGACACTGGGAGACATGGGGGCACTGGGAGTCATGGGGACACAGACACTAGGGACACTGAGAAACATGGGGACAAAGACACTGGGAGACTATGGGACACTGGGAGCCATGGAGACACTGAGACACTAGGGGCACTGGCTGGGAGACATGGGGACACTGGAAGACATGGAGACACTGTGTCATTAGTGTCTCTGTGTCCCAATGTGTCTCCCAATGTCCCTATGTCTCACAGCGTCCCCTAGTGTCTGTATCCCCAGGTCTCCCAGTGTCCCATAGTGTCTCAGTGTCCTCATGTTTCCCAGTGTCCCCAAGTGTCTCAGTGAGAGGCAGGGAGGGATATGCTGTAACTTCCTATCCCTGCCTCTCTCCACACACACTGACCCCTACTGGCCGGTGCTGGTATTGCAGAGTAATCTCAGTTTATACTGAGAAAAATATCTGTATTACTGCAATACCGGCATGGCCAAGCAGCCTCAAATACCATCTGTGCCAGTAAAATACCAGTCAGGAGGAAGACCTAAGAGTAGGGGGTAAAAAAATAAAAAACAAGTAAAAAAAAATTTTTTTTTTAAATGGGCCTATTTCATGGGCCTGGGCCTGGAGCTGCAGCTCCATCAGCCCCTATGTTAATCCGGCCCTGGTCATCATCACCAGCATGTTTCCTAGATCATGGCAACTTACATTCGCTTAGCCCATGTAACGGACCGTTGTGCACAAAAGGGGTAAAAAGGGGTTAACAGCCGTTTAGGAGATCTTCCCCTTCCAGAGATACAGGCACAGCTACTGCAGAACACCAAACTCCCGAACTGGATACAAAATAGCACTCCAACTCCCGAACTGGAACCTCCCAAATAGCTGCTAGCAGACGAACAGGAAAAGCACCCAAGCGGCTTACACTCCTGGCAATCAGTCTCTATCAGCATACAGTAAATCCCCCCAAAGACGAGACAGAGCTCCGTGTTGAGGGTCAAGCAGTGGTCTGTTTAATGAGGGCTACCTCTGCACAAATAATATCAGAACTTGAGAATTTCGATTGGCAAAATGATTTTTTATGGGCAACAGTTGATGTTGCCTCCTTGTATACGGTTATTGATCATTCCAAAGGTATACAAGCAGTAAAAGAAGTTCTTTATGAAAATCAAAGTATGAACAATTTACAAGCAGATTTTATACTGGACGCCATTGAATTTATTCTCTATCACAACTTTTTTTGGTTTAACGATAAATATTATCTCCAAACTTGTGGTACAGCCATGGGCACCAGGTTTGCGCCGAGTTACGCAAACATTTTTGTCGCGAATTGGGAAATGAAGAACATTTGGAAAAATAATCCCTTCGGCGCAAACCTGGTGCTATGGAGACGTTATATAGATGATGTTCTTATTATATGGAAGGGACCAAGAACTCTCTTAGAAGATTTTTTAAAATATATTAATTCTAACTCTTATAATCTGGTTTTTACAGCAGAAATTAACACATTGAATATTAATTTTTTAGATTTAACTTTTTTTATTAAGGACGGACGAGTACAAAGTAAAGCTTTTTTTAAACCCACTGATGGTAACAGTTTTATTGAGTTTTCTAGTTGCCATCACCCAAACTGGCTTAGAAATATACCCAAAGGACAACAAATGAGAATATATAGGAATTGTACTGAAAAAGGTGACTTTGAAAATCAAGTAGGGATTTTAAATAAGAAATTTAAAAACAGGAATTATCCGACAAACTTGGTTTATGAATCACAAAAACAAGTAGAAAAATATAATAGGAAGGATCTCTTAAAAGGAAAAAAGAAGAAAGAAGGAAACAAAGATTTTAATACAGCCTTCATAACGAAATATAATAATAAGGCACACCAAATTGAAAAAATAATCATGAAATACTGGCCTATTTTAAACCAAGATGAATTTTTAAAAAATGTTTTACCTAAAAAGCCTCGGATAATATATAAAAAACCTGAGAATTTAAAATCTATTTTAGCTCCTAGTGTTCTACCAGGGATTAAGAGCAATAGTGAATTAGATAATTCAAAAAGTAATTTTTTGAGAGAAAAACCAAAAGGATTTTATAAGTGCGGCAGATGCAGCACTTGTAAATACCAATCGTATAAAACACTTGATTTTAAGAGCACCATTACAGGGGAGTCTTTTATTATTAAACATTTTATAAATTGTCAAAGTAAACATGTTATCTATCTGCTACAGTGTAAATGTGGCATACAATATATAGGCCGCACAATAAGAACATTGCACATAAGATTGTTGGAACATTTTGGTGGAATTAGAAGAAAAAGTATAAAACATAGTGTACCAAGACACTGTAATAACTGTAAAGATTTTAAAATAGAAAATTTTTGCTGTATCGGTATTGACCGGGTCAGCCCCCATTGGAGAGGTGGAGACATAGAAAAATGTCTGGCTATGAAAGAAACAGAATGGATCTATAAATTAAAAACTTCTGTTCCAGACGGTCTTAATACAGATTTGGATATTTTAGTATTTATGGACTAATTCCACCAAGATGACATGTTTTTTACATTTATTCTGATTTTAATGGCACATTGGTTTATATTTGATTATATATATTTTATATTTTATACTGACTATATGATCGACTGGAAAATTATTAACTTGTTTTTTCTCTCTTGTTTATTCCTTTCTTTTTCTATTTATTGAATATTCGTCCTCTATTGAGTTATTTCTAATTTGAATTTTTTAGTATTTTTAATATCCTCAACAGAATTTTGTTGTTTTGGAGAGCCATATTAGTTTAAAACGACTTTAAAACTGTTTAATACTATGGTATTTTATGATGATGTTCTTATCATTATGTATTTTTAGAATTATGCCCTTGTAAAATTAGGTTCTGTTCAAAATTATGTCCTGTCTAAAATTATGCTCTGCCTAAAATACTGGCTTGTCTGAATTATGTCAGTTTAAAACATCTATATATCATTATGATTACTGTTATATATATATGAATTGAAATTATTCTGATTTAATGTAATATGTTGGATTCACATATTACTTCTACATGCATATAAGCACATATATACATATATATATATATCTCTCTTTTTCGTTTTATTTATTGCTTTATATATTCATTTTTATATTTAAGTTATATTCATTCACATCATATGATATCTTCTCTATATATGCATTCAACATATAATAGCATCGGAACACACTGGTTTCATTTTTGACAAGTCCCAGTGTTGTTAGTGTTGCTTAGATTAATAAAGTTTTTTGCATGCGTTCCACGGTGGAACGCACATGCACGTCGGACGCCGGCGAATGGTATGTCATCACGCCGGCGCCCGCGCGCATGCGCAATTGCACAGAAAGAACGCCGCCCGGCATATTTAAACGCCGGTTAGAGAAGATTATGGATCGCTCCTGAGGAAGTCTGATTGAGAACAGACGAAACGCGTTGAGCAAACCCGGGAATTGGATCAGCTGATGGTGAACGGTTTCATCTGTCTCTGCTACAGCCTTTACACAGACGCCTACAGACTGCTAAGACCGGGAGATTTAGCCTATTATAGGCATCAGCACTTTAGCACATATTGATTTTATCAATTGTGCCACACCGTTTGTGAGTGTTTTTATTTATATGTTTTTTACCATTTTGGATTAAAAGTTTGCACTATGATGTTTTCTCTTTTTATATCTTTTATGTGAATATCCTCATCTGCTCGTTGGAGGGTAACTATATTCAGTTTGTATATCTGGTGATAAGTGGCGCCCTATTTCTGTATAGTATATACAGCTCTGTTTTTTTTGCACATTTGGTTAAGGGATACAGGGAGTGCATCCCCATATATAGTGGCTTGCCTGCACTTCCTAAACGGTCAGTTCTTTTCACCATCCACTCTCCGCTTAATGAGGGCTACCTGCCCAGTATTTATGCAGGTCTCCCACCTGGTGGACACTCCCCTAGGGGACCAGATGGAAGACTGTAACAAAAGACAGACATGTACCAATTACAGACATACAGAAGTAAAACATCCCCACAATGCATCCTGGCTTCCTCTCCTCTGCCCTGGAGAAGTAATTCAATTACTTTAAATACATAATGGGACAAATGGTACAGTAAATATATACATGTAACATATCCCAAGATAGCTCAGGTCTGAGTGCACATTATTAGGTGAATGGCACTCAGACCACACGAATACAGTTTAATTGCCATGGAGCCAAAGTCTTTAATTCCACGAACAGGCTCCATGGCATGGCTATCTGGGTTAAAACATTCCTCCAACATAAAATACCGAATTTACATGTATTCGTTAAATCCGAACGAATTAGAACCAGGGGTTGGAGGTTCAGTGGTGCCTGCACGTAAAAGTGTCCGGGTTTGGTGCAGGAAAGCCGGGCAGAAAAGCGCTGGCTACCCAGGGAGCTCCAGAACACCGCCATCGTGTGGCGGCTAAGTGTAACCGCGACCACCCAGTAACAATCAATTAAGCTGCGGTTAACCGCAGCTACTGGGTGGTCAATTGCCGGCACACGCTCGTTAAGCCGCGGTTAACCGCGGCTTCAGGGAGGTAAATGGAGGGCGCACTCCAGCTTCTGGGTGGCCAATTAAGGTCGCCGGCCGGCTTCCCACGGCTCTGGGGAGGCTGAAAAGAAACTGTTTGTTCGGTAGATGGAATCTACCGAACGGCTGTGCAGAAAGGGAGAAATAAATCCTTCTGCACAGTAAAATTAACCCTTTAGCTGCCGGTCCATAATCCAAAGGCAGCAGGTGGGCAACCAGGCTCCTCCAATGCAATGTGGCGAGATTGGTCTCGTCACAGCCCACAACTTGCAGAGCAGTCACGATCGATGCTTAAGTATGTTGAGCCCTTTCATAATTAATGTTCTGATATGAAGAGGAGTGGATTTAATGATAGGTTGGCTATCTTTCCAATTAGGGGAAAGTATAATTGCAATATTCCATATGAAGAACTTTTATGTGTATTTTTTAATAACCTCAGTAATTTTTTTCTTTTCCTCTCTGTTTTCAATTAATTTGTGTTTTTAGTAGAAGGTGATTTTATAGGATGATTGATCCATGTTTAAATTAATGAATTAAGTAAGTTTTATGTTAATAATTGAGCTTGCTTTTAATGTAAGTCTTTTATTCTGATGTATTTTTTATATATTGTTTGTATACATTGTTTTTATACATTGCTTTCATTTTATATTTTTGAGGAGAATTATCTCTTTATAATTTGTTTTAATGTACTAATGACATAGTGACAGGGAGATGCTGTTTTCTATTCTTTTATCATAAAGTAAGGATGGGGTTAACATTTTGCTGAAGGGGTATTTAAACCCGACCGGCATCCCATAGATGCATACCTCTGATGAAGTGACAGGAAGTCACGAAACGCGTTAGGCTGCATCTTTCCGTACACACGCTCACAGTGGAACGCATGCGGAAGTAAAGTGGAACGCACGTGGTGGATCCCCTCGACGAGCTGTTTCTCACCACGACCGATACTATCTCTGAAGCTGGCTTTGAGGAGGCAGTATACCGAGAGTCTGCAGAAACACTTGGGGGGAAGACATCAACAGGAAAGTTCCCTTTTATCCGCTTTCTGTGAGCTGATTTTATGCAATTGAATATTTTAACATATCTTTTTGCTCAATAAGGTCTATATAAGTAATATTTTGTGACTTTGGTTAGATTTATATACTATACAGCACCACCTTGGGTCAGCTAAAGGAACGCTTTTATTCTAGATGTGTAACTGTTCACACAGTTACACTTCTGCTACACTTGACGGCTGTTTGCTTCCTCTTTGTAACATACTGATATTTGTTACTTGTATTCAGTTTGTTACTATAAAATTAGCTCATATTGGCAAGTTTCCCTGCTACATATGCAGGGGTGTATAAGCCATTTGATTTTTATATGAGCACACATCATAAGGACGATCTTTGGACATTTATACATTTGCATTAAGACTGTGCACTTTACCTAATTGTAACTAATATATTTCTATATTGCACTTGTTGGCTATAATAACTATCCAGTAATCTTGATAATTCAATTTATTTTATTTTTTTTGTGTGGATATCCACTCCTGGTTTAAGGTATTAGGTTTTCCTATGCTTTTTCTATTTTAGTTCACAAAGAGAGCCCATATTCTTGAAGATAGTAATTTGTGACAATATTTGTGTAAATAACCAACACAAACAAAAGAGCTTGTTTCTTGAACACTTACCACAGTACTGTTGTATACATTGCAGGGTGGATTGCCAAGGTTGAGTTGCTGGAATTGTGGGTTAAACCCACTCACAAGACTTTGTTCTGAAGCTGCATCATCTACAGGAAAATGGGGGAAAAAAAACAACACGTTGTCACGTTTCGGGGAACCAAACACGCCAACACACACACACACACACAAAGTGCCGTACCGGACCTTAGAGTGGCCGGGCTAAGCACACAAAGAATAGTCAGGAAACAAGCCGAGTAAGGGGAACCAGAAGACAGAATAACGTGAAACAAGCCGAGGTCAAAGGGTAGGAGAAAGTCACAGAGTCGGATAACAAGCCAGAGAGTACGTAACCAGAAGCACAAGTTCAGAATCAATACTAACAAGCAAAGACCACAACAGGGCAAGGAGGAACAGGGAAGGTAAGTATTTAAACCATCAGGTTAATTCTGATTGGATGATTTCCAATCAGAATTAACAATCACACATGGGAGATATTTAGACCTCCCACTGTGATTGTGGCACTTTGCCTTTAACGCCGGGTCAGGTGACTGAACCCGGCGTGTATAACCCTGGGCGGTCTCCCAGCGTGCAGCGTCATGCATGCTGCCGCTGGGGGACGTGGAGGGAACGGCGGGCGGCATCCGAGGCTGGAAGGATGCCGCTCGCCGTACCCACGAGGCGGAGGGGACCGCGGACGGCTGGAGGGTGAGTACTGCGAGCGGAGTGCAGCCTCCCCTCGCAGCCGCCCGCGGGAGCCTGACATTACCCCCCCCTCGAAGACCACCCAGGGGGCGGGAAGCGGAAGGCTTCAAAGGAAAGCGGGCATGAAAGGAGCGGACCAAAGAGGGAGCGTGCACATCGGAGCTCGAAACCCAGGACCGCTCCTCAGGGCCGTACCCCTTCCAGTCCACCAAATATTGCAGCCGACCCCTAGAAACACGAGAGTCGAGAAGGGTAGCCACCTCGTACACGTCGTCAGAGACAGCTCGAGGGGAAACGGGCCGCCCGAGGGGACGAGAGAACCGGTTACACAGCAAGGGTTTCAAAAGCGAGACGTGAAACGTGTTCGGGACACGCATGGAAGGAGGCAAATCAAGGGAGTAGGAAACGGGATTAACCCTACGTAACACCTTGAAGGGACCAAGAAATCTGGGGGCGAATTTCATCGAGGGAACCTTGAGACGGAGGTTCCGGGAGGACAACCATACCCTATCACCCGGAACATAGGAAGGGGCCGCAACCCTACGGCGATCAGCAAACTTTTTCTGAGCAGCCGCTGAACGAGACAGCGCAACATGGACTTGATCCCATGTCTTCCGCAAAGAGGCGAGGTGCTGGTCCAAGGCGGGCATTCCCTTGTCGGAGAACGCACCGGGAAGGACAGAAGGACGAAACCCATAAGCAACCTCAAAAGGACTTAAGCCAGTAGACGAATGAGTCACCGTATTCCTGGCAAATTCAGCCCACGGAAGAAGGCGAGACCAGTCATCCTGGTGCGCATTAGTGAAGCAGCGCAAATACAATTCCACAGACTGATTAGCACGTTCGGCCGCACCATTAGATTGCGGGTGATAGGAGGAAGAGAACGACAAGGAGACCCCCATCTCAGCACAAAAGCCCCTCCAGAACCGAGAGACAAATTGAGGGCCCCTGTCAGATACGATATCCTGGGGTACCCCATGCAATTGGAACACTTCTTTGGCAAATACCTGAGCTAACTGAACCGCAGAAGGCAGTTTCTTAACCGGAATGAAGTGCGCCATTTTAGAGAACCTATCCGTCACAGTCAGTATCACCGTCTGACCATCAGAAAGAGGCAGGTCTACAATGAAATCCATGGATAAGTGGGTCCATGGTTTCTTGGGTATAGATAGAGGCATCAGAAAACCCTGGGGTCTCATATTAGGGGACTTACATTGCGTGCAGACCTGACAAGCCTGAACAAAATCCACTACGTCTTGCTTGAGTGAAGGCCACCAGAACTGTTGAAGGAGGCCCTTGTAGGTTTTGGTAACCCCCGGATGACCAGCAGTTTTGGCTGTGTGAAATAAAGTTAACAACTTTTTTCTGTCATTAGCTTCAACGTATAGTTTACCAACCGGTGTCTCAGGGGGTGCCTGGGTTTGGTATGTCTTAATACTGGTAAGGAAAGGTGAAGAAACAACCAAACGGGTAGCAGCTATTATCTGAGACTCAGGTACAATAGGTTCAGGAGTCGGGTTAACAAATTCTACTGGTTCATGCTGCCGTCAGCCTTGGCATTACGGCAACCAGGTCTATAGGTGATAACATATTGGAAGCGTGAGAGAAATAGAGACCATCTAGCCTGCCGGGCAGATAACCTTCTAGCATCAGCAATATAGGATAGATTCTTATGATCTGTTATAACCATAATTTTGTGTCTAGATCCCTCTAATAAGTACCTCCATTCCTTGAAAGCTAACACAATAGCTAATAGTTCCCTATTCCCAACATCATAATTCTTCTCTGAATCAGACAACCTTTTAGAAAAATAACAACAGGGATGGAGGGGTTTATCATAAGACAACCTCTGTGATAGTACGGCTCCCACACCTGACTCTGAGGCGTCTACTTCCATAACAAAGGGAAGAGAAGGATCAGGGTGGTGCAGCACTGGAGCAGAGGCAAATGCCTTCTTGAGGGTTTCGAAGGCCTTAAGGGCTTCAGGAGTCCAAACCCTAGGATGTAGACCTTTTTTTGTCAACTTCGTTATGGGAGATATGAGTGGTGAAAAGTTTTTATAAATTTCCTATAATAGTTGGCAAATCCTATAAAACGCTGGATAGCCTTTAGTCCTTGGGGAAGTGGCCAGGACATTATAGCTTCCAATTTAGCAGGATCCATACTGAAACCCTGTTCAGTAATGATATATCCTAGGAATTGCACAGAGGTCTGATCGAATAAACATTTTTCTAACTTACAGTAGAGTCCGTTCTGCAATAGCCTTTTGAGCACCATCCTAACATGGTTATGGTGTGACTTCAAATCAGGAGAATACACAAGTATGTCGTCAAGGTATACTACAGCACAGACATGCAATAGATCCCTAAGGACATCATTTATGAGGTCCTGAAACACGCCAGGAGCATTACACAATCCAAAAGGCATGACCAGATATTCGTAATGCCCACTGCGTGTGTTGAACGCTGTCTTCCACTCGTCATTCTCCTTTATACGGACAAGGTTATAAGCCCCCCTGAGGTCTAATTTTGTGAAAAATTTAGAACCTTTAACACGATCAAACAACTCAGTGATGAGGGGGATAGGGTAGGCGTTTTTAACCGTTATATTGTTCAGACCCCTGTAGTCTATACATGGCCTCAAATCACCTTCTTAGCCACAAAAAAGAAACCAGCACCAGCAGGAGAGTAGGACCTTCTAATAAAACCTTTTCTTAGGGATTCCTGTATGTACTCCTCCATGATTTGGTTCTCTTTTTCAGAAAGAGGGTAGACCTTTCCCCTAGGAGGCATAGTGCCCGGTAAGAGGTTTATGGCACAATCATACTCACGATGTGGAGGTAGCTTATCTGCCTCCCTCTTCTCAAAAACCAAGGCAAGATCCGCATAAACAGAGGGCACAGAAACCGAGAGTGGTTTAGCCGTGGGTACGTTAAGTAAACAGACAGGATGTACATGAGCCACACAGTCTCGCTGACAAGATTCCCCCCAGGAAAGTATGTCTAAACAACCCCAATCAAGAACAGGGTTGTGTTTAACTAACCAGGGAAAACCTAGAACGATGGAGGCTGTTGGGGAGTTAATTATTTTGAAGGTTAACTTCTCTTTGTGCAAAACACCCACAGACATAACTATTTCCTGGGTTTCATGGGTCACCAGAGGTTTCTCCAGTGGTCTACCATCTATGGCCTCAACGGCCAAGGGTGTCTCCTTTCGAATCAAATTCAGGGCTGCGGTTTTGGCAAAGGTCTCATCCATAAGGTTGTCTGCCGCACCTGAATCGATCAGGGCTTTGGTTGTTATAGTGGTTTTATTGACCAAGAGAGAAACCGTAATAAACGGTCTAGAGATGGACATATGAGGGGACAAGGTCATAACACCCGAGGCCGACCCCTCTCTAGGCCTTAGGTGCTGCAGTTTCCCTGTAGTTTAGGGCAGGCTTTACAGTGATGCCCCCTCTTCCCACAATAAAGGCATAACCCCTCCCTTCTACGGTACGCTCTTTCGGCCTCAGTTAACCCTGTAGCACCCAACTGCATGGGTTCAGGGGATGGCTGCACAGGAGCGGGTAACGCTAGCAGGGAAGTACTGGGTAGAGCAGGTAACACCCGTGTATCCAACCGTCTTTGGCTACGCCTCTCTCTAATACGGTTATCTATAAGAATCACATAGTCTATAACATCATCTAGAAGAGCAGGTAATTCCCTGGATGCTATTTCATCCAGTATATAAGCGGCCAGACCCTCCTGAAAGGCTGTTACGAGGGCGTCATTATTCCAAACCACTTCAGCTGCTAGAGTACGAAATTCGATAGTGTAATCTGCTACAGACCTGTTACCCTGTCGGACCCTAAGCAGAGCCTTGCCAGCAGAAGCAACCCTACCGGGTTGATCAAACGTGCGTCTGAAAGCTGTCAGAAAATCAGCAAAGGACATAGGAGACGTATTTTCCCAAATGGGGTTGGCCCATGCTAAAGCTCTCCCGGACAAGTGGTTTATCAAAAAGGCAATTTTAGATCTGTCAGTGGGATAGGAGCGTGGATTCATCACCAAATGGATGTCGATTTGGTTGAGGAAACCACGACACAATGCTGGGTCACCACTGTAGCGCTGTGGCGGCGTCATGTGAACTACATGAGCGGGAACAGGTACTGGAGTGGGAATGGGTTCGGGCACAGCAGCAGCAGCCTCCTGAACGGCCGGTTGCAAGTGTGCAGTACGAGCCAGAATGGTTTGTAAAGCTTGAGCAAACTGATCCATACGGTGGTCTAAGCCATCCATTCTAGCCTCTTGATTAACTAGAAGCTGTGGTATGTCAGCAGGTTCCATTATGGCCCTGTTGTAATGTCACGTTCGGGGAACCAAACACGCCAACACACACACACACACACAACAAAGTGCCGTACCGGACCTTAGAGTGGCCGGGCTAAGCACACAAAGAATAGTCAGGAAACAAGCCGAGTAAGGGGAACCAGAAGACAGAATAACGTGAAACAAGCCGAGGTCAAAGGGTAGGAGAAAGTCACAGAGTCGGATAACAAGCCAGAGAGTACGTAACCAGAAGCACAAGTTCAGAATCAATACTAACAAGCAAAGACCACAACAGGGCAAGGAGGAACAGGAAAGGTAAGTATTTAAACCATCAGGTTAATTCTGATTGGATGATTTCCAATCAGAATTAACAATCACACGTGGGAGATATTTAGACCTCCCACTGTGATTGTGGCACTTTGCCTTTAACGCCGGGTCAGGTGACTGAACCCGGCGTGTATAACCCTGGGCGGTCTCCCAGCGTGCAGCGTCATGCATGCTGCCGCTGGGGGACGTGGAGGGAACGGCGGGCGGCATCCGAGGCTGGAAGGATGCCGCTCGCCGTACCCACGAGGTGGAGGGGACCGCGGACGGCTGGAGGGTGAGTACTGCGAGCGGAGTGCAGCCTCCCCTCGCAGCCGTCCGCGGGAGCCTGACACACGTGACAAATCTGAGATACCATAATGCCTACAGGATTATTTACCATTTACTTTGTCAACCAGTAGAACAACACCTGCTGTAGATGAGTTAACAATGGCATCACAGTGAGTGATTCAATCCATGAATTCATTCTGGTAATTAGTACCAGAGATGTAAATTGTTGTCTCCCACTGCCAAAATGCTAAATACACACGGAAGGCACATTAGGAAACGACTCCTGCTGTGGTAGATACTGTGTTTTTTCCTAAAATGACTTCTTCAGGGTTATTTGAATATTTCACAAAGACCTCTGAAGGTGACAGATCTGGTGTGGGTCTCAAGCTGTTCCTCAAAACTGCCACTATCTTCCTCCTGCTTATCCTTTTAGGCTCCTCGTGCTTCATCTGCCAGGAGCAGCATTAGTGCTCTATTATCGTGCATGCGAGAGTATACAACACTGAGGTCTATGGAGAATCCCGCAAGACTACAGGAGCCTCCATAGAAAATGCCTGAATCCTAAAGCCATCACTTGTGATGGCTTGCTGGCATGTGACATAAGTGGACAGTGGAGCTCTGCCTTTTGTCAAAGACAAAGTGGTCCCTCCTTGTCTTATGATATCTTTGGATTGTGTTGGAATTTGAGTGACATTCCAACGCAGTCTTGAGAAGTATTTCACAAAGAATAACTTTATGAAATAGAGAAAAGCGACATAAGGTGTGAAGGTGAAACTAGAGTCAAAGATAACACCAAGGCAGCGAGCTTGCAAGGATGAGCCTACCATCAACTTGCCAGTCAAGAATTAGATTTCTAAGGAGGGCAGATAAGAAGCTCTGTTCTAGAAAGTTTGAGATTTAGAAAGTTGGAAGACATCTATTTCAAGATAGAAGAGACACAACTGGTGATACTTTCAAGAAAGGTGGGAGAGCGATCAGGGCATGAGAGGTGTATCTGGGTTTCATCAGCATATAATCATCACTGGAATCCCTTCAAGGATTCCAGCATAGGCAGGTTGAGGACAGGAAGTATTACCAAAAAGAATACACTGAAGGAATTTTGGGAGAGACAATATGAGAACCATGAAAAATGAAAGAAATTATAAAGATTTTTAAAACTGTGTCATTATGGCCAACAGTTTGGCCAACAGTTTGAAGGGTTTGAAAAGCAAGCATGTTATTAACAGTGCAGAAGAAAGGTAAAAAAAATTATTAGAATGGAGTGGTGGTCTTTGGATTTTGTCACTATTAGATCTTTAGTTAGAACAGTTTCTGCAGAATGCAGGTGAATGAGAGCCAGTTTAGAGAGGATCAACAAAAGTGTAAGAGTTTAGAAAATGGGTCAGACACTCTCAGTCAATGTGAGCGGATGTAGTTAACTGGTGTCTCTTGCAAACAAAATCCGTAGGTAGGCTGTAAGGGTTGGTCGCCTGGTAAGTTGGCAAGCTATTCAAACACTGTGCATAAGTACTACAGCAGGCTGCAGTGGAAATGGTACTTGGAATGTTCCTTTTTGGAATAGTCTGTTTGATCGAAGAATTTTAGTCTGAAGAAGTTAAAGGACCACTCTAGGCACCCAGACCACTTCAGCTTAATGAAGTGGTCTGGGTGCCAGGTCCTTCTAGGGTTAACCCATTTTTTAATAAACATAGCAGTTTCAGAGAAACTGCTATGTTTATCAATGGGTTAAGCCTTCCCCCTAATCCTCTAGTGGCTGTCTCATTGACAGCCACTAGAGGCGCTTGCGTGCTTCTCACTGTGATTTTCACACTGAGAGCATGCAAGCGTCCATAGGAAAGCATTGATAATGCTTTCCTATGCGACCGGCTAAATGCGCGCACAGCTCTTGCCGCGCGTGCGCATTCAGCCGGCGGGGAGGATCGGAGGAGGAGAGGAGGCAGAGAGCTCTCCGCCCAGCGCTGGAAAAAGGTAAGTTTAACCCCTTTTCCTCTCTCCAGAGCCGGGCGGGAGGGGGACCCTGAGGGTGGGGGCACCCTCAGGGCACTATAGTGCCAGGAAAACGAGTATGTTTTCCTGGCACTACAGGGAGTGCAGAATTATTAGGAAAATGAGTATTTTGACCACATCATCCTCTTTATGCATGTTGTGTTACTCCAAACTGTATAGGCTCGAAAGCCTACTACCAATTAAGCATATTAGGTGATGTGCATCTCTGTAATGAGAAGGGGTGTGGTCTAATGACATCAACACCCTATATCAGGTGTGCATAATTATTAGGCAACTTCCTTTCCTTTGGCAAAATGGGTCAAAAGAAGGATTTGACAGGCTCAGAAAAGTCAAAAATAGTGAGATATCTTGCAGAGGGATGCAGCACTCTTAAAATTGCAAAGCTTCTGAAGCGTGATCATCGAACAATCAAGCATTTCATTCAAAATAGTCAACAGGGTCGCAAGAAGCGTGTGGAAAAACCAAGGCGCAAAATAACTGCCCATGAACTGAGAAAGTCAAGCGTGCAGCTGCCACGATGCCACTTGCCACCAGTTTGGCCATATTTCAGAGCTGCAACATCACTGGAGTGCCCAAAAGCACAAGGTGTGCAATACTCAGAGACATGGCCAAGGTAAGAAAGGCTGAAAGACGACCACCACTGAACAAGACACACAAGCTGAAACGTCAAGACTGGGCAAGAAATATCTCAAGACTGATTTTTCTAAGGTTTTATGGACTGATGAAATGAGAGTGAGTCTTGATGGGCCAGATGGATGGGCCCGTGGCTGGATTGGTAAAGGGCAGAGAGCTCCAGTCCGACTCAGACGCCAGCAAGGTGGAGGTGGAGTACTGGTTTGGGCTGGTATCATCAAAGATGAGCTTGTGGGGCCTTTTCGGGTTGAGGATGGAGTCAAGCTCAACTCCCAGTCCTACTGCCAGTTCCTGGAAGACACCTTCTTCAAGCAGTGGTACAGGAAGAAGTCTGCATCCTTCAAGAAAAACATGATTTTCATGCAGGACAATGCTCCATCACACGCGTCCAAGTACTCCACAGCGTGGCTGGCAAGAAAGGGTATAAAAGAAGAAAATCTAATGACATGGCCTCCTTGTTCACCTGATCTGAACCCCATTGAGAACCTGTGGTCCATCATCAAATGTGAGATTTACAAGGAGGGAAAACAGTACACCTCTCTGAACAGTGTCTGGGAGGCTGTAGTTGCTGCTGCACGCAATGTTGATGGTGAACAGATCAAAACACTGACAGAATCCATGGATGGCAGGCTTTTGAGTGTCCTTGCAAAGAAAGGTGGCTATATTGGTCACTGATTTGTTTTTGTTTTGTTTTTGAATGTCAGAAATGTATATTTGTGAATGTTGAGATGTTATATTGGTTTCACTGGTAATAATAAATAATTGAAATGGGTATATATTTGTTTTTTGTTAAGTTGCCTAATAATTATGCACAGTAATAGTCACCTGCACACACAGATATCCCCTAACATAGCTAAAACTAAAAACAAACTAAAAACTACTTCCAAAAATATTCAGCTTTGATATTAATGAGTTTTTGGGGTTCATTGAGAACATGGTTGTTGTTCAATAATAAAATTAATCCTCAAAAATACAACTTGCCTAATAATTCTGCACTCCCTGTATAGTGGTCCTTTAAGCCAATAGCATATTGAGAGAAAAAGAGGTGATGACCTAAGATAGGAAATGGGTTGGTAGCCTGAGTTTGAGAAGGTAAGGTCATATGTAGGACACTTCAGTTTCTCATATCTAGCACAATTAAATAGCAAACAAAAAGTTTTAAACATCTTTATAATTTCTTTCATTTTAAATGCATGCTATGCCACACAAAGCCCGTCAAAGTAGGAAAATGAGTTCACTGTGGCAGTTTCATAAGCACAGATAACACATTTCAGTGGAGATACAGCTTTAAATATACCTATTCTAAACAAGACTGTGTTTATTTTCCTTTATGACATTCAGTACACAGTTATGTCTTAGTATTTGCCCTTCATTTTGTTTATAGTGTGATGATATTCCTTGAATTAAATGTTTTAGTTACTAAGTTTCCTGGAGCCACAAGGAACCTCTCAAGACATGCTTTTCTATCTATACATTTCTTTACTGGGCTGCAGAAATAATGGGGAAGTATGTACTTTTTCATCTATGTGTTCAACCAGGTGAGAAGCCATTTTTCTACCATTATATACATATATCGTTGGAATATACTACACTAGGAGCATTCTGCTTCTTATGTTCTCCCTCCCCTCCTCTCTTCTATACATGAGGATTTTTTTTTTTTTTTTCTTTTTTTTTTTTTTTAAACGCAGCTATATTTGCAACTTAACCGTTTTATTTTTTTCTGTGTAAATGTAATATATTTGCTTTTCCATTCAACACACTCAATGCTTAGATAAATCACTTAGGGGTTATCCACTAAACAGCAAAGTGTAGTTATCTTCAAATTTTCCAGTTACATCTGTGATTTCTAATTTTTTTTTTTTTTTTATTATATAATCTTTATTTTAAGGGTTTCCCCCCTTTCTTTTTTTTTTCACAATACAATACATTACCACAATTACAAACAAATGATAGAGAAACAGTTCCTATATAAGATGTTCATCCATGAGATGTTTCTTTATACATTTCAATTAACTAAAAACAAACAATACTTTAGACTTACACATCTACATAAACAAGACAAAACAATGCAGCAAGAGAGAAGGGAAGAAACTCATCGAGAAAGTATATATATTTATCTCATAATATATATTGTGTTATATTGTCCAAAGCATTAACAGTCAACCGATTATTCACCTTGAATTTATATATATAAATAAAGACCCCTCTATTTATCAATCTTCTCCCAACATTTCAACCACATTGTTGTTTTCCTACTTAATTTTTGTTTGCTCAATAACACTTCCATTTTTACTTGAAACTTAAGCTGGGCTTTGACTTGATCCCAAGGAACTTCACTATCGTCTTTCCATCTTCTTGCAATCACAATTTTTGTTGCTAAAAAAAGATGGATAAGAATAATTTTCAAATCTTTTGTCATTACCGGCCAGTTTAGATGAAGCAAAACAGTCTCCGGAGAAAGCCTCAGCTCAAGGTTCAAGTCTATGGATACAAACTTTTGTATGTTAAACCACAAATTGTTCAGTTTACTACACTCCCACCAAATATGCTTAAAAGTACCTGTGTTTGTACCACATCTCCAACATAGATGGTTTGCTGAAGAATACATTTTGTTCAATTTGTCTGGTACTAAGTACCATCTATTTAGAACTTTAAAATGAGTCTCTAATAGATTTAACGAGTGTGTATACTTCGAAGCATCTGTCAATGAGAAACCCCAATGCCTAATATTTATATCCATATTTAATTCTTCTTTCCAAGCGGTTATGGCTGTTGGAGTTTTTACTTTATTACACATTTTGCTTAATACCAAAGCTTTTGAAAGTGGTTTATTTATCTTGTCTGTATTAAAGAGTATATTTAACCCATTATTCAGATTAGTGTTTGATGTAATTAAATGTGTTATCAAGAAACTTTTAAGTCTTAGATAGTTGAACAACTCTTTTGATGGTAAGTTGTATTCCTGTGTTAATTGAGCAAAGGTTTTAATTTTATCTTTTACAAGTAGTTGAGACAGTCGCAAAATTCCTGCTTGATTCCAGTTTTTTAAATTTATATCTGCAACTTGATGTTCTACAAAATCTAAGCCTAAATAAGTTGGAATTTTGTTTTCTATTTTTAGGATTTTTTTAATTTTAAGCCAACTATTCATTAAGTGTGTTAATGTTATACTAGGGTAATTTTTTTTTTGAAAAAATTTGGTAGTATTCCAAATTAAACAGTCCAAGCTGGGGATTTCTCCTGCAGTAAGTTCTGTTTTATACCAACTTTCGTTTTTATTTTCTTCTATTTGCATCCTATATATATGTAAAATTATCGCTGCCCTATAATTATTTAATATTAAGGGATAAGCCAGTCCTCCTTTATTCAGTTTTTGTGTTAGTATTGACTGACTCAGTCTTGGTTTTTTACCTTTCCATATATACTGAGTAAAACTTCTCTGTATTAATTGCAACCACTGATCAGAAATACTTAATGGCAACATTTGGAACAAATAGTTCCATTTTGGAATGACGTATGAATTCACTACATTTATCCTTCCCCAGAAAGAAATTTCTAAATTTCTTCGGTTTTTCAGCCATTTGTTAAGATTTTGCAATAAATCCAGAAAATTGATTTCCATCATTTTATTTACATCTCTAGTCAGTTTAACTCCCAAATAATCCATGTTATTTTCGACCCATAAAAAATTATATCTATCTTTAATCTTATTTTTCATTTGTGCATCTAAATTAATGTCCAGAATCATAGATTTATTTATATTTAATTTATAATTAGATATTTTACTATAGTTGTCAATTTCTGACATTAAAAAATCTAATGAAATTTCCGGTTTTGTTATGGTAATTAGGATGTCATCAGCATATAAACTTAATTTCTGTTCTACATCTAATATTTTGTGGCCATAGATTTTTTTATTGTTTCTAATATTCTCGGCTAATGGTTCAATAGAAAGCAAATATAATAACGGTGAGAGTGGACATCCCTGTCGTGTACCATTTTTCAATTGGAACCATGGGGCTGTGATGTTTGGTCCTTTAGTGCGTGCTGATGGATTTACATAAAGGGCCATAATGGCTTTCTTAATCCATCTATCAAAACCATAGTGTGACAATATTGCCTCCAGATAAATCCAGTTGACTCTGTCGAATGCTTTTTCAGCATCAATCGACAGAGCCAAAACTGGAACTCTTTTTCTATTAGCGTCATCTAAGATGTTGACAATTTTCCTGATACATGTGTAAGAGTTTCTGCCGGGAACATAACCTACTTGATCTTGATGTATGATCAGAGGCAAAAGTTTTTTAAGTCTAGCGGCCAACACTGAAGCATATAGTTTAGTGTCAACATCTATCAAGGATATTGGACGGTAATTTTTAACATCAGTAGGGTTTTTGTTTTGTTTTAAAATTGGTAGAATATTAGCTTTTAACATCTCTATTGGAAGAGATCCTCTTTTAGCCGCACTGTTAAAGGCACTAGTCATATAAGGGCAAATTGATTCTTTAAATATTTTATAAAATAAATTGCTAAATCCATCTGGACCTGGGGTTTTATACTCCTCCAAATTATTTATAGCTTTCATTATTTCATCTATTGTTATGTCTCTATTTATTGCTTCACTTTGTAATTCTGTTAATTTAAACTTATTTATTTTTTCTAGATATTTTTTTATATCTTCATCTGTCGTAGTTTGAGGAATGTTGTATAACTTACTATAGAAATCATTAAATTGTTGTCCTATTAGTTTTGGAGTTACTACAGTTGTTCCATTATTAATAAGTTTTTCTACTTTATTAATACCCTTTTGTTTTCTTAATTTTTGTGATAGCAGTTTATCGGCTCTATTACCCTTAGAATAATATTTTAATTTTAGTCTATCTAAACTTTTAACTGTTCTTTCCATTAATTTTTGGTTAATTTTGTCTTTTAATGCCGATATTTCTTTGGAATTTTCAACTGTTGGATTATGTTTATTGCTTTGAGTCAACTTCCCTAATTGACCATAAAGGTGAGATAGACTAGTACCCCTATCAGTTTGGCTTTGGAGTTTAATGAAATGACCTCTTATTACTGCTTTAAAGGCGCACCACAAAGTGGATGGATCAATATCCTCTATGTTATTTTCTTTAAAATAATTGCCTATGTTTACTTCCATGAATTTTTTATTTGTTTCAAAACTAAGCAATCTATCATTTAGACGCCAACTATATGGCTTTTTTATATTTTTTCCTACTTCTATTACACATACTACACCATTATGATCTGTCCAAACTGCTTCATTTATATTTACTTTTTGAATTTTATCGATTAAATTAGGATCAATCCAAATCATATCTAACCTTGAATAAGAAAAATGGACTTTAGAGAAGTGTGTATAATCTCTTAGATTTAGATTGTGAATCCTCCAAATGTCGAACAGATTAAATTCATCCTTTATGTTTTTTAAGGATTTAGCTTGTTTAATTACCATCTTATTTATTTTAACTCCTTTCATAGTTCTTTTATCTAGTTGTGGGTCGATAACTGCATTAAAATCTCCAGCCAATATTAAGTTTCCCACTTTTACTTCTTCTATTTTTTCTAAGATGGATCTTAAGTAAGAAGCTGGTGAATAATTTGGGAGATAGACATTACAGAGTGTAAATATCTTAGAATTGATTTTACATATTATTATCAAGTATCTACCTTCTACATCTTGTATTTGTTGAATTATTTCTACCTCTATTTTTTCACTGAATATTATGGCTACACCACATTTTTTTTTATCTCTATTTGAGGCTTGTATAATAAGCGGGAATTTTTTTCCACCCCACGTTTGTTTATCTGACTGTCTCCAATGGGTTTCTTGCAGAAATCCCAGATCAATATGTTCAGTGACCAAATATTTATATACTAAAGACCTTTTTGTTATTGTATTCATGCCTTGGACATTAAGAGTTAACATTCTTATCATTAGAGTTCTTCAAATCTCTTTCCTTTCATCTCGAGATAGTAAACTTCCCTTTGATCCTCTATTGCTATACAAACACACAAAAAACAAAGAAACATATATCTAAAACTATAGGAGAATATCATCCTCCTTAAGCACATAGACTATTGACTCACCAACAGGAGAGTCTGTCTAGTCCTATGTCTATTATATAGACACTAAGTAGGATTGTCCGGATTTGGGATTTGGGCGATGTTCTATAATAAAACCTTTCAGTCTACTTTACAACAAAGGAAGAAGAAAAAAAAAAAAAAACCCTAATCACTCAGTCAAATATAGCCGTTATAAAATAAGTGTCAATTAAGTGAAAAATATTTATAATGATCCATTTATCGTCGTGTTGCATTACATTATTTCCATGTGACCTATCTTTTTCCCTATTTCTCCTTTCTGTGCCCTTTATATGCAGTGATAAATAAATCAATCCATACAGTTTTTCTAATTCAATCTTGTGTACTTATATACAAATTTACTTTTTAGCAAATTTAACCTTATTGAACCAACTCATTATTTCTTATTAATGTTAATTATACTTGCATGTGTCGTATTTTGTGAATCTAGTGAATCTATCTTTCCATTCTAACTCCTTTCTATTTCTCTTCCCTTCGCCATTTCTTGCTAATACATGTGTAAATAATTTCAACAAATTTTATCCTCTTTTACAAAAAAAAAAAAAAATTATTATCTCCGGCCAGAAAGAAACGCATATATTAACAGCCTAATGGGTGGTCCTCTTAACTACAATGTGAACAGATATTTATAAAGACTATTATATCTCCTTTTACTTCAACAACTTCATATTGTTTTCATGTGCTTTTATACATTACAAATATCCTAAACTGCAGCAGTATGCATAAAGAATATTGAAGATGCTATTGTTATGCATTGCAAATAGTGTAAGCTTCAACCATATGCATATAAAAACTACATTTCTTGTATAACGTTATAATAATAGACTCTCTTCCTTTTAGAATTGACATTAAAAAATTACATATATCACAAAAAAAAACAAAAAAAACAAACAATTTTTCATTTCTTTTTTTTTTCTTTCCCCTCCCCTCCCTTCTTCTCTCTCCCTTCCTCCTCCTTTTTCGTTCTACTTCCGCGGTCTGGTTGTTTTCATATTTGAATTCTTGCTAACCAACTTTTCGCATCCTCCGGATCAGTGAAGGAAAGTCTTTCTTGTCTCCAAATGAATTTCAAGGAAGCCGGAGTATTCCACTGAAATCTAATATCTTTTTTCCTCAGAAAGTCAGTAAGAGTTGAGAAAGACTTCCTCCAAGTTCTAGAAAAATAAGATAGATCCTGCAGAAAGTATATATCTTTATAAACAGGATTTTCTAAGGAGTTAGTACGTCTGGCTTTAATCAAGTTGTTTTTAACTGAAAGTGAACGGAAGCTCACTATAACATCTCTAGGAAAATGTGCTGCAATTACGTTAGGTTTTCGTATTCGATGGAATTTTTCTATTTGATAATCAGTTATCTCAGAAGAGACTTCTTTAAATAGACCGCATAAATAATCTTTTAATTTCTCTGTTGTTATATCTTCAGATATTCCTCTAAGTCTTAGATTAAGTTGTCTTGATCTGTCTTCTAGGGCGGCTATTTTATGTTCCAAAATTGAAGTTTTGTTTGTTAATGATTGTACTGTTTCATTAACTGTGCCTAATTGATTATCAAACAAGACAATTTTTTTTTCCATAGCTTGCACTGATATAGCAATTCTGTTAGTATCGTGTTTTATATCTTCGAGACTCTTAAGCATATCTTGTTTTAGCATATTGAATTGAGCCTCTAGTAGTGGTTTAAGCTGATCCTGTAGAATTTCTTTCATTGTTTCAGGAACTAATGATAGTTCTTGCATCATTAAAGGATCCATATTGGTGTTAAGAATATTTACTGGATTTGTTTCGTTATCACTTCTACGTTCTTGTATATCTTTTAATGGGGTCGAAAAGAAACCGGACATCCTTTTTTCTACTGGATGTACTGACTTATTTTCCTTATTTTCTTTCTTTTTTTCCATAGCAGTTTTTCTAGTTGCCATTTTGTTTTAAAAAAAAAAAAAAAAGGGCTATCAAGCTAAATTTTGCTTCCCTTCTCTTTCTTCTTTCTTCTTTTTTACTCTGCTTATATAGAAAAGTATATATATATTTAGAAATAGCAATTTCGCTGCTTGAACCTCTCGGAACTTATTGTAGCGGTTGTTTTAGCTTACTTGCCTTTGTTAAAGCCTTTGTTAAAGCCAGTTTTAATGTTTGTTTTATATTCTTTTTTCTTTCTTTTTTCCTTTTTCCTTCTCTTTTTCTTCCCCTTCCCTTCCCTCTTTTCCTTTTCTTCTCTGCTTTCTTTATCCTTTCTTTTATTTTCTTTCTGCCCCCTTTTTTTTTTTGATTTGATTAGGCTTATATATCAGCCTCAACTTATCTTTGCTTTAATTGCAACTCTCAGTTGTCAAACAGAATATATAAATTTTAAATGTGTCTGAGATATAAGCAGTTTATCAAGAGGTTAGGGAGAAATTCACTTTGCAATACTCACAAGATATACAGCTTCCATCTCATTATTATAAAGAAGTCCTCCTTTACTTTTATCTGTCTTTGCCTTCGTTTGGCTATTCAATATGCCAGCAGCTCATAAAAATATCACAAAGGCAGTTTATCCCTTTCAGCGTTTTTTTTTTTTTTTTCTCCTTTTCTTTCTTATTGAGCGGAGTGTAACAGCCCGGGCAAGGCTTAAATGCTCAGTATATGAGTTTAATTAGTGTTCTCCTTATCGGCCTCTGTCCCAGCAGCGTTTTCTTCCAATCGTCAAACAGCCGCCAAACAGCCGTCAAAACATATTCAGCGTGTGTACTTTCCTCCACGCTTCTCTGCCCGCTTCTCTACACGCTCAGCACCCGTTCACCTCTGTCCCAGCAGCGTTTTCTTCCAGACATCAAACATCAAACAGCCGCAAAACAGCCGCCAAACATATTTAGCGTTTAATTTCCTCCACGCTACTCTGCCCGCTCACCGCTCACCGCCCATTCACCGTTCCTCCGGGCCCTCCCACCTCTTCGCACGCGTTACGTCATCACGTTGCGTACGTCTGTATACATGAGGATTTACTGACTGAAAGAAGGATTGATTTGGTACAGTGTCACCTGAGTACATGCAAGCCCTAGTGACTTGAGCCTATCCTAATGGGCTCTAGATCATGTGCGTGAGACCATATAGATCACTTATTCGCGTGATTGTTTTTAAAACGTTACTTGCACCATCTGCATTTTTATTTCTACAGATATACGTATTGTGATAAGTTTTCTCCTTTGCATGTAAAATTGTGTTAACCCATAGGGGGTAAGTTTGTATATTTCTAGCGCTCCACATATACACTATTGGTAGTTTTTATTACTATAATATTACCATATTAGCCATATTACTGGCAAAGCATCATGGGAGATGTAGTCTGCAACATCTGGATTGACGAAGGTTGCCTACCCCTGGTCTAGAGAGACACAGGTCTCATATGGGGCAATGATTTACAAAAGTTATCAGGAAAGGCCTCATAATCCTAATATGTCAACTAGAACAATAGGCATGATTTAAGGATATAGGGTGGAACACGACCGGAATCCTTGGAAAGAAAACCAAGATGGGACCACCACTCTATGGTTTACTGACAAACTTATCTCACAGTATATATTTATTGAATATGGTCTATACACACAGTACATACATAGTATCTTTCCCAACTGGTCTATACACACAGTAAATACATAGCGTCTGGTCAGTATACAATGTATATATTATATTACATTATACTAATATATAACATATATTACCACCTGCAGGGAAGGTAGATATTTGTTTCGGCAGCCTGTGTAACGTCAAAAGGAAGTAGACAATTATTTCCACCTCTTGCAGCTACATCTACTTTCGGTTTAGATATGTTTTGCTTCCTGAACCACCCTCTCTGCCGCATTCAGGAACACAGATTTAAAATGGAAAATAAAAATAAAAATAGCCACAAGGTGGTGATGTCGGATTCAATTTAAAAGGCCAAAGCAGCATTTATTCACTAAACAAGTGATAATAGAGAACCGGAAAGAAAATTTCTCATATTAGACAACATTAGAAAACAACATTTACGTCACAACTTCACTAAAGTCCGGATTGGCAGCCACACCAAACTGGGCAAATCCATCCGGCAGTATATGGGGTCATTCGGACTGTAAATTCCAAGCACTGCTCATGCTGTTGAACAACGTCTGGATTTGTGCACCGACCTTATTATTTTTTTAATGTTCTCCACCCAGCAACCTTCATATCCATAAATATGTCAAATAACAACTAGAGCAAGAGGGCATGATTTGAAGATATAGGGTGGAACATGACTTGGAAAGACAACCAAGATTGGACCACCACTATGGTTTACCTCAGCCACCCTGTCCTAGCTGTCAGGATGATGTAGGACCCTAACACAAAACTAAGGTCAATCCTATCAAATTCAGCAAATAGACACAATAGATGTACATTTCCAGTCCTTAGAGCAGCCTGGAAACAGACACAGGACGAGAAAATAAGAAGCACCCAAAGCCAATGGGATTTAAAGTATCATACACATGAGAAAACAAGTCAAGATCTAGGAGCAGAGTAGACAGAATAATCATGATACCAGAATGTTGCACATTGTTGTAGAAGGAGCACCCACAGGTACCATAACACCAGCAAGCTCTTGTGAAAAGATCCCAGCTGTGTCCGACATATTATAAACACACAGAGTAGGGATTGGACTTGAGTTAGGATTAACCTATCATTATATAAAAAAATATATATATATTTATTTAATTATAAAGAAAGGTGCTCCAGATTACTGGGATTGCCAACCCCCCAAAATCACTTCTTAGAAATGGGTAAAAAGGTCCAGGCACTTAAGGTCCTCTGGAACATTATAGAACTTGTGATAACTTGTGCTATAATGCTCCAAAAAAGTCTGCTATCGAAAGAACCTGAGCGACATATCATTATAGGCAGACCAGATGGGCCTGATGTGACCCTACTGTCACAGTCTATGTTTCTGAGTTATACTTAACTTCAGTTTTGGAATTATTTTAGTATCCTTACTTCCATAAGCAGCATTTGAGATCTCATAGATTTTGCGAGGATTGGCACTGTCAGAACTGTGGCTCTCGACCATTCTTATGCCCTCCTTTTGAATAAGCGCTGAACGAAGATTTCTTTTCCACTTCTTTGGATCAGCTCTATCCCTACTGGGGTTGTAAATACCACTGGCAACAGCCCAAGCCTATAAAAAAAGGATGTGGGGGTAAAAAACGAGTGTGAACCACATATTATTTTAGATTGCAGTCTCAGCAAGAACTATAACATCAAGTGATACAAAACACAGATTAATAGAAAAACCCTGTGTCATGTTTCACCTGGGGTTGATAATTAATTCTCCCTGTTTATATGAAGCGATAATAAGCCATGTGCACAGCACAATGTGGTAGGTAAGCAGCGCTGTCACGACTAGACACAGCGTTATTTACTTAAATGTCAAGGGGGGCAATGGGCAGGGGAGAGAAGGCCCAGTTTCGGTGTCCTGCCCCACCTTCCTGCCAGTCATAAAAAAGGTTTAAATATATTTACCTCAAAGATTTTGATATCTTCCCTGGTCCAGTCTTGTCTACGACCATGTTTCCAGGGGATCTGAAATCTTGTCCGCTTAGAGTTCAACCACACAAGACCTGGGTATTCCGGTCTGCCAACCTGTTCAATGAGCCAAGGGATGATGCGCGGTTTTGGAGTGGCCATTCCAGGGAACAATGGGCAATCTCTGACACACACATAACATAATCTTAATCAGCAGAAATTATTAACGTGTTATCTCGGGTTCTACAGACAGGTAGCTATCCTGGATCCCCTGTCATCCCCTGATCCCAGTATTCATCATATAACTGAATGACTGTGAACCAGAGACCAGGACCGTTATTACCCTCTATCACCCTCTAGGTAGGAGAAGCAGTTAGTAACACTAACTGATAGTATGCAGAGACCGTGCTACTCCCACAGTTTCCATTGTTTGTGAATAGACCACAGGTTCCATAAATCTTACTGATAATAATTAGTCATACTGCCATGATCTGGACTATTTATTAAACTAAATGTAGCATATTTGTTTTTTTTACAGCAAATCACCACCTACATTAGTCTTCCCTGACTGGTTTGACACACTAAATGTCTGTACACACAGTATATACATAGCATCAGGTCCGTAAACGCAGTGTATACAATGTATCTGGTCTGTATACACAATATATATTGCATTTCGTACTCACTGGTCTATACACACACAGTATATACATAGCATTGGGTCCGTAAATGCAGTATATACAATGTATTTGATCTGTATACACAATATATATTGCATTTCGTACTTACTGGTCTATACACACACAGTATATACATAGCATTGGGTCCGTAAATGCAGTATATACAATGTATCTGGTCTGTATACACAATATATATTGCATTTCGTACTCACTGGTCTATACACACACAGTATATACATAGCATCAGGTCCGTAAACGCAGTATATACCATGTATTTGGTCTGTATACACAATATATATTGCATTTCTACTCACTGGTCTATACACACACAGTATATACATAGCATCAGGTCCGTAAATGCAGTATATACAATGTATTTGGTCTGTATACACAATATATATTGCATTTCTACTCACTGGTCTATACACACACAGTATATACATAGCATTGGGTCAGTAAACGCAGTGTATACAATGTATCTGGTCTGTATACACAATATATATTGCATTTCGTACTCACTGGTCTATACACACACAGTATATATTTAGCATTGGGTCCGTAAATGCAGTATATACAATGTATCTGGTCTGTATACACAATATATATTGCATTTCTACTCACTGGTCTATACACACACAGTATATACATAGCATTGGGTCAGTAAACGCAGTGTATACAATGTATCTGGTCTGTATACACAATATATATTGCATTTCGTACTCACTGGTCTATACACACACAGTATATACATAGCATCAGGTCCGTAAATGCAGTATATACAATGTATTTGGTCTGTATACACAATATATATTGCATTTCTACTCACTGGTCTATACACACACAGTATATACATAGCATTGGGTCAGTAAACGCAGTGTATACAATGTATCTGGTCTGTATACACAATATATATTGCATTTCGTACTCACTGGTCTATACACACACAGTATATACATAGCATTGGGTCCGTAAATGCAGTATATACAATGTATCTGGTCTGTATACACAATATATATTGCATTTCTACTCACTGGTCTATACACACACAGTATATACATAGCATCAGGTCCGTAAATGCAGTATATACAATGTATTTGGTCTGTATACACAATATATATTGCATTTCTACTCACTGGTCTATACACACACAGTATATACATAGCATTGGGTCCGTAAATGCAGTATATACAATGTATCTGGTCTGTATACACAATATATATTGCATTTCTACTCACTGGTCTATACACACACAGTATATACATAGCATTGGGTCAGTAAACGCAGTGTATACAATGTATCTGGTCTGTATACACAATATATATTGCATTTCGTACTCACTGGTCTATACACACACAGTATATACATAGCATCAGGTCCGTAAATGCAGTATATACAATGTATTTGGTCTGTATACACAATATATATTGCATTTCTACTCACTGGTCTATACACACACAGTATATACATAGCATTGGGTCAGTAAACGCAGTATATACAATGTATTTGGTCTGTATACACAATATATATTGCATTTCTACTCACTGGTCTATACACACACAGTATATACATAGCATTGGGTCCGTAAACGCAGTATATACAATGTATTTGGTCTGTATACACAATATATATTGCATTTCGTACTCACTGGTCTATACACACACAGTATATACATAGCATTGGGTCCGTAAATGCAGTATATACAATGTATCTGGTCTGTATACACAATATATATTGCATTTCTACTCACTGGTCTATACACACACAGTATATACATAGCATTGGGTCCGTAAACGCAGTATATACAATGTATTTGGTCTGTATACACAATATATATTGCATTTCTACTCACTGGTCTATACACACACAGTATATACATAGCATCAGGTCCGTAAATGCAGTATATACAATGTATTTGGTCTGTATACACAATATATATTGCATTTCTACTCACTGGTCTATACACACACAGTATATACATAGCATCAGGTCCGTAAATGCAGTATATACAATGTATTTGGTCTGTATACACAATATATATTGCATTTCTACTCACTGGTCTATACACACACAGTATATACATAGCATTGGGTCAGTAAACGCAGTATATACAATGTATTTGGTCTGTATACACAATATATATTGCATTTCTACTCACTGGTCTATACACACACAGTATATACATAGCATTGGGTCAGTAAACGCAGTATATACAATGTATCTGGTCTGTATACACAATATATATTGCATTTCTTACTCACTGGTCTATACACACACAGTATATACATAGCATTGGGTCAGTAAACGCAGTATATACAATGTATTTGGTCTGTATACACAATATATATTGCATTTCTACTCACTGGTCTATACACACACAGTATATACATAGCATTGGGTCAGTAAACGCAGTATATACAATGTATCTGGTCTGTATACACAATATATATTGCATTTCTTACTCACTGGTCTATACACACACAGTATATACATAGCATTGGGTCAGTAAACGCAGTATATACAATGTATTTGGTCTGTATACACAATATATATTGCATTTCGTACTTACTGGTCTATACACACACAGTATATACATAGCATTGGGTCCGTAAACGCAGTGTTATACAATGTATCTGGTCTGTATACACAATATATATTGCATTTCTTACTCACTGGTCTATACACACACAGTATATATATATATACACACATAGTATCTGGTCTATACATACAGCATATACATAGTATCTTTTCAAACTGGTCTATACACATAGTACATACATTGCATCTGGTCAGTATACAATGTATATAATATTTTACATTATACTGAAATATAACATATATTACCTCCTGCAGGGAAGGTAGATATTTGTTTCGGCAGCCTGTGTAACGTCAAAAGGAAGTAGACAATTATTTCCACCTCTTGCAGCTACATCTACTTTCGGTTTAGATATGTTTTGCTTCCTGAACCACCCTCTCTGCCGCATTCAGGAACACAGATTTAAAATGGAGAATAGAAAAAAATAGCCACAAGGTGGCGATGTCGGATTCAATTTAAAAGGCCAGAGCTGCATTTATTTACGAAACAAGTGATTATAGAGAACTGAAAAGAACATTTCTCATATTAGGCAACATTAGAAAACAACACTTACTTCACAACTTCACTAAAGTCCGGATTGGCAGCCACACCAAACTGGGCAAATCCATCCGGCAGTATATGGGGTCATTCAGACTGTAAAATCCAAACACTGGATTTGTGCACCAACCTTATTATTTTTTCAATGTTCCCCATCCAATGCCCACTTTATGGGGCCTTTCTAGTGACTTAGACATTTAGGAGACATGCCCCCACCTGCCATATGGAATAGGGAGGTGGAACACATCCATCATAGTAATATAGGTTTCCTATTGACCAATTTAGGGCTTTTATTTATTTATTTAGTTTTAACTGTTTAATGTGGCAGGTGGCTAGCAAGCGCAGGCCAAACGATACATAATATTTAACCCTCACATTTAACTATTTCCCAGCTGTCTGCTAGTTCTGCCATTGGGCAGATAGTACTTCAAATAAACGTTTGCTTGCATGAAAATATGCTAACGTGCATCCTGCCAGATGCATTTGGTCCTGATTCTTATCCAAAAATATTAAATTGAGGCCAACGTTCTCTGTTTATTATTGATATTATTAAGGAGCCCTTATAGCGCCAACATATTCGGCAGTACTTTACAGTTTTGTTGTGGGACAGAGAAAAGTCATTAGAGGTATGGATTTAGGTGAATAAAACAGTTAAGTAAACAAGGTTGTTCAAGTCTTGTAGAGAGTATGGCCAACCTAATAGTGTTTGCAAAGGTGTGAGCAGGGCTGGTAAAACTACACTTTAGCATACAGGATGAGATATAAAGGTGAGAAAATATGCAATAGGCCCAGGATATATAAAGTATCTATTAGAGGTTGCAGTTACAAAGGAGCAGAGAGTAAGAAAGAAAATAATGATACAGGGTGGGTAAAATATAATGAGTAATGAAATGCAGGATAACGTCTTTATAGCAGGGGGCTACCTTTGACTTAGGGAAGTGGATCAGCAGTTGGCATTCTGAGTTCTATGTTGTTCTGAGAAGTTGCATGGCGTAGGTTGCCAGCACCCGGGGCAAGGCAAGTATTGCGAACCCTAACTCATGGACCGTAAGGGCTCCCTGAGTCTCTACCTGCCTTGTCTGATAATTGTGTACTTTTTAAAATAAACCTTGTGGCAACAATAATGTGGATAGTCTGTATACATTACTTTATGCGTGAGGTGGATTTTAAAAATGACACAATGCAACATCAGTGTCACACACATGACGGAGACAAGGCGAGTAGGGAAGGAGGAGAGAAGCCATCTAGGCGCCAGTTACCTATTAATAGCATGATTTCCCATTTGAAGATACCGACAGTAGATTCAGAGATCACACTATTAGTAGGCTTTATGTAATTCACCAATAAAGATTATACGAGGACAGTATACTGCAATTAGCAGGACAAATACCGTAAAATGTTACGTGGCAACGTTATTTTCCCCGTCATGTTGATAAACCGTGTAGAACATTCAAGGAGGACACACTATCATTTATCACTACTTTCTTTTTTTCTTTTGATATTTTGCACCACTAAGAATCTTACGCCAGGGCTACTGCCCTTGTGCCCCCTTATGCCACTGGTTCTGAGGCAGGATAACGTTTAACTCAGGCTTTAGTTTTTGGTCATCTGCAAACTCAGGCAAGTGACTTTCAATGCCTACTTCAAGATAATTTATAAACAGATTTAAGAGAAGTGGACCCAAGTCAGAACCCCGAGGCACTCCTCTTACAACTTTTGTCCAATTTGAAACATTTCCATTTACAACTACTCTCTTCACATTTTTAGCGTTTTATCCAAGAACACGATTTTTCGTCTAAACCAACTGATTTCAGTTTTCATAGTTACCTTTTGTGTGGAACTGTATCAAACGCCTTAGCAAAATCCAAGTAACTCACATCTACTGGATTACTCTCATCTATATTTCTACTAACTTCTTCATAGAATGAAATTAAGCTGGTTTGGCATGACCTGTCTTTCATAAAATCATGTTGATTTCTGCTAATGATATCTTTGTTTAAAATTAACTCTTGAATAGTATCCCTTAAAGGACCACTATAGTGCCAGGAAAACATAATCGTGAAGAAGCTGCATTGGTTAACCAGGGGACATAGGCATATGCCGGTTTGACCAATTAGCATCTCCTCATAGAGATGCATTGAATCAATGCATCTCTATGAGGAAAATTCAGCGTCTCCATGCTCTGCTGTACGTCAGTGATGCCTGCTGTGCAGCACTAACTCAGGAACTCTCTAGGGGGGAATGTAAACACTGCGTTTTCTCTGAAAAGACAGTGTTTGCATGAAAATGCCTGAAAGGAATAATGATACTCACCAGAACAACTACATTAAGCTGTAGTGTCCTTGTGACTAAAGTGTCTCCTTAAGCTAGGGGAGAAGTTTTTTACTCAGATCCCTAAGCCAAACTCAGTAGGTCATCACCTCGCTGACGTACTTTAGCCAAATGTTGTAGCATGGCATTATTATTGTGGAATGTCTTATAAATACTATTGTGAATAATGATAACGTATTATTGATATATTTCATCAACCACTCGCAGTGCATATTTACCTCTCCCTGCTTGGTGGCCCAGGCAGATGTTTACTGACTCTTAACCTTTGTTATTTGATTTCTTTTATACCATGTCTTTGCTCTACAAAATTGAATGTACACATATATGCATAAAAACGCGACACCTATCTCTTTCTACAGGTGTCATTGTAACTACAGACTGCTACCATGCAGACTACATTTCTGTTGTGTTTGTACATGCTACGTTATTTTGTGCATTCGCATTTTGATTCCATATGTATGTCTGATTTTGATATTTGCGGTGAATTATATCTTATTAAACAAAATAAATAGGTTACGAATTGACAACTAAGCCTAATAATACAAAATTTACTAGTCATTTGACATATAAATCATAGAAAAAAACATAGTGAAAAGCTTGGAAAAGGTAAAAAACTAACGGGAAGATACAAGCAGGTGCACTTAGAGTAAATTATACTGCTTATGAAGTGTTGATGATTGGGAAAATACAGGACCCATCCCCATGAATGCAATATTTAGTGTGAAGAGCCCCCATGTAGCCTCTGGTCAGCGATACCCGCTCGGCTCACCATATGCACCTGTGAACTAAAGTCCTTCGAGGCCAGGACCAAACTGATACACAGGAAGGTAAGCATTGGGTTCTCATCATGGAACTTTTCAGACTGCAGCAGGTCATCTTCACCATCTGAAGAGAGGCAGAATTAGGTAAATCTTCACCGGATAGCTCTATACTGCTGGTTTCTTGCTGATAACAGGAATGCTGTGTATTCCACCAGTGACTTCAGTGTCCAGTGAGGATGGGTAGTCCGGATGTCCTACGTCATCATGTGCCGGTAGCTCAGTGAGGACTCCTTCAACGTCTTCCGCAGGTGAGGATGATGTGGGGATACCAGTGGAGCCCCCATTCTCTCTTCTGTTAAAGGAACACTATAGTCACATAAATTACTTTAGCTAAATAAAGCAGTTTTAGTGTATAGATCATTCCCCTGCAATTTCACTGCTCAATTCACTGTCATTTAGGAGTTAAATCACTTTGTTTCTGTTTATGCAGCCCTAGCCACACCTCCCCTGGCTATGATTGACAGAGCCTGCATGAAAAAAAAAAACTGGTTTCACTTTCAAACAGATGTAATTTACCTTAAATAATTGTATCTCAATCTCTAAATTGAACTTTAATCACATACAGGAGGCTCTTGCAGGGTCTAGCAAGCTATTAACATAGCAGGGGATAAGAAAATCTTAATTAAACAGAACTTGCAATAAAGAAAGCCTAAATAGGGCTCTCTTTACAGGAAGTGTTTATGGAAGGCTGTGCAAGTCACATGCAGGGAGGTGTGACTAGGGTTCATAAACAAAGGGATTTAACTCCTAAATGGCAGAGGATTGAGCAGTGAGGCTGCAGGGGCATGTTCTATACACCAAAACTGCTTCATTAAGCTAAAGTTGTTCAGGTGACTATAGTGTCCCTTTAAGATGATGTCCAGTTGTCTGAGCTTTGAGTGAGGCTGTGATGATGTGTTGATCTGTAGACACAGCTATATGAGAATTGTGATCAGCTGCTAAAATGTTGATACGATGCTTGTCTGTTTTTATAGTGATGCACCCCCCCCCCCACCCCCAATCTTTACTCACTGTAAGATCACAGTTATGTATACCATGTTATTGAATGAACTCCCTTTCTCTTCTGTACCCTGTTTGATATGGTCAAAGACAAAATAAAAATTGTCAAATTAAAAAAAAAAAAACGAGAAATTCCAGGTCAAACAACAGAAACAGTCTATTGATAACTATTGTGATTTTCAAATAGTAGGTGGCACACCAATCGTTCCTTGCACATTACTAAAGTCAATATCGAAGTGAGCTTTATTCATTTTTGTTTTTTTATAAATATTAAACCACATCATTCTTCTTTCATGGACTTTTTTCTATCAACATCACCAACATGATTTTCAACATTTTTACTGGATCAAACTGCGACAGAAGTACGGACGTATCCGGTGGGGACAGAGTTAGTTCGTGTTTTTTTTTTTTTTTTTAATATAAATTCTTTTATTCAATTTCTTACATAAATACAGATATCAACACAACAACACAAGTCAAGTGACATCTTTACACAATCAAAACGTTCACTGTAGACAGACAAGTTACACCATTATCTGCAGGATCGGGCTGGTAAAAGAATATGTCTTAGCTCAGGACTCTTACTATTCAGATATTACCAGATCTAATAGGTATCTGTCTAATTAATAGACTAACTTCTATTTTATTAACCCATCTTTGCCATAGGTCCCCTCTTTTTGGGGAGTTCAAATACGGTATACTTAGGTCTCTTTCCATCCTCATCTGAAGGATGATTTGATCTTTAATGGCGTCCCAATGAACTACTTGATTAGATTTCCAGTTCCGAGCAAGAACAATTTTAAATGCGAGAAAACAGTGGATTATAAAACAACTATTTATGTATAACATATTCGGCCAATGCATATGTAACAAGACTACCTCTGGTTTCTTTTCTAATTCTATTCCAGTAATATCTTTAATAAATCTTATCATTCTCTTAATAGAGATCTGAATGTTTGAACAACTCCACCAAATGTGGAGAAATGATCCCTCCTCTTTATCACATCTCCAACATCTAGAGGTGACTCCAGGATACATCTGAGATAGCTTGCTAGGAACTAAATACCATCTATACATAACCTTATAATAGGTTTCTAATAAATTTAAACATTGGACCTGTCGACGAGTATTATTTATGGCTTTACACCAATCTTCTTGTTCTAAAGAACACTTCAAATCTTTTTCCCATTTAATCTTCTGGGGAAAACTAGCTACCTCGTTAATATTTCTAATTATCTCTATTGCTTTAGCTAAAACTTTCGGTATGTTCTGATTTGAGAATATGCGTTTTATCATTATATACGATTTTCCAAAGTCTTTAATAAGATGTTTTTGCAGAAAATGTTTAAGCCTCAAATATGTAAATAACTCTCGTTGAGGGAGATGATATTTTTGTATTATAGTATCAAAAGGCAATATTTTATCTAAGTTTAATATCTGTGAAACTTTATTTATTCCTTGAGATCTCCAAATTTCTAAAGAGAGATCTTTCATATTAGCTTCTATTGTCCTTAGATTTGCCGTATCCATAATTGCATATTTGAGGCCTATTTTCTTTTAAATTTCTTCCCAAACAGGCAACATTTGAGCCCATATAATATTATTTTTAATATCAATCCCCATTTTATCTAGAGTTTTCGTATTCCATAGCAAGCCCTCTGGGTTTTTTAGTCTCAGATCTTCCATTTCAATACTAAACCAGCTTTCTTCTTTAGCTGTCCCCGTCTGGGACCTATACATATGATTAATCACATTTGCCCAGTATATAACTCTTATGTTAGGGAAATTTAATCCGCCTTCCTTAGTTTTTAATGATAGAATATTTCTATTTATTCTGGTTTTCTTACCTTTATTAATAAAATTTTCTAGATTATTTTGTAATAGTGTCAACCAAATGTCTGGAATCCTAAGTGGAATCATTTGAAATAAATAATTCCATTTAGGAATGACATAAGAATTAATAACGTTAATACGGCCCCACCAGGTAATCTGCATATTTCTCCAATCTTTAAGTAATAAGTTTGTGCTTTTTAATAGGCTTAGGAAATTTTCTTCCATCATCCTCTCTATATTCTTAGTAACAAATATTCCTAAGCAATTGAATTTCTGAGATGCCCATGTAAATGCGTATTGATTACTAATTTCCTCTCTTGACTTCTTATCTAGTTCGATACTCATCACAACTGTTTTTTCATTATTTAATTTATAGTTTGCTAATTGGCTATACACTCTAACTTCCTCCATCAGATAGTTCAAAGAGCTAATTGGTTCAGTTATTGACAAAAGGATATCGTCCGCATAGAGACTTATTTTAAATTCTTTATCTCTTATTCTGTATCCTTTTATATCTTCATTTTTCCTGATATTTTCCGCTAGAGGCTCTATTGAAAGGATATATAGTAATGGCGAAAGTGGGCATCCTTGTCTCACCCCATTGTTTACTGATACCCAGTCTGAACAAATATTTGGGCCTACTATTCTAGTTGAAGGATTTTTATATAAAGCCATAATTCCTCTTAACAACCAGCCTTCTATGTTAGTTTGTGTTTTAAAAGTCCATCATCATGTCTTGTATCCCTTCTAGAAAGGGGATGATCTCAGCTGTACTCGAGAAGGAGAGTGAGCCAGAAATTTGAAGGTTCACCTCCTCACTGTCTAGGGAGGTAGCCCCATTATGGTAACTCAACTCATGAAGCATCTGCATTACCACTGGGGTGATCTAGAGAGGACGAAAAATAAATAATGAAACAAACTGTACGCAGCCTAGTTCGATTGTAACAAGACCATATTTGTAACAAGACCACATGTAATTATACAAGAAACAAAAAACCTCGTCACTCTCCTGGGATGTTTATATGTAACACTAATTGTTTATAACCTGAATAAAAAAGTACTTTGATCTATTAACCCAGTTTTGTCCTGTGAGTGCTTGTTTATTTTCTGGACGAATAAAGGATAGCCTATATCAGGGGTATGCGACCATTGGCACTTCAGATGTTGTGGACTACATCTCTCATACTGCTCTTACAGTCATAATGCTGGCAAAGCATTAGGAAAGATGTAGTCCACAGCATTTGGGGTGCCAACGGCCAATGTGGCTTTTTAAGGTTTGCCTTGCATCTTTCACACAAGTATTCCTTGACATTGGCGTAGGCTGGTGAGATAGCCAAGTTGATTAAGACACTAACTGGGTTGTTCATCTGACGTTAATATCACCAGTTTTCCCAGGTTAAATAATAGTAATATCTATTAGTAAAAGGTTGAATAGAGGAGCTGGGAAATGGTAATATAATGGTTAGTATCAAACAACGTCAATTATCAGTGCACTTTGAATGTTTTGGGGGTTTAAGGTGCAATGTAAATAGATTAGCAATTTTTTTCTATTAATAGTTAGTTGATGTTCAAAGATTCTGTTAATTTACCTTATCTGTGTCAGCTGATAATTAATAATCGTTTCAAATACAATGTTAAAATATTCCTACAGACACTATTTGCTTCCTACTGGAAGTTCTGACCCATCAGGGATAATAGTGTCCCCGTAGACACTATTCCCTAACTATAGGACAAGTTGTGATGAGCTAGAGGTGATTAGCAACATTACGATTTCACACTACCAGGACTTACTTGAACCATAATGAACTTTTTCTTCCAAGGCCGATTATCTGGCCAGAGCTCTCCCAGGCAAATCCAAATAGAATACTCTGGGGATTTTTTCTTCCTGCCCTGAATAAAGTCAATCAGTTCTAACAGAGAGAAGATGGAGATTAGAATTCATGTACACCACCACGTCGTTTACAGGAAGAAAATATATTTGTAATAATAAATCAATGTGACTCTGAACCTTAGGGACACTGAAATTGATAAAGGGATAGAAGGAAAACTCAATAAAAGCACTGTAATTGGATTATTACACCATGCAGAACAGATTACAAACTGCGACAGGGAAGGATCAAGTACAGCACACTGCAAGTCAGAGAGATTGATTTGTCCGTGGACATCCGGCATGTCCAGGAAGCCTGGAAGGGTATTTCACATCTTAGAAGTGACATGGATATAAAAGATACCATGAACATTTTTTTTGCCCCTTCTTGATTTCCTCTATTTTGGCAAATATGTTAGACTTAATGGTTTATAAAATAAAATGTAATATCAGGCAAAATCCAGTTTAAATGATATTTCTATTTAAATAAAACAAGTTATCCAAAACAAACTGGTCTTGTGAGCTATCATCAAATCGATTTACTCTACTCGTTTGTAATTTTGTGTTTGGGAGTCGTCCTGCATTCAGTTATGTTTAATCTTTATATCATATACTGATCACTGGACATTCTTGTTTAGAATTTTCTGGTAGGAAGCAGAATTCAAGGTTTCTTGAATGGTATCATGTCTCCACACCTTTCCTCTACCACCATCACGTTTAACAGTTGGTATGTTGTTGTGAATGTTGTGTTGCCGTTTTGTTAGACATACTGGGTCCTCTGTGGTCCAGAAAGTTCTTGGTTGACTGGTCAGTCTAGAGCAATGCTCCTCAACCCTCTCCTCGAGGCACACCTAATAGTCCAGGATTTAGGGATGTGTCTAAGGTGTTTAGAAAAAGAAAAAAAAATACCTTAGAGTCTAAGGTGTTTTTTTTTGTTTTGTTTTTTTGGGACACCTTAGACACATCCCTACATCCAAAGAACCAAAACAACTTTAGCTTAGTGAAGTTGTTTTAGTGTATCGATCATGGCTCTGATGTCTCACTGTTCAACTCTCCCATTTAGGAGTTAGATAACATTTGTTTCTGTTTATGCAGCCCTAGCCACACCTCCCCTGAATGTGACTCACACAGTTTGCATAAAAAATTGTTTCATTTTCAATCAGATGTTAACTTACTTTAAAAGTTTTTATCTCCTGCTCTAAATTGAACTTTAATTACACACAGGAGGTTTCTGCAGGGTCCATCAAGCTATTAACAGAGCAGGAGATAAGAAATTCTAAATTAAAAAGTGTAAACATTAGACGACTCTTAACAGGAAGTGTTTAAGAAGGTTGTGTAAGTCACATGCAGGTGGGTGTGACTAGTGCTGCATAAACAAAGCGATTTAACTCCTAAATGGCAGAGAATTGAGCAGTGAGACTGCAGGGACATGATCTATACTCCAAAATTGCTTTATAAAGCTAAAGTTGTTTTGGTGATTATAGTGTCCCTTTCATTTTGTATGTAGATCTGAAACCATTCAATATGATTATTGAAAAAACATAGGAAATACGGAAAGGAGTAAATATTTTTTCACAACACGGTACAAACGTGGCAAAAGGTACACTGTTTAATGCTGCCATATCGCTTACATCCATGACACTCATAGAAGTATTTAGCAAACATCTCAGCCAGGTGTCGGCAACAATGCATGTTGCCAGACAGATGCACACATGTACAAACAACTATTCAACATCTACACCTCTCCTACAACAGTTGCAAGAGTACATCTGAGCACTTTTCACCAGAGAAGAAAAAAAGGAGGAATGAGAACCATGGGTTCAGAATTGAGCATAACTACTGGATCAAGGACAGTGCACACATGACAGTGGACCATGTATGTAGAACACTAACAGGGCTATTAAGTAAAGGAAGAAATACTGGGAATTCAAATTTAAGATCAAAATAGCTGAATTGCAAAAATTCTCTAATTCTGCTATGAACCCATTTTTTGGCCTTAAATTTGAAATTAACTTTGAATTCACCTACACTGAGATATTCACTAAGGTGAGAATTGTAGGGAATTCAAAAAAAATTCAAAGTTAAATTCAGAAGTTAGACAAATATAACCAATTTATAAAAACAATTCTCCAAATCCACTCTGTTTTCAGTTTGGTTATTTTGGTCTACCGTTTAAAATTCACCTTGAACTCCCGGCAATTCTCACCCGTGGATGTGAAACGTAATACTTCATCCATTGACACATAGCAATATAAATAATGAATTCCGTAACACCTTGACAACTGCCAGAATATGTGAATTGTAGATTGTGTACCTGTAACAAACTGCTGCATGGTGTATAGGACACTGTAGTCATTTTTGTCGATTTGATTGGGTTCCCATGTTGTTGGAGTTTCACTCATACTCCAATAGCTCCTGCACTTTCCATGTCTTCTGCCACATATTGAGCCATCTCGCACCTCTATCAGTGTTCCGTGTTCCAGGTTTGCTAGTAGTTCATTTATTTTACTTGCAACACCCTGATCATTAACTTGAGATGGTATTGGCAAAGTAACATCTTCCAGGTAGTTTGCTAGATTTGGTGTTTGCCTTGATGTGATACAGAATCCATGAGGGTTTTTCACAATGGTATTCTTAATTAGAATTCCCCGGTAGTAGATTTTCACATCAAATTGTGTTTCTGTGGGGAAAAAAAAAATCACCATATTAACAGCTGAAATATTATATTTTGAGAGCCTGAATCTCCAAAATTAGGTTAATTTGGTAGCATTCATCATTACATGGGCTGTAAAGAGACATGTGTCCAACAATTTCTTTCTAACCTTTCTTACATCTATTTTTGCTGTTGATCCCAACGAAGGCAAAACCCCCACTTTGAAGCATTTTCCAATTTTGCAGAAAACCAGGAAAATATTTCATCTTGACCCCAGAATGGCAGTCACATATATCCTTGGATCAAGAAGCTATTACCCCACAAGTTAAAAATGATATCCCTGAATTATCTTTGAAAGCATTAAACCAGTTGCTGTTTTTAATAACTGAACAGACTCTTATAAAACCATCTCTTTAGGCAGAGAATCCCGCATTCTTATGGTTTTTACTGTAAATACCTTTCCTTTGCCTTAGACAAAATCTCCTTTCTTCCAGTCTAAATGCATGACTTCGTGTCCTATGTAAAACCCTGTTTATGAATAGATTTCCAGACAATGTATATGTATAATGCTATCATATCCCCTCTGAGGCGCCGTTTTTCTAAATTAAACAGCAGGTCGTCTGAATCCCATAACTCTGCAGCACCATATATCACAAACACAACAGGCAATGGCTGTTTCATTTGTTTTGTAATTTGGAGTTCCATCCGGGGTGCCAAAAAAAGAAGATGATTGATGGCTAGGGGACAGTCTCTAAATGCTGATTTTGTTCACAGATCAAGTGAAAAGTAACCAGTAGAGGGGAAAAAAATAAAGGAGCAGTAAAAAAAAAAAAATATATATATATATTTATATATTTTATAAATACATAAGATATAAATGTATATTTGTTTTTACTGTCCCTCCTGGTTTCTCCTCTACTGGTTACTTCTCACTTGATCTCTAAACCAAACGGAAGAAAAATTCTCCAATCAGTGTACTCTAAATATATCTATAAATATATATAATATCATATTATATTTTTGTAATACATTTTGTAGTACACCGATTGACCGGTTTTTGTGCCCTTTTGGTTCATCTGAATAGTTTTTCCTGACAGTTTGCATGGACAAATTCCTTCTGAACTGAAATGTCACATGGACGATTTAAGCCCAAGAGAGATAGCGCAGCTTAACGAACAAGGGCCCATGTACGTGTGTAGGGTTGGATGATCTGTAATTAATTGTTTTGTTTGTGTGGGTGTGTTTGTATGGTATGAGTGGGTGGTGGCTAGTAGCTTACCTCGGTGCCACTTAGAATCCAGACCAGCAAGAGTTACCTTCCCACCCTCCCTTCTTTTTCTGGGTCCTGGTTTGTTTTTTGCCACGGCAAGCGGGGGGCATGTTCTTGCCAGCCAGGTTGGGAGATGGCTTACAATTAGAGTGATGGCATGGATAATGGCCGGGTCGCATCTGCCCCTGCCTTTTATGGTAAACTGTATTGTTACCAATTTGGACGTGCCCCACTGATCTACAAGCTGGCTGGTGGTGAGCATTATGGACAAGCCCCACAGAGCTACAAACCGGCTGGTAGTGAGCATTAAAAGGTTAAAGGGACATGGCTAAATCGTCCAGCTATAGAAATCTAGATTATCAACAATATATTGGATAAAGCCACAGGAATTTAAAAAAATAAATGTTAATAACAAAATTGTTACCGACAAGTCTGTAAGCAAACTAAAACGAAAAGTTTTCAAAAATAAAATTTCTTTTACATATCTGACTCCAATAGAAGTCTCTGAAATATATATTGAAGATATAAAAGTGGATAGGTGGAAAGAATCAGGAATTTTAGATATGGGAGATCTTTTGGAACCTGGGAAAATGTCCCCATTTAGTAAGCTACAGAACAAGTTTAACTTACCAGCAGGTGAGTTCTTTACATATTTAAGATTAGTAATTTTTTTTAGATCAAAACATATTATTAAAGATCAAATTCAATATAACTTAATAAAGAAGAAAAACTACCACAACAAGAGGACATAGTCTTAAATTAGAGGGACAAAGTTTTAAAAATAATATCAGGAAGTATTACTTTACTGAGAGGGTAGTGGATGCATGGAATAGCCTTCCAGCTGAAGTGGTAGAGGTTAACACAGTAAAGGAGTTTAAGCATGCGTGGGATAGGCATAAGGCTATCCTAACTATAAGATAAGGCTAGGGACTAATGAAAGTATTTAGAAAATTGGGCAGACTAGATGGGCCGAATGGTTCTTATCTGCCGTCACATTCTGTGTTTCTATATAGATGATAATAACAAACTGGTCTCTAGAACAAAATAAAACTTTATTTAGCACGAGACTGGAGAATGGATTCAGTACCAGGATGGGGGAAATAAACACACAGATTAATTATCAATTAATAATGGGACAATATGTTTTTAAGAAAATAGATAATTTGAAAATGGATGAAAAAATATGGAACCCCTGGGCACTATTTCAATCTAAACACCTCTTAGAATTATGCTATAAGATCTGACACTACTTCCTCACCAACTTTGTATTTAGCTATATAATTATTGGTTTACCTTGTAGTTGGGGCAGTGGAGAGAAAAGATGAGAGAAGGAAGTACAGCTTAATCTCCCTCCTTTCTCTCACCTTCCCCCACCCTCCTTTGGAGCACCCGATACTGAATGTTTCTAAGTCTAGAATGAATGATATATATGTTTATTTGTTTATCTTCATTTGTCTTTTTGTATATGTGTATTATATAAAAATATGAAAATAAAAATCATAATTGAAAATAATAAAATAAAAGATTAAAGGGAATTTTGGTACGACAAGGGGGAGGTGAGAGCCTTTGGAGTTGTGATCTTATGCTCTTGGTCAGTTAGATTGGCAAGGATGTTTTAATTAAAGTTTAATTTGGTTGTATACTGTAAACACTATGTGTTGTGTATGCTTTAATTTATTGAACGCTTTGCTATATTTATAAATTGATAAGTAAAGATGGGTATGTTATGCAGTATTTACATGTTTTAATAAATGCTGTGGCCTGTTTCATTCATCATTGGTTGTCTGTTGTTATTGGTGGGTATTTTGGGTAGGTTATGGTAACGTGTATTTCATCCAGTGCCCACTACGTACATACATGGAGCACCCGAATATAAAAAAATTTAAACGAATAGATTTGGCTGAACCAAATTTGTTTGCTGTATGCAAGCCAATCAAACATTGTAAAAATATTCAGCTGAACTCTTTGTTACATAATCGCAAAGAGCACATCTCTCTGAAGCGTCAGTAAAAATGATAGAAGGTGAAAACGCGCAATGAAATCTTAATGCATTGCAGGCGCTTTGATAGGCATTCATAAAATCAATGTAAATTCACTTTCACTGATTATTTCCCTTTTGAAAGCAAGTAAGTTGGACTTCTTACCAAATGTTTTGTTGGGAAACAAGAGAGACAAATTGCTTTGTTGTGGAGTTTGCGGTTGCAGTTCTTGTACTTCTTGAACACGCGTATCTGTAAAATATTAGAACACAATAGAAATTCTAACTTATTAAGGCTGGTACGGACCCTCGCTCTACACCCAGTCTTTGACAATGCCATCTTTAACTCTGTGCATGAATCAGACACACTTCTGTGAAATGCAGTGATTTATACGCAACACATTTACATTTGGAAACTCAAAACCTTGTGCCAGCCATTGGATTGTCTGTTAAATTACACATCACTACATTGATTTCTACTTGACAAAATCCCCTGTCACTGTGTTCAAGAGAGAACAGAAGGCACTGAGAGGTATAGTAAATAAGTACTGGGAAAACCTCTACGACATAGGTGAGTAGTTTCATTTATGGTTCATGAATCCAGATAGTGGGGACAAGGCACAGGCTCTCCTGTAGTCACTAGTGTGACTTCTTGGTTTTCGTAATGCTGTTTATTTGCTCTCTAATAACCTTCAGGCCTTCCAAAAAAAGGTGTATCTATTTGAAGACTCTGTGGCACTTTAATTCTATGCAATAAGACTACATTCAAGTAATTATGTATCTTCTGAGGGCAATTTTCTGCACCAAAGCTTATTTAGGGATTTCATTGCAAAGTTGTCTGAGTTTTTTGTTTGTTTAATCAACTTTTGTGTCACATTAAATCCATCTGTGATCTTTAAATTATGTGATCAGCTATTTTAATCATTTAGCTGTGTATACTTTAGCATTTACTTAGTCTCATATTAATCAGTACTATTTTGTAACTGTAGACACCGATTTCTGTGCATGCTTTAGGGACCTGGTATGTAGTTTAGCTAAGTTCATTTAATTTTAAAAATTGCCGCTGACCACTAATTTTCTGAATCTAGAGATACATTATCCAGCAATTTTTTTTAAAAAAGGTTGTAGGTTGTAAAGTAAAAGGTTGTAGTACTCTACTTGCCAGTCTGTGGTTCTGTGGTCGTATAAGGAGACAGATTGTGGTAGACAGGACTAGTTACACCTGTGTATAATTCTGGAGATGAAATTCCAGAGTACCAGTTCTCCTGGGCTGGTGGGGTATAATCTAGACCTTCATTTAAAATAGCGTTCTCTAGTTCTTCAGCACTGCGGTATAAATCTGAAAAGAGATAAGAAAATGTAAAACAATATAAAACCCAAAAACTAAAATCTATCAGTACACTGCTTTTCAAACCAGTACCCTCAGATCAAACAACAGTCCAGCCACAAATTGCTCAATCCATATGTTCGTGGTAAGAGCATTGTATAGATTAAACTCGATCTCCACCTAAAATGCACCTTATCTATCTGAAACGGTTGGTGGCTAGATGACGTATAAGCTTTACCTTCCTAATCAAACGTTAAATTGATTAATTGATCAAACGCTTAATTGAACTGACAACAGCCCAATTAAAAATATGGCGATATTGTCAATATTTCATGTTAGTAAATACCGTAACCTCTGCTAAAAAGGAAAATGTGTTTTTTACCTCCTTCACTGCAGGATATTTGCATTTGCATTACATGCTCAGATAGAGTCCTGTTCTGGGAAACAAAAATAAAAGAAAAAAAGACCAAATCAAAATTGATACAAAGATAACTATTTATAAAAGGCCATTCAAATCGAAGGCCCAATTAGTCAAAGATGTTAAAAACAACACTGAATTTATTAATTACCAAGGCCTCAATTTAATTTATTTGAATCAGAAATTATTCAAAACTGTTGGAAAAATCTTTTTTTCAAATTATTTGTCTACAGAAGTTGCCATTATATATGGGAATTTGTGTAGATAAATCAATTGAAAAGGTTTTTTTCTTACAGATTGGAAAAATTTCTAATTCTTATTCCAACAAATTAAATCAAGGCCTACGTATCTTATTAAATCAGCCTCAGTAATAGCACCCATGGCAGGCTGCCTATAATAAACATTTATAGTACGGATTACAAGGTACTTGGACCATGATGCTTTGCTCTACTTTCACGTTAAGTAGCCCTATAAGGGGTAACTCATAAGACTCAGCACTGATCAGACACAAATTATTATTTTGCATTAATTATTCAGGATAAGTTGGATAGCCAGCAAAAGTCCAAGTATTTTTTAATGTTAGAAAACTTTGTGGATATCCACTAAAAGACTGAAATATTAATAGTTGCATAGAGTCAGGTAGAACAGCTGAAGGAATGGGACACTATAGTTATCAAAACAACGTTAGCTTAATGAAGACGTTTTTGTGTATAGATTATGTCTCTCAGTGCTTATTTCTCTGCCATTTTAAATCACAGTTGTTTCTGACCATGCAACCATAGCCACACCTCCCCTGGCTCCGACTGACACAGCCTGCATGACATTTTCAATCAGATGTTAACTCCTGCTCTATAAATTGAACTTTAATCACACACACAAGGCTCCTGCAGGGTATAGCAGGCTATTAGCAGAGCAGGAAATACAACATTCTAAATTAAACCGCCTGTGTAATAAGGGAAGTGCAAACATTAGATCTCACTTTACAGGAAGTGTTTAGGAAGGCTGTACTAGTCACATGCAAGGAGGTGTGAATAGGCTGCACAAACAAAGTGATTTAAAGGACCACTCTAGGCACCCAGACCACTTCAGCTTAATGAAGTGGTCTGGGTGCCAGGTCCTTCTAGGGTTAACCCATTTTTTCATAATTATAGCGGTTTCAGAGAAACTGCTATAATTATGAATGGGTTAAGCCTTCCCCCTAATCCTCTAGTGGCTGTCTCATTGACAGCCACTAGAGGCGCTTGCGTGCTTCTCACTGTGATTTTCACAGTGAGAGCACGCAAGCGTCCATAGGAAAGCATTGTAAATACTTTCCTATGCGACGGGCTGAATGCGCGCGCAGCTCTTGCCGCGCGTGCGCATTCAGCCCAGGAGGAGGAACGGAGGAGGAGAGAAGGAGGAGAGCTCTCCGCCCAGCGCTGGAAAAAGGTAAGTTTTTAACCCTTTCCCCCTTCCAGAGCCGGGCGGGAGGGGGTCCCTGAGGGTGGGGGCAACCTCAGGGCACTATAGTGCCAGGAAAACGAGTATGTTTTCCTGGCACTATAGTGGTCCTTTAACTCCTAAATGGCAGGAATTTAAGCAGTAAGTCTGCAGGGGTTTGATCTATACACCAAAACTGCTTCATTAAGCTAAAGGTGTTGTTGTGACTTTAGTGTCGCATTAAGTGTTGAAAAAACGATTGAGGCCTCCACTCTGACAGCAATCTACCAGCAGAATCGTGTTTCAAAAAGGAACAGAAAGTAAATAAAAGTCCTAAATGTTTTTCAAAATAACGACATAATATTTAGAAAAAAACAAAACATATTTTGTTTTGTAACAGTTCATAGGTGTACGCTGCAAGTTTAATTATATGAGGAGATATGAGCTAAGATAAGCTATGTGTAAGTGCATGGAGTGTCTGACAGAATGGGAAAAAAGTCGAGATATTGTGGGTTTGTTGAAGATAAGCATCATCAGAGGGAAAGACAAACACAAGAACAAACCGACATAATGAAAATTCTGTGGGTAGAAAACATTTGACTAAAATAGTAAACACGAAGCTCCTCATTGACTATCAAGCATTTGTACTTTTGCTAAACAGATAAGAGGTTAAACAAATAAAAATTAATCTGTAGAAAGACGTACCACGGAGCCAACTGCACTCTGAGGGCTGGAAAAGCCAGTTTGATCGGAACATGGACTTACACTGTCATTTAAATAGTGTTCTTCAGCACCTGTAAGGAGAAGAATAAAATAAACTATTTATCATAATAAAGTATTGTTTTATGGATACAGCATTTATGTATATATTTAATCTGTCTGCAGACTGTGCTTCCTATCTTTCAGTCAGTGATACTGTTCTATAGAATGTTGTGATTTGTCAAACATCTACATAACAACCAACCACTTTGTTGTTCTGTTATTACATTACTTATCCTCACTCGTCCTTCTAAGGCTCCCGTCAGCCAAACTTTGGAAATCATAAAGAATATTTACAAATTTAGCAAAAATATATTAAAATATTAGTATGAGGTGCAGTTAAGGATAGTCTATCTACATAAAAAATATGTCCTATAGAGCAGTGTTCCCCTACCCACTACTCGTGGACCACCAATGGAGATACTGACAAAACCTGGACTGTTGGTGGTCCATAAGGACTGGGTTGGGGAACACTGCTATAGAGCCCCTGTAATGAGTCATGATTATAGTGAACATTTTGGGTGTAGAAAAAAAGATTTAGACTGATAAAAAAAAAATGAAGAAAAAAGTCATGAGATCACTCTCCTAAGCAAAGAAAAATATTAATCAAATTCCATATTAGGAAATTACAGTCCTACAAACAGCCTCCTAGACATAAGGCAACAGGGCAGTGCAAAATTCTGATATCTAAAACTTGTGTATTTTTAGATATACAATATGAACAATAATTACAAGGTGCAAATTTCATATCAAAAGCATATTGAGCAAGTCTCACTTTTCAGAGAGTCTTTTAAATGGCATTTCACTGGTATGATTTGAGAAAGGAAAATTTTCACTTAAAAGGAAATAAAGTAAGTTAACTTTCTTTGAAATGGGGAGCACCATTAACCCTGTACAGACCAATGACACGTGTTCATGAGATCTTGTCTGGCCCCCACAATTCTTTCTGATTGCATGGAGTGCCCTGTGTTAGCATTTGGCAATCTATACATCTCTGCTGTAAGTAACTGAGTGAGATCTTGTGGTGTAGAACTGTTATGATAGAATTCACCATAACTTCTTCTTAAGGTGTTAACTGAAGAGACAGAAATTGTATATTTGTTCATTCTTGATTTTTCAAGTTTGTTGCCTCCACTCTTCAAAAACTGCATATGTGTAACCAGTGTAAATTATATATAGACAACGTTGTCCTCAGAACACCTCAAAATTAGGTTTTCAAACTCTCATCTGACAAGTTGACAAGTTACCATTTGCTGAGATTGCAGTGCAGTGTGGAATTCTTTATATTTTTTAATTTATTTATTTTTAAGTATTGCTGAGGTTCCTTAATTTAACCCTAAAACCAATTCTACACCCAGATAAACTGTTGTTGAGGTTTCTGACAGGTTGTACCCAGGAGGCAGTAGTAAGCTGGATGCAAGGTACAAAATAGGGATGAGACTTCAGGTGTTCTGCCCGTTTACACGTGGGTATGCCAGGAGCTTCCTGCGGGACGTGGCGTGATGGGAAGAGCCGCACACTACGTCCATGTGCTGCAGGGACATTGGCTGCATGTCCCTGAAGCTGAGCAGGCCGGAGTCTTCGGCGCATGCTGAAAGGAGCTGCAACAGCCGTGGACAGAGACGCAGCGAGGGACATCCGGGTAAGTGTAATCGGGCAACTGCTCCGAAATAACAAGGAACCATTATAAAATGCTTAGTTTGATGCTCACCCAATCAAAATCACTAACGCAATTGAACACCAATTTATTAATATTAATATTAGCATTTATATAGTGCCAACATATTATGCAGATCTTCACAGTTTACAGTGGAGATGTATATCATCAAGATAATACCCGAACAAAATGTCTTTATCCCAAAGTACTTACCCTCAGCTTTATGCCCACTTAATATCTCATAGATTTTGTGGGGTTCGGTTGAACTGGTGCTATTATCTGCGATCACACGAATGTCTGCTTTGCGGTTAAGCGCTGATCTAACATTTCTCTTCCACACAGCTGGATTGGGCGTATCCTTACTGGGATCATAACTGCGGCTCGCAATAGCCCATGCCTGTAAAAAATAATCACAATGAGATGTCAATGCATTATTTGCAGTCTTAAAAGATAAAGGGAAAGATAAAACCTACATAACACAACACAAGTTTAGTCTTCAATATGAAACCCGCAAGTTTCGTCAGTGACGTCAAAAATAGAAGAAGGTAAGGCTGCAGGGAGGCTTACCGGGGCCCAGGGGAGGACATCTGAAGTGCACACAGAAGGAGGGAGAGGTGGACTTGGAGAGAGTGTGAGTGTATCTATGTCTCTGTGTGTTGTGTGAGTGTGTGTAGTGTTTGTGTTCTATATGTGTATCTGTGTATGTGTGTCAGTATGTATATATGTACATGTTTATCCGTGTACCTGTTCATGTGTATGAATCTCTGTGTGTCAGTGTGCATGTGTGTGTATATCCTAGAGTGTATCTGTTTGTACCTGTGTGTACCTGTGTGTGGCAGTGTATGTGCGTGTATCTTTGAGTGTCAGTGTTTGGCAATTTGCATCTATATGTTTGTAACAGTTATGAGTATATGTAGACATGTACTAGAATGCAAACACAAAATCGCACACAAACACAACCCCTGCATTCAAACACCAACACTACACACAAACATACCACTGTGTTCATATGTCAGCCCTGTAAACAAACTTTTTTATTTTATTGTCTAATATTTTAGATATGTTTATTATATTAGTTAAGAAACCTATTTAAAATTTTATGATATAATTCATTGGAATCTGGATCTACCCCTTTTTATTTTCTTCCCTTTATGCTTTTTCCCTTTAAATATATACATATATTGATTGAGCACTATTTTTCAAAGTGAAATTTAGCTTATGTTATATAGATGAAATACAGGGAGTGCAGAATTATTAGACAAATTAGTATTTTGACCACATCATCCTCTTTATGCATGTTGTCTTACTCCAAGCTGTATAGGCTCGAAAGCCTACTACCAATTAAGCATATTAGGTGATGTGCATCTCTGTAATGAGAAGGGGTGTGGTTTAATGACATCAACACCCTATATCAGGTGTGCATAATTATTAGGCAACTTCCTTTCCTTTGGCAAAATGGGTCAAAAGAAGGACTTGACAGGCTCAGAAAAGTCAAAAATAGTGAGATATCTTGCAGAGGGATGCAGCACTCTTAAAATTGCAAAGCTTCTGAAGCGTGATCATCGAACAATCAAGCGTTTCATTCAAAATAGTCAACAGGGTCGCAAGAAGCGTGTGGAAAAACCAAGGCGCAAAATAACTGCCCATGAACTGAGAAAAGTCAAGCGTGCAGCTGCCACGATGCCACTTGCCACCAGTTTGGCCATATTTCAGAGCTGCAACATCACTGGAGTGCCCAAAAGCACAAGGTGTGCAATACTCAGAGACATGGCCAAGGTAAGAAAGGCTGAAAGACGACCACCACTGAACAAGACACACAAGCTGAAACGTCAAGACTGGGCCAAGAAATATCTCAAGACTGATTTTTCTAAGGTTTTATGGACTGATGAAATGAGAGTGAGTCTTGATGGGCCAGATGGATGGGCCCGTGGCTGGATTGGTAAAGGGCAGAGAGCTCCAGTCCGACTCAGACGCCAGCAAGGTGGAGGTGGAGTACTGGTTTGGGCTGGTATCATCAAAGATGAGCTTGTGGGGCCTTTTCGGGTTGAGGATGGAGTCAAGCTCAACTCCCAGTCCTACTGCCAGTTCCTGGAAGACACCTTCTTCAAGCAGTGGTACAGGAAGAAGTCTGCATCCTTCAAGAAAAACATGATTTTCATGCAGGACAATGCTCCATCACACGCGTCCAAGTACTCCACAGCGTGGCTGGCAAGAAAGGGTATAAAGAAGAAAATCTAATGACATGGCCTCCTTGTTCACCTGATCTGAACCCCATTGAGAACCTGTGGTCCATCATCAAATGTGAGATTTACAAGGAGGGAAAACAGTACACCTCTCTGAACACTGTCTGGGAGGCTGTGGTTGCTGCTGCACGCAATGTTGATGGTGAACAGATCAAAACACTGACAGAATCCATGGATGGCAGGCTTTTGAGTGTCCTTGCAAAGAAAGGTGGCTATATTGGTCACTGATTTGTTTTTGTTTTGTTTTTGAATGTCAGAAATGTATATTTGTGAATGTTGAGATGTTATATTGGTTTCACTGGTAATAATAAATAATTGAAATGGGTATATATTTGTTTTTTGTTAAGTTGCCTAATAATTATGCACAGTAATAGTCACCTGCACACACAGATATCCCCCTAACATAGCTATAACTAAAAACAAACTAAAAACTACTTCCAAAAATATTCAGCTTTGATATTAATGAGTTTTTTGGGTTCATTGAGAACATGGTTGTTGTTCAATAATAAAATTAATCCTCAAAAATACAACTTGCCTAATAATTCTGCACTCCCTGTATAAAGAATCTTTATGATAGAAGATGTCTAATAATATTGTTTATTTCTGCTGTCTCCTTTTTCTTTTAATTTGGATATATAAATGCTATGAACTGAGGGCATTTTGCCCTATCTGTAATGGATGTTCTCCGTGCCGCGAACGAGTCCCGAAAGTCATGAGATCGCAATGAAATCATAACACATACATCACAGGAAGTGACGTATCGGGACTCAGTAAGCCGAAACCGCAGGACACGACGTCCCCGGAAGGATTGAACCAGATGGTTTGAAACTCTGCATAGAAAATGAACAGCTGTACCGGACATATTGGGGAGGTCAAGGGGGATGTTAATCGATAGCCGAAAGTGCGGCCATATTTTGTTTGGCATGACACTTCCGGCTATGACCATAAATGGAAGTGGGTGGGAATGGATACACATTTGTTTGTAATTATGTATTTTGTCTCCTATTACTCCCTGTTATATAAGGGCATTCTGGCCGATTTTTAAGTTAGATGCACTTGAGAAAGACCTATATAAAGGTTGAAACGCGTTGTGCTATTTTTATACTATATATATATATATATATATATATATACACACACACACACACATTTTTTATTCAGAATTCTCTGTGAAAATAAATACTTTTTTATACCAATCTTCCGTGGACTTTAAAGTTTGCTGCAGTTTCATCAGTTTGAAGTTCCTGTGGACAAATTGGACGTATTCACACTACACTTCTCAAGGATGAGATGATGAGCATTATAAGTTTAAAGCTAACTTTTAAATAGCTCTGGAAATTGTGAGTTTGAAGAAATATTTCCTCTCACTTTATTATTTTGTATACAGATTACACTATGTATGTTTTATTTGTTTACATATAGGTTACCAAACATCTTTTGTTGTGTGGTTACCTGAGATATACTCTGTGTAAGGTAAAAATACAAACAAATTTATTGTTTTATGTGTGCGCAAATCACCCTCTCTTTTTCCGATTTTATACACCAACACTCCTTACATGCATGCCCCTGCATTCAAAGATAGGCATTACACAAAAATACAAAAACATTCATACTCACACACTATACAAAAACACACCTACATTAATACACAAGCACTGCACACAAATACAACCGTGCAAGGATGGTCAAATAATAGATCTGCAGCTGGCAAAGCATTATGAGAATTGTACGAAAGTTTAAATTATTTAAACTCTTAAAGTTGAGTACTACATTTTGTCAGCCCCTATTCGAAATAGGGGCCCCCATTTTTTTTTTTTTTGCACCTCAGCCCTCTCTCACACTGCATTCAGAGAAAGAAGTATCTGTACATGGCATAGATCTAACCTACCAATCCCTAAGACACCATCTTCTCGTTGGACAGAGACATGTTTTGCATTTTTCTCCTGTGGGTCAGCAAGGAACTGGTGATATGGTTGTGCAAACCATGCTTTGCTGCTTATCGGAAGTGGCTGCATACGTAGCATAAACTTCTCTTTTAATATGAATTTACAAGTTATATTTGAATCTAACATGCAGAGTTCAGCTACCAAGCTTTGCGTAGTTATACCTCACTTCCTCTTGGCTCAAAACCCTTATTATCTCTTGTCATTTTTCTTATCTGTTTTACCTTATTTCTATTATCTACTGGTATGATTTATATACTTATTGTAAAGCTGGGTGTAATATAATGGTGTTTGATAAATGATAATGATGTGTTATTAATAAAAAGCAAAACGAGAAAAAAATAAATTCTACAGTTAGTGATTAACGTTGCCACAAGGTGACGCTATACTACCAAATTTTAAACAGCAATGCAACATAAGAAATACGATACATTTTATAATACTTGTTTAGAACTAAATTTCTAAATAAATCTGAATCCGTCCATCATTGTCTGTTATTCTCTCTGTCAATCTATCTTTCATCTGTTAATAGCATACTGTTTATAATAAAAATGTTGGAAACATAATAATAATATTGTTTGTCAATCCTAAATACTCGCCGTCCTAGAAAGAACAATACAATGTTTACCTCGAAGATTTTAACATCCTCCTCGCATCGGTCTTGTCTAAGGCCATGCTTCCACGGAATACGGAATTGTGTCCGCTCAGCGTTCAGCCACACAAGGCCTGGGTAGGTCTGGCTGTCAATCTGTTCAATGAGCCAGGGGATAATACGTGGTTTCTGAGAGCCCATTCTGGAGAAAAAAAAGGAAGTGTATAACAGAACAGTCATAAGAGGCAACACGACTGCCTTCCTAGCAAACATTGTTGAGTGTTTCTCTCCTGTATATTATGATAGTCCCTGTTCATTTTATATATAATACAAGAAAGGGACATTGTATTTATTGATCTGGAATCTGGATTCTCCAAACTCTGGACCTCCAGATGTTGCCGAACTACAATTCCCATGATTCTCTAGCTATTTATTTCATTCAAAGAATCATGGGAGTTGCAGTTCAGCAACATTTGGAGCCCAGAGTGACATCTGTGCTTGAAGTGTGTAATAAAAGTCTCTAGGATCCTTTGTCATCTAGCACGGTGTGCAGAGTGTAACATTATGTATTGACATATGTCATACCATTGTGTTGCTTAGCTTCCTTTAATCACTGCTATAAAAGAGATCTGAGCCACGGAAGGCACAGATCTCAGCGATTGCTGTGGTTTTGCAAAGTTAAACAGGATCCCTTAATAATTTAATGCAATTTCCCCTAAGCATTGTGGAGTTGTCTAATATAGCACTGGGCCTGACGGAAAGATTAAAAAGTTTTAACTATAACTATTTTGAATCATTATTATTAGTTTGTTAGGACCTGGGAGAGTAAGTTTGAAAGTCATATGGACAATCCTACGAAAAAAATGCGTATACTATTACTCTGCGCTATATAAAGGAACTTTAAAATAACAACGTGGTGTAATCACTGAAAAATAAACTTTACATTTTAGGCCACATTGCAGGCAATAAGTGCCAATCTGTCGATATGGACTTAATGGGTCCTAAAATGTTCAAAGTGCATTTATGAAAACCCAATCATGCTGGCTGGCTCGGTCAGTTTCCACTGCAGAGCATATATGTATTGCAGAAACCAAAAAAATATTGTTTGTGACAGTAGATAATCTTATATTATCTCAGTAGATATTCTTAATTTTTATTAATTCCATTCCCCTACTCTTTTTTCAAGTTAAGTAATATATTAGTCATTATTCTAACAAAATATGGCATATAACGGCTCAATCACAGACAAAAGTTTTTGTTACAAAAATACAGAGGGCGTATAGTCTCTTCTCTTGTATTTGTGAGGAACGGAAGGGTCAATAGTTTACCCCTCTGTCTCTTTCTGGGGTTGCTATTTTTTGTGCAGTTCCGTTTGCCTTGCGCGGTTTTTGTAGACTATATAGACTATATAATCAGCGATCTATGAGTTAAATCTCACAGACCGCCAAAAACAACTATAAACTTAAATTTTACGTTTATGGAACTTCCCTCCCTCCTACCCTTTATGCAAATTTACTATAATTAGGTCATTTTGGAATGTTTAATTAGCTACCTAAATAAAGGGTGGTTAAAAATTTTATATAGTGTTATACGGGCTATTAAAGGCTGCCTTGTGATGTTTTCCCCTGGGTCTTACTAAATGACAGGGATGTGTTACAAGTTAAAACGATTGCAGTTGTGTTGTACTTACAATATTTAAAATTAAAAAAAAAGTTTTTAAATTTCTTTCGATAAAGACCACAGCCTTTCTCCGAACATTTGTTTCTGTGTGTTTATTATATTAGTAATATTTTAAATAACCTCGCTATAACACACAAGGTGCACTATAGTCATCCAGTCCACTATGAAGTGGTCTGGGTGCACTGTCCCTGTCCTTTTAACTCTGCAATGTAAACCATTATGGGTAGGGTAGTTAATGTTTATTACCATCTACCATACTGACAGGTAATTAAATCCTTTTTTTTATGGCACAAGGAGAAAGGGAACACACCTGTATTTAACTAGAGACAGAGGCACTATAGAGTTATGAATACAGGTTTGTAGTCCTAACACTATAGCGTTCTTTTAACAGGGAACATTGTACCTGATTTAACATACAGTGAATTAAAACGTTTAGAAACATAGAAACATAGAATGTGACGGCAGATAAGAACCATTCGGCCCATCTAGTCTGCCCAATTTTCTAAAAACTTTCATTAGTCCCTAGCCTTATCTTATGGTTAGGATAGCCTTATGCCTATCCCATGCATGCTTAAACTCCTTTACTGTGTTAACCTCTACCACTTCAGCTGGAAGGCTATTCCATGCATCCACTACCCTCTCAGTAAAGTAATACTTCCTGATATTATTTTTAAACCTTTGTCCCTCTAATTTAAGACTATGTCCTCTTGTTGTGGTAGTTTTTCTTCTTTTAAATATAGTCTCCTCCTTTACTGTGTTGATTCCCTTTATGTATTTAAATGTTTCTATCATATCCCCCTGTCTCGTCTTTCCTCCAAGCTATACATGTTAAGATCCTTTAACCTTTCCTGGTAAGTTTTATCCCGCAATCCATGAACCAGTTTAGTAGCCCTTCTCTGAACCCTCTCTAAGGTATCAATATCCTTCTGAAGATACGGTCTCCAGTACTGTGTACAATACTCCAAGTGAGGTCTCACCAGTGTTCTGTATAATGGCATGAGCACTTCCCTCTTTCTACTGCTAATACCTCTCCCTATACAACCAAGCATTCTGCTAGCATTTCCTGCTGCTCTATTACATTGTCTGCCTACCTTTAAGTCATCAGAAATAATCACCCCTAAATCCCTTTCCTCATATGTTGAGGTTAGAACTCTATCAAATATTCTGTACTCTGCCCTTGGGTTTTTACGTCCAAGATGCATTATCTTGCACTTATCCACATTAAATGTCAGTTGCCACAATTCTGACCATTTTTCTAGTTTACCTAAATCATTTGTCATTTGGCTTATCCCTCCTGGAACATCAACCCTGTTACATATCTTAGTATCATCAGCAAAAAGACATACCTTACCATCAAGACCTTCTGCAATATCACTAATAAAAATATTAAAGAGAATGGGTCCAAGTACAGATCCCTGAGGTACCCCACTGGTGACAAGTCCAAGCTTCGAATATATTCCATTAACTACAACCCTCTGTTGCCTGTCACTCAGCCACTGCCTTACCCATTCAACAATATTGGAATCCAAACTTAAAGATTGCAGTTTATTGATAAGCCTTCTATGTGCAACAGTGTCAAAAGCCTTACTGAAATCTAGGTAAGCAATGTCTACTGCACCACCCTGATCTATAATTTTAGTTACCCAATCAAAAAAATCAATAAGATTAGTTTGGCATGATCTCCCTGAAGTAAACCCATGTTGTCTCTGATCTTGAAATCCATGTGTTTTTAGATGTTCATCAATCCTATCCTTTAACATGGTTTCCATCACTTTCCCCACTACTGAAGTAAGGCTTACTGGCCTATAGTTGCCCGACTCCTCCCTATTACCTTTCTTGTAAATGGGCACAACATTCGCTAACTTCCAATCTTCTGGGACTACACCTGTTAACAATGATTGGTTAAATGTATATTAGAACACAGATGTATATTTTTTTTTATCAAGAAATCGAAAACACCCTGCATAACTTTGCTACCAACTTTAAAAAAGAAAATACTATATAATTTTACCCATGCTTCCTCACCTACCCAACAACGCTTTTTTTTTAACTTTATATACTTTCTCATCCTCCTGTACTGTAATCAACTAAATACTATCTATTCAGTAAATAAAACCACAATACAACATTTACTTGAAACCTCTTCTCTTATTCTTCCATCAACCTACAATTCTCATGTCAATCAACAGCTCCACTAGATTATAAACTCACCGAACATTTTGCTTAAAACTTTTAGATTATTCACAAAACCGTGAATTCTTTGAGATTCACCTGAAAATTTTAAAATTGAGGCCAAACCATAAATAAAATAATCTATTTTAATTGAAGACATTTTGGACTGATATTTGATATCCATATTCAAATCCCAGCAGTTCTCAGTTGAGCAAATATGCCTGCTTGCTTAACCCATTTGTAAGCCAGCTTGCTTTTAACCCCTTAAATACACATGACATGTGTGACATGTCATGATTCTCTTTTATTTCAGACGTTTGGTCCTTAAGGGGTTAAAGGTTGATTTTAAACTCACAGAGAGGGTTCGTTGTTCCTATTGGCTTGTCTAAATATACTTTGTATGTGTACAATATCAATTTGAATAGGAACATAGAATATGTAATATTCTACATACACAATTTGATCTATATTGTAACTCCATAAATTGTACAGCGCTACAATTAAACGACAAAGTCTCACTGTAAACCAGAACACAGATAATCTACTAACAGAACAAAAGTCTTGTGGTTCCATTGATTCTTACTGAATGTTGTCACTCATTGATTTCTCTTCCTGTGCCTCGGTTCTTGTTACAGAAGTGTCCTGTGCTATACTGAGTTTCATTCATTCAATCATCACTTTGCCCATGGCTCCTGTGGGTTAAAATAATCACGTCTACGGTATCAAAAGGCCCCGCTTTATCCAGGACAGACACCACTTACCTGAGACAATCACAAGCAATGCAGCATGTAGGAAGCTGTGTCTAACAGAACTAGTTTCGTTTTCACAGCTACTCCCCTCCCTCTTGTTTTGCACATTCCCCACCCATTTCACAGAGCTACATGTCGGCTTTGGAAATTCTACCAAATCTGTTTTATTTCTGTTTGCTGACAGAACTGTCTTTGTTATTCTGTTACAATATTGTTTGGCATTGCAGAGTTGTCTACTTTCACCCCCAAATTATTAGACTACACACATTTCCTCATTAAATAGTGAAACGACTTAAGAAAATAATAATAATAATAATAATAATAGTAAAAATAAATTAATATATATATATATATATATATATATATACACATACACATATATATATATATAAATTTATATACACACACACACATATATATACACAAACACACACACACACAAACACACACACATATATATACACAAACACACACACACAAACACACACACATATATATATACACAAACACACACACACACACACACACAAACACACACACATATATATACACAAACACACACACACACAAACACACACACATACACACACACATATATATATATATATATACATACCAGAACTGGCCGTTCATATTTAGGGGGGGCACATGGGGGGCCGGGGACAGAAGTAGGGGGGCAATTACACACACACATGGAGAACATTTAAAAGTTAACAAAATTCACCTTGATAAATATGCTTAAGTCTGCTTTAGAGTTGCAATTGTAACAATATCTCATGATGCCAGAATTGTTACAAAACTAGTTTTAAAAAAAACACATTATTTTTAAAAATAATTTACAACATGCAATTTGAAGGGAATTTAAATTAACACTTCTATATAAATATTTCACATACATAGAAAATGGTCACTTAACAGTGTATTCTCTACGCTACAGTTTAAGCATTTTAAAGTGACACAAAGTTGTATTTTGAAATGCTAATTCAAATTAATTTTTCCTGTAAGAAGAGCAGATTTAGCTCCACTTCCATGAACAATTAAAAATGGTTGGCACTAAAGTTTGTGCCCTGACCTATAGTTGGTGAATACTTTACCAACACAAACTAAAATTACTTGTTTCATTCTCTTGCTCACAATATGGAATCCTGGGTACATGCATATCATTTACTCAAAAGCTGCAATTAAAGTTCACGTTACTTACAGTAGTAGTGCCACTGTCTGGAGTGTCTGCTCCGCTCACTCAGTCCCTCTGCAAATTGCACTCTCGGGTAGGTAAGGTTTCACACCTTATGTGGGGCCGCACTGCAAACTGTTTGCAATCTCTGGTAAGTAAGGTGACACTGTCATACCACTCACTGTCTGCAATCAGGAGTAAGTGCCACTGTCATACCACTCACTGTCTGCAATCAGGAGTAAGTGCCACTGTCATACCACTCACTGTCTGCAATCAGGAGTAAGTAACCTTTGTCACACTCACACCACTCACTGTAATCAGTGCAATTAATTCACTTTTCTCAGAATGTGGCAGAGGCAGCGGGCCACAATACCTGCTCCTCTCTGCTTGATCTGTTCTGCCTCCTTTGCTCTTGCTCCTCTATGCTTGCTCTGCTCTGCCTCCTCTCTGCATGCTGTGCTTCTATTTGCATGGTCTGCTTTTACTCCTCTCTGCTTGCTCTGCTCCGCCACTCTTGACTTGCTCTGCTCCGCTCCGCTCTTGTCCTCTCTACTTGCACTGCGCTGCCTCTTCTCTGCTTGTTCTGCTCCTCTCTGTTTGCTCTGCTCCTGCACACATATTGCCTAATACATACAAACCCATACACGCACACTGCCTAATACATCCATCCATACATTTATACACACATATTGCCTGATACATATACACACACACTGCCTAATACATCCATCCATCCATTTATACACACATATTGCCTGATGCATACATCTATACACACATATTGCCTAATACATAGACCCATAAACGCATACTGCCTAATACATACTCACTGAATACTTACATCCATACACACACACTGCCTAATACATCCATCTGCACACACATATTGCACAATACATATATTGCCTAATACATACACCCATACACGCACACTGCCTAAAACATACATCCATACACACATACTGCCAAATACCAGACATCCCATGTCTCCCGGTAGTTCAGGGAGACTCTCGCATGTTGAATGCGGTTCCCTGACACACACGCAGATCATACATAATATCCCGAAAATCACACACACAATCAAATCTATAAAGTATGACTTCTGTGCATGTCAATATGTGTGTGTATCTGTGTGTGTTTCAGTGTGTGTATCTGAATGTATGTGCCAGTGTGCGTTTCAATGTGTGTATCTGTGTGTCAGTGTGTATGTGCCAGAGTGTGTGTATGTGCCAGTACGCATATCTGTGTGTCTGTGTGTGTTGGTGGAGGGGGGTGGGGGGAGTGAGCGCAAGCATGTCAGGGGGAGGTGGAGTGACCGCACATGTGCACGGGGGTGGCGTAGTAAATTGTGAAACCACCTCCCTGAAATGCATTTTTGCATGTTGGGATACATTTTACATTAAATATATAATTTATAGCTGTGATAATAATATTTTCATTCATTTGGTGGGATTTTATTTATAATATTGTGGGATTTAATTTATAGTAATGGGTTTACGTTAATTAATGTTACAGTGAACCTGTCTAACAGGTTCACTGTAAGAAACATTTTTTTCATTATAATCTATCAAATGTACTATGAATATAATTGGTCGCATAGTCACTCGCACACGTCACTTACACACTCTAACATACACTACTTACTGAAGTATACACACGTCACACACTATCACTAACACATGTATTAAGTATATACACAATGTCACTGACACACTCACTAACACACACTATTATTAAGTATACACACAATGTCACACACTAACACATTATTATTACATATACACACGTCACTGACACACACTATTAAGTATACACACAATGTCACACACTCCCACTAACACTCACTATTATTAAGTATACACACAATGTGCCACAATCTCACTAACACACACTGTTAAGTATACACATAATTTCACTGACACTATTAAGTATACACACAATGTCTCACTCTCTCACTAACACACACTATTCAGTATACACACACACAATGTCTCACACTCTCACTAACACACACTATTCAGTATACACACTCACTAACACACACTATTAAGTATACACACAATGTCACACACTCCCACTAACACTCACTATTATTAAGTATACACACAATGTGCCACAATCTCACTAACACACACTGTTAAGTATACACATAATTTCACTGACACTATTAAGTATACACACAATGTCTCACTCTCTCACTAACACACACTATTCAGTATACACACACACAATGTCTCACACTCTCACTAACACACACTATTCAGTATACACATACTCTCACTAACACACACTAATCAGTATACACACACACAATCAATGTCTCACACTCTCACTAACACACACTATTCAGTACACACACACACACGTCTCACACTCTCACTAACACACACTATTCAGTATACACACAATGTCTCACACTCTCACTAACACACACTATTCAGTATACACACAATATCTTACACTCTCACTAACACACACTCTTACTGAACTATACACACACAATGTCACTCACACCAGTTTAGTCACACTTTATACACACACAAACATACACAATATGATCAGCCCCCTTGGGCTCCATGTGGGCCATCCCTGTGCTAGGGCTGTGGAGGAGGATCCATTCAGTACTTACTGCTGGCTGGGCTCCCTCCATGTTACTGAGAGCCCAGCCCCTGAGCAGATGGATCCCCCTGCCTGTAAACACGCACAGACACTGGAGGGAGGAGGAAGCAGGAAGCAAGCTGTGCTCACTGTGCACCGCTCTCCTGCTCCCCCAGCAGAAACAAAGGGGAGACTTCCTGCAGGCTGGACAATGGTTCCTCCTACCCTTCAGTGAGCACAGCCTGCTTCCCTCCTCCCTCCAGTGTCTCTCCATGTTTACAGGATGGGGAATTCCCCTGCCTGCAGGATCCATCTGCTCAGGGGCTGGGCTCTCAGTAGCATGGAGGGAGCCCAGCGAGCAGTAAGTTAATTTCCAGTTGGGGGGGGCACAAAGGGGGGCACAGCCTGATCTAGGGGGGGCCATGGCCCCCTCTGGCCCCCCAAGTGACGCCACTGCCTCCCAGAGTAACCACACCTGTCTCTTGCTCTCTCCTAAAGGGCAGCACTCTACTCCCTCCTCCAGCTCTGCTTCACTCCCACCTTGTTTGATTGCTATTTCCTATCCTAATGTGTTTTATACCCCACCTCCTATAGGCTGTCAGCTCTTTTGAGCAGGGTCCTCTTCAACCTATTGTTCCTGTAAGTTTTCTTGTAATTGTCCTATTTATAGTTAAATCACCCCTCTCATAATATTGTAAAGCGCTACGGAATCCGTTGACGCTATATAAATGGCAATAATAATAATAATAAATTGCGCGTACTGGCGAATGACATGAATATCTTCACCCTCGCAGGCAATGGAGTTCTCCCCTCCATTCTAAAACTCTCCTTCTCCTCCTTAGTCGGCCTGGGGTGGGCGCATGCACTCTGTGCTCGCGAAATGGTCCAATCGCAGGAGAAGTCGTGATTGGACCACAAAAGGCCCCTGTGATGTCAGAGGTGGCATGGAAGTCAGCGCCGGAAGTTTTGCTGGGCGCTGGATTCAAGGTGCATAAAACTTTTTTTTGCAGGTTTTTTCTGCAAATTGGAGGGGACCTTCTCCGTACCAGGAGTGATGGGAGTGAGCGCAGGACTTATCTTTTTGTATTTGTATTCGCTTTTTGTATCACACAGCTTTGTTACAATGCTGCCGCCCATCCCATGTGTTCCCTATTAAGGGTTAATAAGTATGTAGGGGTGTATATAATAAAAAATACCCCTCTCTGTCTCATTGGAGATATCTTTGCCAGAAGCTCAAGGAAGCAAGGTGAAGGGTCAGTGTAGGACCCGCTTAGGGGGGTCTGCCTTGACGTTGGCAGGCGGGCATTCCCTCCAATGGCCATTTGAGTAACTAAATGACCTCCATTTGTCTAAATATACATAGGGATTAACGAGAGAGCACAGGTAACTTTTTTTTTCTTTAGTTTTTACTATATATTGGGGCTGATGTGTACTGTGGTCGTTGCTGCCGCCAAGGAGTGATGGGAGGGAGTGTAGGACTTATCTTTGTGTATTTGTATAACAGCATTGATATCTGCATTGCGTGTAATGCTGAGTGCGTGTTGTAGAAGACTGGGTGCAAAGTGGGGACAGAGCCTCGTGTGTAGGCAAGAACTGGTCACACACACACAAAAAATAAAATAATAAGGAGGGGCGAAGCCAAATGAGTAACGGAGTGGACACATCTCTATGAGCTCCGAGCCCTAAACGCCCAAAACTGATCAAAAGTCGGCATCTACAGCTAAAAACCGACCCCACACTTTGCAGCCAGCGCAAGCGAAGACAATGGGCAGAAAAACTAAAAAGCCCCGAGCTGACAAGGGTCCCAACAGCAGGGATATCGGAGACTTACTGAGGAGTTCACAACAGGCCAAATGGGCCAAGATGGGGCTGTGGGATGACTTATCTTACTCCTCTGAAGACGCCTCCATCGACATCGGGGAGGGAGCATCGTATGACCTACCATCAGAACAAGCTGCCAAACCCCTAAGACCGGGGACCCGGTGACAGCGGACCTGCTTAAAAGCATGCTAGCAGACCTGCGCAAGGACATTGCCGCAGACAAGTCCTACTTCAAGAACGCCATTGTCCAAGGTTACACAACTTTAAACCATCTCCAGCACCCATGACACTAGAATCGCAAAGGTGGAACAAACACTGGCAGACCTCCAACGCTGGCAAATAGCCATAGGAAGACCTGAGAAGGCAATACAACCTAAAGGTCAGGGGAATACCGGAGACCATGGGTCTCACCACTTACCCCGCTTCATCAGACGCCTGTTTGAAGCCAAGCTACCATCCAAAGCCATAAAGATAGATGGGTTGTTCTGTCTGCCCAAGCCAGCAAAGGCACTACCATCTGTACCCGCGGATCTCATCCTCCGCTTTCAGACCATCCGAGACAAGAACTCCCTTACCGCTGCAATCCTTTGAGGGAGCCACGCTACTAGTCTTCCCAGACCTGACAAAAAGCACACCCCTCTGGGTTCGCGGTCATTTAGCTCATGGCGTGGCTTGTGAAGGCAGGTATGTCCCCTGGGCAGTGAATCTCATAGGTCATTCCATTATGTAGACAGGGAAAAGGGAAAACCCCAGTGGTACTGCAGGCCTGTGACCTACTCTGCAGTCGTTATGGATCTAATGACCCTCCTCATCTGCACTGTAAATCTGGACAAGTCCTGGAATATTAGAATAGTTAGAATATTAGAATAGTATTGACCAAATCAGTCTTGCCTCCCTCAAGATCTCCTCGTTAACAGCAAAGCTTTCCAGGCAGCATAGTACATCTTGTGGCTAACTGCCTTGTGGAGGCTTCAGCACCCAGTGGGCTCTCACTAGGCCAATCTTTTGGTGTGCCCTCCCCCAGTTAATGAGCAAACAGGGCCTGCAGTTGTCCAAGTCATTTTCCCACATGGTGAATAACATAACAGATGCTTCACAGCCTGCCTCTGTGTCTCAGTAAGGGCTGTGTGGAGCTCTAGTGTTCTGGATTTTGTCGCAGCCACGTGGAAATTGAGGTCCGACAGGTCCGTGTCTACTAGCGCTTTTTTCTCAAAGTTGGTTTAAGATGGTGGCAAGATCCACTTATGTCAGGAGTGTCGGCAATAGTGACCTGACTTTGTTATCTTGCAGTGGTTCCGCTTCTTGTGATGGAGATCATGCCAGAGAAAATTCTGCTAAAACTGGGGATGCGCAGCCAGGGCTAGGGAAGCCGCATCCGGCGTGGTCAGGTCACAGGGTATCTAAAGATAGGCTCAAATAGAGGTTCCAGGTCCGTATCCATATAGGCCCATTGTACTGGGTTAGTCAGAATAATGTTTTGTGCGCCACATCGACAAAATCAATGTTGGTGTATGAGCTTTTACAAGCTTTAAACTCTGTTGCCATGAGGAGCAAATGATTCATGTGGCCATCTTTGTTTGCAGCTAGACACACCCCCACTAGACTGATTTCTTAGTAACAATCTGGACTGGATTTATTACCCTTCCTTACTGTTTAACTTATTCTCTGATGACAAAAAAGAAAGAGATACCTTCAATGTAATATGATAGGTTTTGCTTTATAAGCAAATTGATTCTCTACTTCAGTTATAACCTTTATATCTTGAACTTGCACCTCTAAAGTTTGTTTGAGTAATAATTGTATGTTAAATAAATGGAAAGCTGCAGCCGTCCTGAGCTTTGCTCAGCGCTCCCTCCTGTCACTCCCTCACTGTAGCGTGGCCGAGCCCTGTATGGTCCGCGGGTACAGGGAGCATCTGTCTCCTGTACCCGACCGGACTAACACTGAGTGTGCACTTCCTTTTAGTCCGGCCGGGTACAGGAAACAAAAGCTCCCTGTACCTGCAGACCATACAGAGCTCGGCCATGCTACAACAGAGGTAGGGGAGGGGGGAAAGAAATTGGGGGAATAAATTGACAGGGAGAAAGAAATGACAGGGAATAAATTGACAGGGAAAGGAATTGACAGAGGAGAAAGAAATTGAAGAAAAGAAATTGACAGGGGGGGGAAAAAGAAATTGACAGGAGGGGACAAAGAAATTGACAGGGGGAGAAAGAAATTGACAGGGGGGAGAAATAACAGGGGAGGGGGGAATGAGAGGGGGAGGGGAGGGGGGAGAAGAGAGTGACAAGGGAGGGGGGAGAAGAGAGGGACAAGGGGGAGAAGAGAGTGACAAGGGAGGCGGAGAAGAGAGTGACAAGGGAGGGAGAGGGGGGAGAAGAGTGACAAGAGAGGGGGGAGAGATTGACATCATCACACGCACACAATCACACACAATGCACCCCTTACACACAAATACAATGCACCCCTTGCACACAGAAAAACACACAATGCATTACACACACATACACAAGCAATGCAACCCTTACACACAATGCATCCCTTACACACACAGAAACACACAATGCATTCCTTACACACACTTAATGCATCCCTTACAGACGCACACACTGCATCCTGTGTACATACACAGAAACACACCTTGCAGCCCTTACACATACAAACACAGATTCACACAATACATTCCTTACACACATATCAGGACATCCCCTACACACTCCACCCCCTGTGAACAAACTCATTGGTGGAACATGAAGGTGGACCCTGGGACCCAGACCTTGAGCTGTGTAAAGGGCCCCAAAAAAATGGAGCTGCTTCCCGTTCTCCCAGAACATTGATTTTTGTGACCACAGTTACAAACCGCCTCCAGAGAGCCTGTTCTGCACCAGACCAGTGGAGCCAGACTGCAGCTAGAGCCCATCCTCATCCTCATCTGGTTGTAAGTAGGCAATCTAGTATATTATTCGTGGCACTAAGCTCTAATTTACCTCACATTAAAGAAACACTATAGTCCCAAGAACCACTGCAGCTTAATGTAGTGGTTCTGGTGTCTATAGCCTGTCCCTGCAGGCCTTTTAATGTAAACACGGCGGCACTGCAGCACTGGCGTTAGTTAACATGGCAGATCATATGGGTGGGGCATTGTGATGTCACATGGGGAGTGGGGGAGGCAAACTTTACTTTTGCCTAGGGTTGCAAAAATCCTTGCACCGGCCCTGCTTTTAACGCATTGCATGACATACCTTGAGAAGAGTTTATTGCCCAGGGTGAGAGAGACATATACCAAATATTAATGGGCTTTGCATGTACTTTGTGGATATCTCTCCTAAAATTGTTCCCTTCAGATTTGTCCCACCTACTGGAATCAGGTTCTGTATATTCCTTTAAGTAAACCTAAATTCTTTCATGTTGTACTTTTATTTAAAGGATAAACATATCTAGACTATCACTATACCAAACAAAGTTATATATAGTCTTAAAAAATGGGCACACAAAATCATAAACATAACGCATCTTTATTAAGCATTTTTTTATATTTTGTAGACTGTATAATGGAAAGCTTACTAGCATGTGCCCAACATTAACTCTTATGTACAGCTGCATAAGGACATATTTAAATACTAGTAACATTTTCAAAACGTATTTGGAACAGATATTCCCTTACAAACCAAACAAGTGGACGTACTTCATTGCTTGGAAGGCCTGAAACAAGCTGGCCAGCACTGTGTCACAAGCACTTGCAGTTGCAATGGGTACAATGTGCATGTCCATACTGAGAAATTTTATCAGCCAAGTTAGCGTCTGCATCACCACAAATTGAGTTATAACCAGGAAAACATGTTTTACAAAACTGGGCTACCATTAATATAATAATAGCAAATAGCATGTGACCAAAGTCATGCAACTGTTTGGTAAGAATGCACAATTTTTTCACAGTGGAATATTCAGCAAGCAAAGATATACCATAAAAATAAGAATGTTCAAGCCCAGCAAGGTGAGAAAATATACATATAACATATTTCAATTAAAGTGCGCTGAAATGTTAAGTGTAAGTGTTTTGTAAATCTTTTTACACTGAATAAAATAAACGGCCTGTCCTAGCATGCCCTTAGGAAATATTTTGGCTGTAGTATGCTGCATAGCCTACATATTTTGCATGGAGTGCTTTGTTATTTCATTATTAACTGGTGCATTTGGCAATCTTATTTCCGAAAGTGTTAATTATCAGGAATTCAATATGAACACAAAGTGGCCAAACTGGAAACCATTTGTGTTTTCAGCTTGGACTACTTTGGCCTAAAATTTTAAATTCCATTTGAATGCATTGAGAAATCCTAACATTTCACACTATAGTGAATAACATTGTCTGTCTTTGAAGAGATACTTAAGACTAAAGTCCATGCTTATTTGAATGTCTCAGATAGAGGATTTAACAAGAGGCTTGGCATATAGCTGCCATGATTTTTTGCAAATTACTGCTGTTGTGGAATTCTCTGTAGTTAGACAGGGTTGTTGTTCTCCTTGCACCATAATCTAGATAAAAAGCATAGGTCTAGTGCTTGGAATGGACCTTTGATCGGTACCAGTCCAGCATAAGCACACAGGTCCATCTAAAAATGAAAAGGCTGTAGAATGTAGAACACACAGCAGCCAGAACCTGTAAAATAAATTATTTATTTATTGATC